AAAAAAAAAAAAAAAAAAAAAAAAACAGGTCACATGGGTGAACTGCTAAGCATTTTGCCAGCGTCAAGCATTGATCGACCTGAACGGAGTTAACGGCATTGCAATGTGCATACAGTGTATGATCAATACAACCAGAGGCAATGTTCCAAATGTAAGTGGTTCCATCCAGGTTTCCAGATACGAGTCGGGTGCTGTTAGGGGAGAATGTCAAGCAGTCCAGTTGGTCGATGCACCACCGTTCAATATTTTTACAGTTTCGCCTTTGTTCGCGTCCCAAATCCACAGGGAGCCATCTGTAAATATTGACGCCAGCTTTGGATTTGTGATATCTTGAGAGAAGGCAAGGGCTAGTATTTTACATCGGCCACCCGTTAACGTGCGCAAATCATGTCCTTGGTTGAAATCCCTGATTTTTATGTGGCAGTCGTGAGGATCAGCATGGCCACACGCCATTATCCTCCGCACTTGCACATTTCCCTCGCTGTGGTATAACCATCCGGGAAAAACATAAGACAATGGATGCCACTATATCCCGTATCGATTCGTTCGACAAGCCCGTGGGAAACAGACCAAATATCGATAGAAGTAGAAGAAAGGTAAGATAGCTTCTGCCGCCGCTCGTCGTCGCTAATTTGCTTCCATCGGAAGAGAACACAACTGGGCACATAATTCTTTGACTATTCGGTAATCTGAAAACCTGTTTTCCTTCGCCGTGACTGTTCCGAATTTGAACCAATTCTCATCGCTGTTTATTAAAGCAAATAGTTTACCATCCAGGGAGATGGCGTCAACGTTTGGAAAAAAAGATTGTCAGCTTGTTGTTTGATCGTAAACGGGAATTGACCCAAATACACGTGGAGCGGCCATCTGCCCCAGGAGCTTCTTCCCAAAAACTGGAGTCATTCGCCAAATCTTCCTCCATTGATTCAGCAGTTCCTGTTCGAAGATTCCAGGTCCACGAGTGCTGGTCCCGATAGGCCGGCCATTATAATGAAGGTAGTAAGATCGTCACTAATACCGGGTTGTTTTGCATCATTAGCAGGCTGTGAGGAGGGCCCACATCTCCATGCCTTTCGTTGACCATCGTTCCCTTTTCGAAACCTAGAGCCCATGAAGGGAAGCGAGGCTTTTGGTGACGGTCAAACTGCCCAACACACCGAGAAGTGCATCGCTTCCTTTCCAATATAGAATATACGTTCGACTTAAAAGGTGGTCGCCATGATTCATCTGCATGGAATTAATATTACAACAGAATTGATTGATATGTTGAAGATTGCCATTCGTGATATTTTCCTCCAGACCCGCTGAAATTTTGGATGGCATATTGACCTAGCGGATGTATATTTGTCACTGGTCAAACACTAGCAAAGAGGTCCCTGCAGACTGATAAGTTTAAATCACACTTGGCAGGGACCAAAATCCATCAGACATTGAACCTATAATTAGACCCTTCTCCCTTGGGTGGCCTTACACTTATGATTGGCCCATACTCATTGTGTTGGTTCTTGTGAAGAAAAATGGCCCCATTCGGCAACATACAGTTCGGGGCCAAAACCGCCGATCCCCAACACAGCCGGCCTCAGCCTCGCAGATGACATCTCACAGAAGAATCATTCACAATGGAATACTTGGAGCAAGGAAATATCTTCGAATTGAGATCAGCTCTTTTGTCGATCGGGGTACGCGGCAAAGGGTTCTTTTTATACACCCCAGCCGTCAGGGTCGTTCAGCATACTCGATGCAGTGAAGGGATCGATGCTAAGCCTCTGTTCGGCAGAGATGGCCCAGTAATGGGGCAGAATCAGCCAACTTTATCTGTTCATCTTTGCGCAGCGATGGATGTATTTCTTTCTTATGCCGGATGGTGATGATGTAGATTGTAGAGTATATAAGCGTGGCAATCACGCCATCCAAAACACTGAAGCATCATCACAAATATCAACCATCATGTTATCTCCAATCGCAATTTCCATCCTCTTCGCTGCCCTCGTGAAGGCGCAGAATCACACTCATCACCGAACCATCCACATTCCCTCATCCGCCCCCGACAGCGCCGTTGCCGTCCCAGAAGACTTCTTCTCCTTTGGTTTCGAAAGTGCCTTTCTCCCCAACTTCAACAATGACTTCTCTGATAATGTCGTCAACTCCGTCGGCTCTCGTATGAGCAAGCCCCTTATAATCCGGATCGGTGGCACGGGCGGCGACCTTGTTCTGGTGAACGATGACCTCAAGAATGCCACCAAGTGCATTGCCGGACCAAGCTGCCCGAAGAGCAGCAAGGACACCTTCGAGCTGGGTCCAGCTTACTTTGACGGGTTCAAGAGATTCCAAAAGGCGGCGATGACAATCCAGGCGCCTATTGGGGATAAGAATTACACCATGGAGAATACCATGGCCTATATCCGCCATGCGTGGGAGGCGCTGGGTCAGGATCGCGTTGCTGCGATTGCCCTGGGTAACGAGCCCAACTTTTACGACTATGGTGTCCAGGAGTACGTAAATCGGGCCCTGAATATTATGGGCAATGTCACCGAGGAATTCAACCTCAAGGGTGATGCTGCGAAGATCTTCCAGGCTGGTGAGATTTCCGACAAAGGATCGGCTACGAACCATCCGTTTGGACTGTAAGACCCATCCTTCTTGAATTTATTACGTCTCAACTAACAAAGACAGGGCCGACGTCTTCAAGAGTGGCATCAACAAGAATGGCGGGATCAAATCCGCCGCCGAGCATTACTACCAAGTCGGCAAGAAGCTGAGCGCGTGGGACTCCAAAGCCATGCAGAGCACTATCATGAACCACTCTTACATCCTTGAGCACCTCGCCCCATACGAACAGGCCATGTCTGACATCAAGAACCAAGACGTTCCATTTGTTCTCTCCGAGGTCGGTTCAGTCCTGGGTGGCGCTCCCATCAAGTTCTCCGGTGGATTCGGTGCTGCCATGTGGGCAGTCGACATGCATCTGGCAGCCATGGCTCGCGGCATTCAGCGAGTAACCAACACAGAGCGTCCTGAGGCTGCACATGCGTTCTGGGTCCCTGATACCACTGGCCCCCTCACGAAGCGGCCGGTCGTGCAGGGAGTCTTCCCTGCTGCGCCTTTTATCGCTGACTTTGTTGGCAAGGATGGCAAGGTCGTTGAGATCCCTCTCAAGGGCGGAAATGAACTGTTCACTGCGTATGCCATGTACAATCAGCAGACTTCCAAGGTGGACAAGGTTGCTCTGATCAATCTGAAGCAGTGGGATGAGAGCTCCAAGGCCCACCGCGGAAGTGCGACCATCACATTGAATGTTGGAAATGATGTCAAGTCTGCTATCGTTCAGAGAATGAAGTCCCGCAAGGGCTCAAGTGCCGTCGGTTTTGACTTGGGCGGTGCTGGAGAGAATGTCACCTGGGCTGGTGAGCAGTGGACCTATGCTGTTGACCAGGGCAAGGGCCATTTCATCGATGGTCACAAGGTCGAAGAGCAGGTCAAGGTGAACAACGGAAAGGTGGTTGTTCATGTGCCGGATACAGAGGCTGTCATTGTCTTTTTCAACTAATATCTTTTTCCTGTACTATATCCACCTCAATACCTTGTAAATAGAATAGGGATAGTTCCATTTGATTCATAATATTGCATTTTTATTATATCCAGCTTAACTTGTCACAAAATCAATGACGGCCAATATCTTATCAATTATATCAACATGAGCAATGAACCATCTATCAAAGACGCCTTCGTCCTTTTACCACGCTGCACTAACTTTGAGACCTTCCCAACCATTTGGATGTACCAGGAAATTAACGCAATCCACTAGGCTACAAAAGAGCAGGAGATTGCCATATGTGACAGAACTGAAAAATATGATAGCGCTCGGCGTGACGTGTCCTGGTGCTGAATAGTTGAGTGACAAAGTGCCGCAGCTCAAGCGCTCAACACGACCCTCTGAGAGAGATATTGCAGTTCTGTAGTATTCACCTTTTGATAATGATGATAAAACGGACTGAAATGCGGAGTCAAGGCATACAGGAGGCATCATCTTGCAGCCTTGCCATATGAGTAATTTCACAGCCTCCAGCCTTGTTGTTGAGCACCCTGTTTTGCACTCAGCCTCGTCTCGATATCCCGTCTTGCTTGGCCTCGCGGGGTGAATGATACTTTATTGGTTTATGATCAAGATCGACATGTATACGGGTTTCTTTAAATATTACATGACTGCGTCACTTGTTGCAGGTGATCTTGGAGGCTGTGAGGGACGCTCTGTATAAAGAAGGACACCTCGCTTTTGCGTCTCACATTCTATGCATAATGAACGTATTTTGTGCTCCTTGTGATTGCAAGAGATAATTCACGATGGATAAAACAGACCAACCAACTACGAGTCAAAGCGAGCCGTTCAACAGTAGACGAACAACAACTCGAACTGCGCCTCCACTCCCCAATCAAGGCGATCCTGCCCCTCCGCCATACCAAAAGACAGACCCAAAGATGTATGCAAACCCATTTATTGTTACAATGAGTGAAGTACTAAAAGAAGAAGAACCGATAAAATAGACGATATAACACCAACACCACCCCGCGTTGCAACGCCAGGCCCATCGCGAAGACCTCCAGCACGAGCCCAACCAAGGGCAGCGAGACCTCAATATGCCATACCAAGGCAACAGACTACGCCTCTGTATTGTCTTAGCAGCGAGAGACCCCAGCTGATAGAATGTCCGTGGTGCGACCGCATAGCAGTAACTCAAGTCATCCTAGAAAGCTCGAGCGATACAAGGTATGTTGACTTCCTACATTGACCAGATCCATACTAACCAACCAGGGCTGCTGGTGCTTTCTGCTGTTTATGCTGTGGAGTGAGCGGTGCGCTGATTCCATCTTTGGTGAAATGGCACCCGGATATCACCCATATCTGCTCAAAGTGCCATAGAACCGTTGCTTATAAACCAAATGATGGCGGCGTTAACGTCAGGCAGCCTTTCAGGTCCCGGAGATGAGTCGGAAGGCATCATAATTAGGCTACCAGAGGCTTAGGTGTTGACTTGAATATTAGGTAGTGTTATTATCGATGTCTGTCATTTCGTCCTGGAAATACTATTTGCCTTGATTGTATATACATGATGATTCATGAAACTTGAATAATATATCCTGCCATACAGCATAGAACCTTGTCAAAGGCATGGACCGACTTCAACTACAATATAGCAGGGATGAGGGGTTCCTAATGGGAACAGAATGCACCGATACATTTTAACTCCCTATAGACTAATAAAATATCCCGTCTCCACTGCGCCAAACTGATCTAACCCCCTCGCGGCGGTTTCATTGCGATATCCCTGATGTTCGGGCCGAAGCTGGGTGCTTCCCCAACCATGAATCAGACTTCATGTTCGAACTGACGACGCTCGCTAATGAAGACTCGGGGTGGAGTTTGTAACGTCAGAGTCGAAGATGCTTTACTCAACATTTGACCGAATGTTGACTGTGACTGGGCACTGTCCACCGAGCATGATTGGTTTCTGATAGTTGAGCCCTCTGGATCATATCCTTCAACCGTGATTATTAGATCGTGTGGGACAATCAACGAGATTGACTGTGGCTCGATATGTTTGCTGTGAGACCGGACGCGATATTTTAACCAGAAGTCCCAGGCGTTTAGGACCGACGTAACCATGGACGGTATGCCGAAGAGTATTTCAAGGATCGATTCCTGCGTGAGGAAAGTCATTTTAAGTTGAGATACCGCTGCCTAGAGGTAATGAGAAAGGCAATTGGGACCATGGACGAAAAGTGTAGAGGACATGCTATATATTGGGTATGCTGGCTGGTGTTGACATTTCATTCCTATCACCATCGTGATTGTTTCTTGCTTCTACAAGCTGAGACTCGAGACAGCGTAATTCCCCGATTAGGGATAGTGTAGAAACGGGGAGGGTCCACAGGAATCGTGGAGGGACCTCCGACCATTGGTCGGATACCCCTGGTTAGGGTAAGTCTCGCGTACCGACACTGTATTGCAATTAGTACAAGGCGGTCAGGGTCAGACCGCTTACTGAGAAACGTAATTTTTCAGTCTCAGCGCTGAAGTCTTGGCGAGACTGAGAGTGGAGTACTAAGCTTAACACGTCACAAGGTAACTATACCATTTTAGGGAAAAGTGAAAGTGGGTAACACGTGAGGGGCAGCACTCAGATAGCCAAAAGCACTGCCTTATCTGCCTTGAAAAGCTACATCCAGAGACAGGAACATATCACAGGAACACCTCATTTTAGTACGTGGGCACTCCCCCCTCTACACAGACTTGTGCAGCTATTCAATCATAGTCATCCTCTCCGTGCATTCGTGGATATTTCTGATATGGTTGATATCGACGAGAAGAATCTCCTCGGCTGTACTGCTTTACATATCGCCGCGGAAAGGAACCCGGGTGGCAGCATCCGATTTCTGGTATCGAAAAACACAAAAGTCGATGCTCGTGACATGTTTGGACACACCCCAGTTCACACGGCCGTACTGAATGGCCGCTCTGCACTTTCCTATGCCGCAGGAAGGAGACACGAGGAGATTGTACAGATGCTGGATGACAAGGCTAATTTTGACCCAAATGCAAAAGATCGGAATAGAGATCCCAATTTTCTTGATAGAGGTGGCACAACACCCATAGACCGTGCCGGCAAGAATTGGCATGAGTCGAGAGTACAGCTCCTAGATGGCAGAATGGCCCCGGTCATATTTCACGACGATTCATAGGTCCCTTATTTATGCTGTCTTCTCTTATGTGTTGTTTGTTGTCGTGCCGTAGACCTGTCGTAATGTGGATGAAGCAACCTTCTGACTCCATGGAAAAGATGTCTATATATTGCTTTGAACATCATCCTTTCCCTCTGATACCCAGGCAGTTTTTTCCATCACTTTCTTCCCTCCAAACCATGCCTGTTTGATAATACCGCCACACTTGATAGCAATCTCAGAGAAGATAATTCGTCGCTTCCATCAAAATACTTCTTCTTCTGGATGAGGTCGGGATCAACTCCAGTTGCACCGTACGAGATCATCAAACGTTTATTGTTGTCCAACAAGTCGATATCAACGTAACCCTGTCCACGCAAGAGCTGGATCACCTTATCATGCCCATGCGTAACAGCGTAATCAAGCGGTGTATTTCCAAGAAAGTCCTTGAGGCTCCCATCAGCCATACCTGTATCCAGAATGATCCTGACGATAGCTTCATGCCCGGATCCGGCTGCGTGCGAGAGTGGAGTACGACCGCCTCCATCAGTGATGTTGAGATCAGCCTGGCCCTTTTCAAGCAATAAGCGAAGTATTTTCTCATTTCCCCTCTGGACTGCGTGTATGAGAGACGTGTGCCCGATATTGTCCCTGGAATTAACATTCACGCGTCCTGTGTTTAAAAGATGCTCAACTGCTTTCTCCTGCCCTGCTCTCACGGCTCTTTCTAATGCCCCTCTCCCATCACTTGATTTGAAGTTGAGGCCAACACGACTGTCTGAGACCAGGATCCTCATCGCCGTCGTATTCCCCGTCTCAGCTGCAAGTGACAGAGGAGTTTTCCTCTCAGAGTCTGGTACATTCGGGTCGACCTTTGGTGTTTCAAGAAGGAGATCGATTATTTTATCTTTTCCGGCTGCCACGGCATATGCAAGGGTTGTTCGCCCATCAGAAGCCTGGTAGTTTGGGTTTATTGATGTTTGGGCCAGAAGAAGCTGCATCACAGCTTTATTTCCGCCGGCAACAGCATAATGAAGTATCATTCCATCTTCAATATCTGCTTCATTTTCAATCAACACCTGCAGAGCATCTGGGGAGCCGAATATTGCTGCCACGTGGGCCGGGGTGCGGCCAAAGTTATCTCGATGATTGACAGATGCTCCTCTTTGAGCTAAACAACAAGTAATATCACCCGAGTTTCTCTCTGCGGCAACATGCAATGCTGTGCAACCAAGGAAGTCTGTGTCGTTGATTGATGCATAGTCCAGACCAGCAAGAAATACACGATAGTCATCAATAGATCGAGCCAGCCTATGCAACGGAGGAGACGCATATTTTTGAATGCCAGGTATTGCTGCCACCCTTTCTTGAAGCTCGGTATATATATCAAAATATTCTTTCGTTGCTGACTGTACAGTGTCGTAACTGCAACGACGCGAAAAGATGCATTGAAGAAGAGCTTCCTGGACCCGGAATGCTGTCCCAATATCGCCCACCCTCCTGAGCTGACGGACATGGCCCAGTAACGGCTCGATAGAGGCCCCTTGATCTGAATGCCGAGGATCTCCGTGATTGAGCACGAGAAGGAGCTGTAAAACGGCCATGGCAGTAGAATGATTACCATTTTCGCCCTTCTGCCGCGCAACCCGTCCAATATGCTTTCTAAGGATCTCTAGAATGACATTACACTCAGACATTGCTCTGGCAGGATTAAAGCCAGGTTGACTTCGAGGATGGTTTATCGCAGGAACAGGGTCAGCCTTGCGGAGAGAACCGATAATACTAGGGATTGGCCGGAACCAAGCAGCTGCAATGGATCTATGGGTGTTAGGATTATCTCCGTGGGGGTGAAGGCGTCATCTTACATGTCCAGTATCTCTCGGGATTCACTGTCATCATACTCCAGAGGAGAGGAACGTGGACTTCTCTCCTGCGTACCAGATGCGGCTTGGTTGGCCGAGCAGTCGAATCCCATTTCGATGCATCGATGGCACTTTTCTTCTGGCCATTTTCTATTCTCCGGTGCACACTAGACGCCATCAGCTATCTTCACTTGGGGGCATAAAATGAGGTTATCAGTGAGGCACACACCTTTTTCTTGTCTTTGCGACAGAATGAGCATTTTTGGTAGTTCAGGCGCCGTCTCTTTTGATTCTCTTCCATTTTCAATATTCTGGATTGGAATTGACCATGGACATTGAGGATAGATGAGAGGGATTTGTCGCAGTGTCGCAGTTTTGTTCCTGGTGGTGGAGATGCACATCGCAGCCAGACAAGGATCGCCGCCAATCACGCACTGTCGCAGTCGCCCAGAGAGGCACAGCCTTGCCATAGCACATTCTGATTGGCCTCGCACTGTCGCACTGTTCTTTTCCAGGTTGGGAAGTCAATCATGGTCGCAAGGTCGTCATTGCTGGATCGCAGTTATCGCAGTCGGAGTCGTCGCATCGTTGAAGTGTCGATAGAAAGGATGACCCAAGGGCTCTTTGGACCGAATATTATGATTCCAACGATTGCTTGCATCCAAATTAAACATTTATGAATTCACTCCGTACCACCTCAATAAAACAAAATATGAACCTGACCCAAGAATCCGCCCTGGCCGTCATCTTCGGTGTTCCGTCACTTTTCATTGCAGTTCTCACCTTCTGGGTGACTTATCAAATGTGGGTGGACTCTCGATCAAATGGTAAGCAATCCCTCTGTCTATTGTTCGACGGAAGTTCGCTAACTGTCTATCCAAAGCCTTTGATCTAGAAAAGTCGTCGATTGTCAGCGAATCTCTTGCCTTCGAAGACGACCGACCAGCGATGTCAGATCGTGTCCTGAGCAACGGCTCTTCGATAGATCTTCAGATTCCTCCTCGTGTCTACACGAACAATAGTGGTCACGGTCCGGACCAATGGGTCATTACACAAAGGGAAGAAGGCCAAGAAGAAAAAGGCACCACGGCCGATGGGAAGACTGGCATGAGCTATTGATAGAGGGGCTGTCGATGAAAATGAACCATGACCAATTCATTTCTTATTAGTCGAGCATGGAGATATATATAGGCAGGGGTCAGTAGCCAACGAGGGAGGAACGAGATGTACACCAAACGAGACATGAAATTACGATTCACTATATATATCCATGGATGTCTATATGTAGGTATATCATATGTGTTTTTTTTCCAGTACAGGCCTCAGTGGTTCCTTCCAAGGGTCCGAGGCGGAAAGTGTAATCTTGGGCACCAAACATCCGATCGGAATTTTTTAGATGGACTAGAGTGGTCAGGGCAAGTGTGGCATTGATTGGTTGTTGATTATGACTAGTGTCTTGGAAAATTTGATCATCAGACTATGAACTTCCAGTATGCTGCTTATGGCATTGAGCTGAAAATTGCACGGCCAAAAGTACGATTATGATGCAAACATGGAATTATCCGTCAAAAGCCTCATGTTTAGTCGCGGTGCTAAAGATGGATCGACAGTGACCACGCCTGGTGGGGGACCCGGCCCGAATAGTCAGCCCAGGGCTCGAACGATCCATTGTTCTGTTGGAATCTTGATCGTCCTTTTGACACTGCAAAGTGTGCGATGACAGGTATATTCTGGACTGCGGAGCAGGATCCGGACACGATGATCGGGAGCGGATGGCGGGCCGGTGACTGTGACAGTGCGAGGCCAATCAGCGACTGCCATTCCCCGGCTGTGTTTATCACAGAGGGCGCCAGTGTGTGATTGGCCCAGATCCCTGTACGGCAGCACACCTCCATTTCAAGGCATCTCCACAGCACGACAGATAAAGACAGCCTTATCCTCCATTCTGGCCAGGGTTCATCCCCCAAAGGCAGTCCGTGATATTCTGCCATGGAAGGACACAATCGAAAGAGACGTTGTCTGAACTATGAGAAGTGTTCCTTTTGCCGACGGGATAAGAAAAGAGTATACCCATCCACCCGGTTCCTCTCCGATCGCTAACTGTATACAGTGTGAGCCTGAGAGCCGCGAATGGCCGGACGAAAGGTGCGATCGATGCGTTGAGATGGGATTCGACTGTTCCTCCAACCAGCGTGCTTCCGAGACCAGAGACGAAGCCCCCGGTGTTGCTCCACCAGCACCAGCACAGGAGGAAGAGCACAATCAATGGAGAACAACGGTTCTTGGTCCAGTGCTTCCACCTACCTGGGATACAACAGCATCACCCTCCCGGGTTGATGGCCCTGCTCCTCTTAACACAGAAGAGGAAGAAGAATCGTCGACGGTGGACTCAGCACCGCCTACAGAGAATGATGAAGGATTTCAAGGGCTGTTCGACTTGTATGATACCCCTTTCTATTGGTTCTTCCTTTATCTCTAACAAATCCAGATCAATCAGAGCAGCCTGGATCCGCAATATCGCCGAACTCATTCCTTCTCTCAAAAAAGTCGAATCGATGTATGTCAACTTTGCTCAAATAAGCCGGACCCAAGTCGACCTGTCCGACCTGCCTGTCAAATTGCGCCACGCCACTCAGGATTTGAAACGGGATATCTTGGACGCGGCAAAAGAACACTCGGAGAATGGTCGATGCCATGCTGCAATGGCCGCTTCCCAACTTCTACTTCATCTGGACTGCAAAGCCCCTCATCACACCTTCCAGGGACTCAGCGAGGAAGATCTCTCCGATCATGCTCTTCGTATATGGAAATCAGGAGATGTAGGGACAGCGATAATTGTACAGGAAACTGTCCTTCTACAACTGGCAGCCCTTGCGAATCGCAGCAACAATATCTCCGTCACACCTGCAGTGAGGCAATTTATCGGCATCTATACGGACCTTGAAAAACGTGCTGCAGTGCTGCCTGACATTCAAGCGATGCCTTTGCCTCCCCTCCACAGACTCTTTCAGCTGCTAGACAATCATTATATTCTAGAAGCGGCCCTGGACAACGTCAATCTCAACAGGCGCGATATGCATGGATGTACGGCGTTGCACCTTGCCGCAGAGAGAGACTCTAGCAGCAATTTCCTGTCCTTGCTGAGGAGAGGTGCATCACTAAATTGCCTGAATAATCTCTCCTATACCCCAGTGCAACTGGCCGCACTCTGTGGCTCGCAACGTGTATTTGGGGGACTCCTTGCACATCCACAAGGTGTCGTGGATGGATCAGTTTTTCATTACGGTGTTGTCAATGGAAATGAAGATGTCGTCCGGCTTCTCCTGCGCCAATGGCCACTTTACGCAGACACTCGTTGTTCCCAGGGACGAACACCACTTTCCTACGCAGCGGGTCTCGGGTATCTTAGTATGGTCATTATGCTCCTCGACACTGATGGCGTTGATTGTAACTTCCTTGATATCAACGGGAAATCACCACTCGCACATGCGGCTGTATCGGGGCATACCAATGTAGTGAACTATCTTCTCACAGACCCCGATATCGACCCGAATTGCAAATCAATTGATGGGCTGTCTCCATTATCCCATGCCATCATTAATGGACATCAAGAGGCCATTCTAGGTCTGCTCAGACATAAAAAGCTGGCTGTGGATTCCACTGATATCAATGGACGCACTGCGTTGATGCACGCCGTCCAGGAAAGAGACCAGGCCATGGTCGAGCTTCTACTTCACAAAGGCCATGCTCATCCAGATCTACGTGATAAATTTGGACGCTCGCCGCTCTCCTTTGCTGCTGGACAAGGCCTTGAAGCGGTAGTGCGATTATTCCTGAGTCTTCCGGGTGTTGATCCTAGTTCGGCTGATGTCAATGGAGGAACACCCATGTTCTATGCCTTGGTGAATGGCCATCAGTCAGTTGCGAAGCTGTTTCCCCATTAACTATCGACTATGTGTCTATTATATATCTCAGATTCAAATATATCTACAATTTCAACGCCCACACATGATCTCTCACAATCAAACTCTTCTTGCCGCGATTGTCACCTGGACCTGGGAGCATCCGACGAAGGATCTTGCCGTCCGGATATCTGGGGATTGTATGGATCAATCCACTTATAGCGGACTTTATTGTCTCGAATATAGTTCAAGAGCTGTTGGCCAAGATATGGCGTTTGCAATATATGCCTTGGGTCTCTCTCCAGAATAGCCATCGAGAAGGCCCTTGACAGCTGCATCGTCGAGTGCCGGATGGCCGCGTAGGGCGCCGTCCAGCTCAGCAGGCGATACTGGAAGTTCCTTCACTTTTATCAACTCTTTGAGTGGGTAGGTGATGACAAAATAACCCTCATTGTCGACATAGCCAATGTCACCTGTATGCAGCCAGCCATCCTTATCCAAGGTCTCCCGCGTCGCCTTTTTATTATTCAAATACTCCATAACCACTTGCGAACCACGAGCGAGAAGTTCCCCTGGCTCATTCGGGCCCAGCTCGTGATGCGCTGTCCCCCTTGCCTGATGGGTCACATTCATGGCGATCATTACTTGGCAATGGTGATATATTCTGCATCAGCGGAATGTTGGGTCGGTGTTCTTGCATAGGGCTTTTTGAAAGATATCGTGATGATATCTCATATCTGTTGTTCATATACTATCTTTACGCTGGTATGATGTATATCGATGTATACCAACCGCGCACATCCGTTAGTACGGGGTTATTGATTGATATTTGATAGATTTCAATCTTTTTATGATGTAGTATCTATTTGTCTGAAGGCATTTATAGCGTGAGTTTATGATGCATGATGCGTTGTTTGTACCACACACTACATATCTATGACTACTACCGTATGCTGCATTTGCCTCGCGTCATTCGACGAAGAGTTTGAAGCGCTGCTCACGTTTACTGAGCTGCCTGAATGGAGCAACCGGGCGCGAACAGCTCTCTGTAGCGATCGCAAGTTCAACAAGATATACTTTAAAACGCCCTGGATGTGGGGGACATTTGTGTGATTCCGTATGTCACTGTTCAGCCTTTACAGATCGACACTAATATCGACGCAGTAATCGACAACAGTACCTGCGATAATGGACAGCCCGGACAGCGATACCAGCTTTCCGGCGTTGGCCAGCTTGGCTGCTGGCAAAGAGACTATCGAGTCAGTGTTCCCCGAGACGAAGATGTAGTCATTGTTGGTCGTCCACCCCCGAGACAGCGTGAAGAGGCAGTGTCTATCGGCCCAATGCCAATTACTAGTCATGATAGCAGCCACTTTGGCACCCACCAGGTCAGACCCATAATAACCGGGATGAATGGCCGCTTGGATACCAGTTCCACGATTGTTGCTGGCAGGTGGTTTCGCGCGTCTTCAGTTCGACCATTGTTGAACAGAGCCTGGATCTCTTTGTCAGGTCTATCCTGCAACGGTGTCAGAGCTATGAGTGTGAAAGATTACTCAAGACACCCCCAAGATCCGAAAGAAAAGAATATATAACCGAATATTGCCGCATCCGGAGGAATGCAATCCGTGAAGACTTTCATCAGGACCCCTTGAAATACGTCCAGCATCTAGTGGATAGATTTCATGCAAGTATAGCCCGAGAGAAGAAGATTATTCCCCAAGATCCACTCAACATTCCTGAGTTGCGAGATCTCATAGAAGAAGCAACTCGGCATCAGGTCAGACCAGAGGCCGAAACGTCGCAGAGAGGGATTGTATACAGACTGCCTTATCTTCCACTTGAGGTACAAATGGTAATTGTTGATCTCTTGCATCGTGTATTGGATATGAGCCATCTTCTTCGTGCTTTTGATTGGCGTCTACCAGATACTTACTGACGCTCACGGTTTCCTAAACATGTTGTCTTTGAATATGAGGATTTACAACATGCAGACTTGGACTGGGAGTATTTATGTCTAGGTGTCTTGGATATGATGAAGACCTCACATGCACTGCGCCATCGAGAGCGGACATTGTCGAATCTCAAGGCGATTCGAACTATTTTCAATGGGCTTCTAGAGGTCAAAGAGGAGGATTGATCATGATATGAAGTGATATCTTTTATTGTACTCTGTTTTACTAGATACCATATTGTTTTACTTTATGACTTTTGTTGTACAGGTGCAGTGCTACTGTATCAAGTAGGCCAGCATTCGATTCACCACCATACCCTTTATCAATACTCTATTTTCCAAAACTACATTTATCATTTTTCATATCGAAATACATATTCTTGATTGTTGCATCTCCTGGAAATGTATACGGTTGCCATTTATTCTCCCCAAACCACCTCCAATTCTTCTCCAAATCGTCTCCACGGGATGGTGACGTTTTCTCGCCCTATAAAAGATAATACACTTCATACCATTCCAACACCTACAATTCATTGTAATTGCATCTATCTTATTATCATGTCTTCTACCATCGCCATCATCTTCTCTCCATACCATGTTGGCCTCCGCGACCACCGCGTAGGCAATGGCCCCCATCGAATCCGATCACTCGGCATCGTCAAAGAACTCGAAGCACTCGGTCTGACAGTCAACATCCACGAAATCAAACCGGTCGATGATTTTGAAGGAGAGATCGGTCGCAGTTTTGAAATCCTGCGTCGTACATCCACAGCTGTCAGTGATGCAGTTGCCAACAATTCCTTCCCGCTCATCCTGTCTGGAAACTGTATGGCCAGTGTTGGTGTCGCGTGTGGATTGAAAATCAAAGATCTGGGGTTCATTTACTTTGACGCTCATGATGATCTTGACTCGCCAGATGTTAATGAGAATGGCTACTTTGATGGTATGGGATTGTCCATGCTGCGTGGTGAAAGTTGGAAGACGTTGATGAAGACTGTGCCTGGTTTTGAGCCATTCGACTATAATCGCTTTATCTATTGTGGACTACGTGATCAATCAGATGTCCAACGACGGCGCGTTATCGATGCTGGTATGCAATCAATCTGGGGAGAAACATCGAGAAAGGTCGATTTTGCCGCGGAACTCAATGCACAGCTTGGAGAGAAATCATACAGTCCGGCTCTCGTGCACCTGGACTTGGATGTTCTGGATGATTCCTATGGCAAGGTCAATGACTATCCGTCGCCTGGGGGGATGCTTGAGGATGATTTAATTGCGTGTATGGATTTGGTGCCGAAGAAGAGTGTGCCCAAGTCGCTTACTGTGTGTTCGTTTGATCCCAATGCGGGAGATGGAGATAGAATTGCTGGGATCGGGATTCGTGCTATTATTACATTTGTCAAGTCTTTGGTAGAGAGTGGTGTGTTGAAGGCGCACTAGATCGATATTATATTCCTATATATGAGAAAATTACTATTCCATCATTGCGGCTTCACTTTGGATAGGAAATTGTACAGTGACATGTGCTCGACGCAAATGTATATACCCACGAAGTACAACTTCACACCAACACAGCCGATGAAATTTTTGTGGATCTACAATCATGTGATAATAATTATTACTTGTAGAAAAAGGATAAGATGTTACAAAATTAGAATTAAACGTCATGGAACGTGTTGCTCGCGTTGCGGCTTTAACCGCCGTGACTGTATATAGGATGTGACGGAGAGCAGAACGGCACGACATACCCGAGACCTACCCTCAGTCTAGACAATAAGCATACAATCAGAGAAAAAGAAAGAACCCTTTTGACGAAGCATTCATCCTGATAAAAAATCAGTTTGATAACACCCAAACTGATATCCGCGGCTACCCTCGGCTACATTCGGAGCATCAACCCATCATCGAAGAAAAAATCTTCCATCTCCCTTCTGCGCCCACCAGCCACAACTCCGTCCATAGCCGTTGTCTCTATCAGATCCGCCCTGAAAGCTTCTCCAGGGCCTGTGATAGGTCAATTGCGGCGGCCATGTGGCTGTCAGCTCCCTGCGCCACGTGCAAGTGTAAAGCCGTTGTGTGAGGCTCGGAAAAGGATGGGTCTGTCATGGCGATAGAATTCCACTCTCAGGTTTGGTGTGGCAGCAATTCCTGACTGTGGATATGATTGTGATAATGGAATGGAGGGTACAGTGGGGTGTAGTGGGCTGGCCGAGACATATATAGCCATCTCGCCGTCGTGTGTGAGAATGGCTGGCAGAGACATACGAAATAGAGACCATGGACCGGCCAGTGGATGTTGAAAAAGCCCGCGAGACAGAGCATCCGGAATATGATCGAGAATATGCCAGCGACATTGACGATTCCGACTGTGCATATTCATCGGATACAGCAGACCATCTCGAACCGCTAGAACTATCCCGAATCAACACATATCGATTACAGCAGAAGACGACCGTTGGATCGACAAAAGGTCCTGTACCACAGCAACAATGGCTACCAATGGGTGCTGGGAAGCATTATCCTCCACTGCTACCGGATCCAGAGACATACGTGGTGGAATTCGATGGGCCGGATGATCCCCTGCATCCGTATAACTGGTCTTTGTGTACAAGGTATGCTATCTAAGCCAGATTAAGATGACTGAAACTAACAGTATAGAATTTTCCTCGTCTGCATATTATGTTACGGCACGTTTGTAGGATCCTTCGCCAGCGCCGTCTTCTCCGCCGCCATCAGTCCAGTCAGCGCCGAATTTAACGTCAGTTCAGAAGTTGCATCGCTCGGAGTTACATTATACGTTTTGGGATTCGCAGCAGGACCAACCGTCTGGGCTCCTGGCTCAGAGCTCATCGGACGACGCTGGCCGTTGTCGATTGGACTGCTGGGTTGTGGGATCTTCAACATCGCCTGTGCAGCTGGAAAGGATATACAGACTATCATGATCTGCCGATTCTTCGCTGGCTTCTTCTCTGCAAGTCCTGTGTCAGTTGTGCCGGCGGTATTTGCCGATCTATTCAACAATGCGCAGCGTGGTGTTGTCATGTCAGTCTTTTGCATGGCTGTCTTCATTGGCCCCTTTGCAGCGCCCTTTGTTGGAGGCTTTATTGTCATGAGTGACCTGGGATGGCGTTGGACCATGTACATCTCAGCCATCATGGTGTTTCTGGCATTTATTCTTATCTTTGCATTCCTGAAGGAATCATACGCTCCTGTCATCCTGGTTGAAAAGGCAGCAGTTCTCCGAAGGCAAACGCGCAACTGGGGCATCCACGCCAAACAAGATGAAGTGGAAGTCGACATCATCGAGTTGGTGCGAAATAACTTTACACGACCGATCAAGATGTTGATCAGCGAGCCTATTCTCCTGCTAGTATCGCTGTACATCTCATTCATTTACGGTCTCATGTATGCTCTGCTAGGGGCATATCCCGTCGTTTTCCAGGGTGTATACGGAATGAACATTGGTGTTGGAGGATTGACCTTCATCGGTCTGATCATCGGAGAACTCGTCGGTGGTGTCCTCATTCTCTTCCTGCAGGATTCATATAAACGCAAACTTGCAGCGAATAACGATACACCCATTCCTGAATGGCGTCTTCCTCCTGCCATTCTCGGTGGAATTGCATTCACCGTTGGCATGTTCTGGTTTGGATGGACTGGATATAAGTCGTCCATTCACTGGATGGTGCCAACATCTGCTGGTGTGCTGATTGGGTTTGGCATTTTCTGTATCTTTTTGCAGTGTTTCAACTACTTGGTTGACTGCTATCCCACACTGTGAGTACTCATCTCTTTATCTACTCTGTCAAGTCTAACACCATCCAGAGCTGCTTCAACTATCGCGGCAAATACCATCCTCCGATCAGCCATTGGGTGTGCATTCCCCCTCTTCTCGAAGCAAATGATGCAGAACCTCGGCGTGCAATGGGCTGGCACCATGCTGGGATGCATTGCCGCTGTGATGATTCCCATTCCAGTTGGCTTTATGCTGTGTGGACCATGGCTGCGACGGAGGAGTAAATTGGCCTGTTCGCCTATCTATCAGGATGCGCAAGACGAGAAGATTTTTGATGTTTGATTTAGCGAGATACCACTAGATGTAATGATTTATGTCTTCAAATAGAAAATTTTATACAACTTCATCCACGCAAGCAATCAATCAAACTGCCCCGTCGACCCAATATCTCCCCACCGAATATTCGAAAAAGTGACCGCCGTATCTGGATGATTCTTCTGGATCAACTCCGGATTGCCCTCGGTGCTGTTACATGGCCCTGCATCCCCACTATCCAGCCAGTTCATGAATTGATCCGCGTCATTCCAGAGACTAAACGCCAACACCATTCCCCGACCGAGTGCTTTGCCCATCCCCTTCAGGCCGCCGACTTCGCCAAAGTAGTCGGCGCTGTTGGAGCAGTATGCGTCTGTCATCGAGTCGATTTGCTGGCCAGACACTTCGGTTTTGGCATTTTCGATGACCTTCCCGTTTTGGATGTATTGGCGCCGGATTTCGGTGAGATGGCCGGACGTGGTGTTGTCGTTGGTCACGAACTGCGTGATGACCGTGAATGGCTTCGTGGTGTCTACTTTCTTGTTGTAGCCGTAGTAATCGTGCGATCCGAGAGCATACGGGTTGTATCCGCATCCAGACTTATCGCAGACACCGCTACTCCCGCAGTCGTCGTCGGTGCATTGATATAGACTGGTGACATTGCACGGGTGAGGCGTATATCCTGTGGCTCTGGCATTTGCCTCCCAGATATCCATCTCATTGCAGCACGCCCCGACGGACTTGCTGTTCGCTTCGCCATTCACCCACGACGCAACGGGGCATTGGGCATCGCAGTATCCAGTTCCATACTGCGCACCAGCAGGGTTGAGGTCACTTCGTCCACCGTCCTTTTCCATTTCGGACAGGTATAATGCCCCGTTCATACCGCAGGGTAACTTGGACATGTCCACGTCAAAGGTGAATTCCTGATTCAACAGCTGGAGCATATCGTAGTTCTTCCCGTCTTCGTTGAGGAGATACACTCGAGGAGAGGTGGCCTTGACACTGTCCCCGTCCTTGATGTATGCGCGCAGATGCATTGACTCACCACTTGTCTCAACACCATATGAAGTGTAGTCGGTGATGCCGTCGATAATGCAGTTCTTGGCGCAGCTCTCCTTATCAGGACAGAGGGAACTATCCAACCCATCATCGGTGGTGCAGGATGTCTTGCCGTCCGATCCATGAATCCAGTGGGTTGCTGAGTCGAGGACGATAGATGTATCTTGTTTAACGCAGCCATTAGAGGAGGTGCATTTCCAAGTGTCCAGTTGGGGATGGACTTCTTGGGTGCCGATTTTTTGGGCTGAGATGAGGGGGAGAAGAGTGAGGAGGGTAAGTGGTAACATGATTGCGGTTTGGTGTATCCTGGCGATACCACACTCGGTTCATGAATGGATATTTATATTGAGGATATTTTCTTCAACTTCCTAATCTGGTAAGGATGTAACTCCGTGGTGTTTCAATTCGGATACATGCCCTGTTTCATCTTGACTATAGATACCTTGGCAGGCTGAGATAGATAATTTTAAATTGCGATCAACATACAGTTATAATAAGGCTACACTATAGTTTTATTGCTATGGTTGGTGGATTTATCCCGGTTTTATTTAGATTTACTTCACAACGGTGATCTACAAAGGGTCCAATATGCAACAGCAGATCGACATGACACACTTCTGGACACAAAATACTGTAGCATATTTATCGTAAGGCTATGGTGTAACAACAATAGTAAAGTATCGAATTGGATAAGAAAATGAATGGTATACATACCGAAAGTATCTATATAAAACATGCTGGAGATGCCCGCATCTCGTACAACCCAAGAGGACAACAATAACCAATCTTCCTTATGGGATTCATTCATCGGAATCAAAACGAAATTTTATTTTACTATGTAAGGTAGCTATATAATAGTGTAGAAAGTGAATGAAAAGAATTTCATTCCAATTATATTGAAAATGCAAGCTTAATGTATTCTTTAGCGCAGTCGTGGAACACCACATATAGTCAAATCCCATCCAGCCCACGGATAAATGAGGGAATTAAAAAAGCCCTCTTAAGATTTATGTTCGGGTCATTTAAACAATTTCGGTCTTGTGGAAATGTTTGGAAGATAATAATTACTTGATACTTCTTACGACCTTTGCTCTCAACTGATATACATCCATACAACTCAGGAATAACCTCATCCAATCCCAGAATGATCATCGGAAGATGCCCGAACTCTCCGGGGAAATACAAAAAAGAGTCAACCCTCCTCACTCATCGTTCCATATATCGCTCATCGTACACAAATTTGGTCATTGGACTGAATAAACCATCTTCAAGTATCTAATGTCCATCCAGCCACCACCACCCATCACTTCCTCCCAGAAGGTGGTGACGGTTGCTTGTCCATGAAAATATATATCCCAGCCAGCTCACGGACTCGGCTGCGTCTTATTAACGAAATTATCCTTATTCGAGTCATTATAATTCCACCAGAAATCAAGATACTGCGGATCAGACTCGGGGATACCGCATTTGTCGACGTAGTGATACGGGTTGAAGTATATGAACAGTACTCTGCTGGCTGATGAGTAGAATAGCATTAGAATAGCTAGCACATTGATCTAGACCGGATAGTAATTCGGCATTTAAGATGCAGACCGGATATTCCGAGCAGCGGATATGAATCCGTCCAGGAACAGCCGAGGCGCATGCACCATTGCATCACTGGAAATGCTGATCACTGCCCTTATCACCATCTGTTCTTGTATATAGGATGCGGGGGGGAATCTCATTCTTCAGTAAATCATCCATCCTCCTTCACAATGTTGTTCTCGTTGAGAAACGCTGTGCTCTCTCTTCTACTATGTCTTCAATCACTCAATCTGGTGGTTGCCTCCTATCCGGCAGCACCTGAACTGTCCTATCTCTACACGGCCTACGTCAAATGCGAGGGTACTCTTATGGAATCACACGGTCCTCATGGCATTCGCAAGGCCATTCCAATTGTAGGAGGAAACTTTACCGGTCCTCGTCTCTCTGGTACGCAATGTTACTCTATAGTTTTGATCAATATAATAACAATACAGGCAAAATCCTCGACGTCGGCGCAGACTGGGGCGTAACCGACCCTGCCACCAACGTCTTCTCGGCAGACACTCGGTACAATCTGCGGACACACGATGGTGCAGATATCTTCATCCAAACGGGAGGGCCAAAGTCACCGTCTGGTCAATTGCATTTGCGGTTGATATTCGAGACTGGCAGTGAGAAGTACTACTGGTTGAATAATATTGTAGCTATTGGTGTTTTGACCAACGTGGAGAACACTGCCAATACGTCACTGCTGAAGATTGATGCATGGAATGTAAGTATTCATTCTGTATATGATATCAGGATATGCTAATGACTTAGTTTGCATCCGACTGGAATTCTACAAAGTTTGTTAGTTGATCAGGCAAAGTCCAGACACAAGGCTTACCTTGAATATATAGCTCTTCTATTATTAGCTCAAACAATGACATCTGAGCAGTGTCTCCAAATATAGAATAGTGAGTGCATGATGGCGTATTTTTCGCATCCCTGACTACGCCTTGAAACCTTCGATTGCTGCCGTAGCCCCTCTCCTCTCACGCCCTCTGCCACTCCGTCACCTTCCATTTTGGGAATCGACAAGGGACACACCTTTTGCGTAGCGCAAGGGTCGTCATATTCCATTGTTCCTTCTATCTTGGCCGTAGTAGAAAGAAAAGGGAGAGAAGTAGAATGAAATCGGTCGGTATAATCAACTCAATTCCACCCGAGTGGGTATGGAATACGCCATCTCAATCCAGTCTTCCCAGCTGCCATTCTCATGTACGCCAATAAAGATATTCGCCCGATGAACCATCGCCTTTCAGCCAGAAATAAGGCTGACAATGCGGGGGATGCTCACCTGCAGCCATGGCCAAGACGATCCAAGACATCCAAGTCCAATCGCCGACGAACACTTTTGCTGCACCCGCAGAATACTACCAAACAGGGAAAAACACTGCCTATACAGCTCGTATCGGCGAGAATGTCACATTCGTGGCGTCAATGCCTTCGTATTACTACTAAGTCACGTTCACTGTGAATCGATAGATGGAGTTCCTTTGTGACGCAGAAAATATCTATATAAGGGGGCCATTCCCCTGGAATCAGAACAATAGACAACAGAGTCAATTGGCAGTTAAAAGAATCAATCAACATGAAGCTTTCTCTTCTCCTCACCACGGCTCTGGTTGCCTGTGCCTCAGCAGCGGCAACCGTTCAATCCAGTGAACTTCACACCCTCGAAGCCCGAGCCTGTGGTGCGGCCGGATCCTGCCGTGGATTTGGCGGTGGGGATCTGTGCAATGATCGAGTATGTCTGATGAACAAAGAGCTGACGGATACTGACTGGGTATAGTGCAAGAAGTGCGAAGGAACCAGTGGAAAGTACAAGAGAGGCAAATGTTGCGGAACTGGTTTGCAGTGAGTGAGAGTGTTGACTTGATGATATTCTGCTGACTGTGTAGGGCTTGCTGCTGCTACTATTCCTAGATCTACAGGATCGACTATATAATCGACGATCTGATCGACGATCTTATGGATACAGTTTGAGGGAATAGGGCTTGCATTGCTTCATCAGTGTTGATCATCGTGTTTATAGTTTGCAAGATATCTACCAAAACTTTACAATTGTGCTAATGATTACTTCAACTGTCTTTCTGGGAGAAGTGCTCAACTATCGTACATATCCCCATTGCTAGACAGGAGAAGTAGTCTCATCATCAGAAAACTCAGCCTGTCGCAGCAAACTATGAATAGCTAGTCTCTGTCTGACTTTGGCAGGAGATGATATCGGGGGATCGCGTGGTTCTTGAGACAGAATAGCTACTTCTGGTGTCGTTGATAAACCATCGATCAACTGTTGCATATCGTCAAGGATAGGCTTGATGAGCGAGGATGGACGAAAGAATCGTTTGATAGCTTCAAGACATTGCTCGACTCGACTGGCGGTAAATGTTGGATGGCGAGACTGCGATGAAAGAAAGATCATCAGTCGAGTTGCATGATATGCGCAGATTGCCGTGTCAAATTCGAGGAAATATGGCACAGTGCATCGCTGATTGATATCGCACAGTAATTGAATGATCGACATTGCATGCTCTTGACAAATACTTCCAGCTTGTTGGCGATGATCTGCATCGATCGTATCCAGCACAATCCGCGGCGGTGCTTCAGGACATCCAGGCAGCAAAAGACGATACAAATCGCAGAAACATTGATGCCACGAGGTCATCATCATAACATGTCGTGAAAGCCATGGCTCCTTAGTGATTATGTCTAATGTAGTGTATATATTATTGTATGGCATTTGTCGATGCAGCTCCCATAGTTCCTGTTCCAGACTGCGGATGACCTTGGATATCTCCACAAACGGACGGTCGCAAACCGCCAATTCGCGAGTGAGCTTCATGATATCCCGTCTGAGAGAGGCCAGACGGACAGAGATGGCCAGAGTGCCACATTCTTTGTCGATATCCCCTGCGTCGGGTGGTACAAAGCTGGTTTCGTGACTGGGTGGTTGGAGGTATATCGTCTCGAACGGACACAGTTCAAACTCGGACAATCCAATGGAAAAGTAAGATTCAATCAGTTTAAAACACCAGATTGTCCGACGACGAACTTCAGCTGCAACTGGTGTGAGATCGGTTTTCTCGTAATTCAAACGCATGGCCGAGGCAGCGCGAGAAGCCAGACCAGCCAGCATGAAGGCTCGTTGGAAGCCGCCTGTTTCGACGCGGTGGATGATGACCAGCAGCAGGGCTTGCAGTCGTGAAACCGAAGGAGACTCTAATCGCTGCCAGATGATGTCTTCTGCTTTGGATATCTGTGCTGTGCTTTCATCCTTGTCTTCTTGGCCTAAGCGCAGTGTGACAATGGCTTGGATGGCGAGAAGTAAGGACTCATCCAGCGTTCCATCGTGGCACTTGGCGATGGTCGACGGTGGATGGAGAAAAGAAAAGGATGGGACTGGATAGAGATGATGGAAGAACTTCTTGACAGTTTTCACGTCATCTGATTCTTTTATCTGAGTGTTTGAATCTGATTGATCGTGTTTTGATCGAACTGGTCTGGGATAACTGCACGGCCATCCCCGACGGGCACAGTTGGTGCACTGAGGGCGAGTATTCGAACAGCGCACTTTCTGAGCGCGACATTCCGAACAGGCACTGCTGTTTCGCAGTCGGCGTGGTTTATTCGTGTTTTCAGTTGTATTCGACAGAGAACAGGTGAATCCGAGTCGTTGGCAGTTGTCGCAGGGAATGTCGCCATTGCAGCGGACCTAGACCGTTAGATAGAGTCATCAAGACAGAGGGGGTGAATACCTTGCGATGGTTACATTGTTTGCACGTCCTTTTGAGCTGATGATGGGTCAAAGAAAAGACAGATGTGTAGGGAGGCATTTTCGGTTGATGAAAAGCGAAGTCGAATTGATTGCATTTGAACCGTGTTGATGGCGTGCTTAAGCGGGGTCTCCACATACAACTACTGGGTGGATGTAGATGAAGCTATACAGTGTATACATATTCATTTCATATAAAAGACGACATATATAGCATTGTTGAGTTATTGAACTTCATCATGTCTCTAATCTGTATAGTAACCACACCAGGTATACAATTACCTTCAACCACTCCATCAACTCCAACCTCGGCTGTCAATCTTCGGCCCATCCCGAAGTCATCAAAGAGAAACAAACTTCATGTCGGATCCGAATTCTGGAATTGTTCTGGAGTCGTTCTGGAATCGCCACCGCGGGCCGTATCAGGCAATGCAACACCACTGTGACATCACCACTCTGTCTTGAACGATTCTTTGGATTCGCATAGCCACCAAAGACGTTCGGCCGACGATACCAGCAATGAATATGCATATCCCTACGTTCAAGACAGTCATACTGTCTTAACATGGCTGGCCCTGACTACTGGAGAAATATCCTCGTCGTGGTGCCGATCGTGGGAACGTCTGTAGCCACCATCGTCTATCTGCTGCGACTGTCCTGTCGCTATCTGTCTGGTACTCATATCAAAGCGGAAGATATCTTGATGGGAATTGGACTCTTCTTTACCTATGGCGTGACGGGCTGTCATGTCGTCCGTGAGTGTCTCAATTGTCTTATAGATACTTCATTGCTGATCCATCCAGAGGCATTCAGCGGCATTGGCGAGTCCATTCGAATCTCCCGGAACATCTTCGAATGCGAACAGCTTTGGTATGCCCCTTTATCTATCCCTGGATGTATCTAATACGGACAGGTCGCCTGGCTCGCTCAGAAATTCTGGCCTCCCGCCCAAGTGTTTGTCAAAACGTCGATTGTCATCTTCCTGCGCAGGCTCTTAGGCACCATCGATGGGTTCCGGCACATCGCGACAGGAGTCATCGTCTTTTCCATCGTGTGGGGATCGACCGCCATCATCGGGAATACGTTTCAATGCTGGCCGCCGCAGTATTTCTTCGTCAAGCATATCGAGGGCCACTGCATGGCTGGGCAGAATATCTTCTTCATTGTCATGGGGTCACTGTCGCTGGCTGAGGATGTGGTCATTCTGTGTCTTCCCATGCCGGTTGTCTGGAAGTTGCAAATGGCAACACGGCAGAAGATTGAAATGACCATTATCTTTTCGATTGGGGGGCTGTATGTCATCCCATGTATATGATATTCGTTGCTAATGAGTGCAGAGTGTGCGCCTTCAGTCTGTTACGATTAATCTATTTCCGCAAGTACCGCACAGACGATATATCCGGTATGTCTCCTCCATCTAGCATATCATTTGCTCATCATAAAAAGGAACCGCTGCCCTCGAATCCATCTGGACGATCCTCGAGCTCGACGTCGCCATCATCTGCGGCTCCATCCTGCTCATCAAGCCGCTCTTCCAGGCCTGTGTCGGCCTGATGCGAAACACCATCACTCGCACATCCCAGCGCCATGATTCATACAACACCCCGCAGGCCCTCATGATCAACAAGCCAGACTCCATCTTCACCGGGGCAAGTCACGATCTGTGTTCCGGGATCCGGTCGGAGATATGCACCACCCCGACAATGGAGCGGAATGAACAGACAGAGTGGAATTGGGGGCTCGAAATGGGACGGATCTATGTGGGCACGTCGATCGATCAGGGCCTCGAGCTTCACTCGGATGCTTGTTCGATGGGAAGTCGGAGGGGATCGGGTGGCATGGCTTCATTGCCGTCGCAGAGGAGGCCTTCTGTTATACATCCTTGATAATGGATTTCGTCTTCATCCGTTCATCGAATTGTAGGTTGGGAATGGTGTCGCTGGGTACATCATCCACTCGCCGAGAATGTCGTTGATGTCGCTGTAAAAGAACGACTGCATGTTCGACGGCACTGTCTGCTGCATATCCACAGGTGGGATAGCAGAATAGCTCTGGTCGGCTGGTGGCCCATATCCAGGCTGCGCGATGCTGTTTTCATACCACCACTGCACCTTTTTCATCCGCTTTTCGTAGTGGTAAAAGGCATCGCGATCTCCTCGTGCGTCGAAATGCGGTGTGATCAATCCTTGCAGACGGAGAATAACCTGTCGCAGTACCGATGACATGTCCAGCGCTTCTCGATACTCTGCTGTCTGATGATAAATCGACGGTTCCAATGCTGCCACGGCCAGTTTCGACGCGAGCGTCATGCCAAAACCAAGTTGCACCCACTGCGCATTGTTGAATCCGGTCTCAGCACGAAGGGGAGCGGAAGCATAGAAGGACAAGAGAGATCTGGCTGCGAGTAATCCATTACAGAGCGAGTCGAGCTGGAATTGAGACCAGGGAGTCGGTTGCGAGTCTCTTCGTCGGTCAAACAGGCTGATTTGCGTGAGATACAGTTCGGTCGTGTGGTATTGCATCAGGAGAAAGGCTGCGGCTGTTAGTATTGATCGATTGGATGACATCGACGACATACTGCTTTCTTTTAGATCGAATGGAACAGTCACTTTGTAATGCTCGAGTCCTTTGCGCTGATTCTGGATGTGTCGCTCTATCTCTCGGTTGGTTTCCGTTACACCCCGCAGAGGATGGTCCATCTTATCCAGCAGATACTGCAGTTTGATAATGAAGATGATGTGTGTGTCTGATGGATACTCTGGGTTTGTTGCTAGTGATTGTCCGCATTCTTCGATATACGGCGTCAGTGGAAATGTACACGACTTGTCGAGAATGCGCGAGATACTACAAAGTCAGCCTCATCCACGACAGTATAGAGATACTCACCTCGACGAAATGAAGTAACACCCAACCACGGCTCTCTGCACCTCTCGCCCCCACGAAAGCGCAGTCATGCCGTCCTGCGAGTCTAACCAGACGCGGTTCTTCTTCGACAACTGATCGAGCGGACGATCCAGACGCAGATCCAGAATGATGCTGACGGCCAATTGAAGATATTGCGAGAATCGACGCGGTCGCGAATGATATTGGCACCTAAATCATCAGCTTTGGTCAACCAGAATGCGAACAGTCAGACAAACCACGCGAGATGCACTAGCAGACCCTGGAGAAGCTCGACCGAGATCTTGCCCCCAAAGATCATCCGGTCGCTGATGTATTGCTTTGCCTCATGTTCCAGCTTGCGCTGGACGGGCATGTTATCGAACATGGCAGCCGTGAGCACAGTCAGGAAGACAAAGGGCTTCTCATAGCGCAGTTTCTCGCCGGTCATGCCATCAGGGATGATTACAAAGGGGAAATGAGGCATCATGATTTTCTTAAAAGAATCCACCAACGTGTTGGCTGCTTCGATGGTGAGGAAGCCTTTGTCGATGACATCGCCATTTTCGCTGGTTTGCGATGACGCTTGGATGTCGGGAGAGTCATTGCTCTGTTCATTAGCTGATGTACAATAAACTATGAAGATGATCATACTGAGATACTGCCTGCAGCAGGGGCACTCGAATTCGCCAGAAGCTGCTCTACTTTGGCTTCCAACGCGTCAATGCGTCTATAGAGTCAGTGTTAATTCTCTTTAATTTCCGTGGATATTCACCTCTCCTGTGGCACTCTTCCCAGATTAGTCCTGGCAGGCCGGAAAGTACACTCTTTTCGCAGTCGATGGCATCTATCATCAGTATCAGCATCAAGATCTGAAACATCTTAGGCCATCCCACCTATCACAGCTGCTCCTCCCCTCCGATCGCGTGCATCTGATTTTCGCGTGGGCGCAGTTCTCACACGTTTTGACGAGCAGAGTCTGGTTGCTCGACCCTCTTCGACGATCTGCACCGATAGATGAGTCGGACATGGTATTGATTTGGTGATTGAGTCAAGGTTAGTTGAAAAGGAAGATGAGGGGTGGATGTTTCATCGATGCTTGTGATGTGATGAGGCTGCACAGCCACGTATACAAAGTGGCAGTGTGGGGCGGTTGTGTTGCATCCCAGGCAGATTTTATTCAATTATGCAGTCTGATTGGTTGATTTTTCAGATTGGATTATACTCATTTGAGTGGACATTATGCATTATCTTGACAGGTAATATGCAAAGCAATCAAGTAAATCATACATTTTCGTAGCCTCGACGGATTTGGATATATCTTTTGCGGCCCATCTTCATCTGCACACAAAACATGCTTCCTCCCAGTATAATGAGTCCAGCAACACCGAGGAGAAGTCCCCAGAGATGCTGGTATGTGTACCGCATCACAGCAACATCATTTCCATGCCAGCTAGATCCTTTGCGATGGCCCAAGAACGAGTAACTGGTCGTATCGTACATCATCGATGGCAGAATACCAACAATATGCGACAGTTTCAGATTGCCATTGGAGCGTTCACGCGTCATGCGAAGCCACTGGGACAGGATGTTGCTGAGGAACATCGGGCCGGTCGTGAAAAAGACGGTAATGTATTTGGATAGGTAATGGCGGTTGTGTTCCTGCAGACTCAAAGCCACCTTGATAATGAACGGATGATTCGGCGCACTCGCCATAAAGTCGTTGCTCACTCCGTACGGCCACGTCTTGGGCAGCAGAGCAGGAAAGTCCAACAATGGATCGAGTGGTCGGCGACATTCAATGTCCATGTCGATGTAGATACCTCCATAGTGCCAGAGGAGGAAATACCGAAGGGCATCGACGCGCTGTATATCGTAGGAATAGCTATCGTAGGTTGGAAGGAACCAAGCAAACTCTCGCTGGATGAACTCGCGGGCGCCCTCGTCGGTCCAGAAGAACTGCTTGTATGTTGGGTTCACCTTGCGACACGAGTCGTATGCTCCCTGCCAGTCTTTGGGGATGTCGGTTGTCTTGTAGGTTCGATGAATGATGCGAGGAATGGTGTGGTTGGATTGCTGGTCTGGGAAATTGATCGGTTTGCCAGCGACGATGGACTCATTCAGAGCCTTGACATAGGCAGGCGAGAAGTGGTGTAGTAACAGCGAGTTGGCCTTTTGACCAGAGGAGAACTCTGCCAGGGACTGACAGAAAGAGGAGAAAAGAAAGAGCAGCACGAGGAATGTGATGGAAGAGATGGGATAGTGTCGCATACGAGACCCGGAAGCGGAGCAGAAGCTGCAGAGTCTACGCAAGACGAGATAGCAGCGTCTGTCCTGCATGGTATCTGGATCGAGCTTATTTTGGCGTCGTTGCATGACAGGACAAGGTATAAGAAGTGGACAATTGGAAGCAGCTTTTTGTTGAACAGCCGATAAGACATTCACATCTGGTGTTACTTGATATAAGAGTCAGAAGAGGACCGTCCCATCAAACGGAGTGTTTTGGATGAGTCGGTGGCACAGATAATTTACCCTATCAGAATGCAACAATCATAGCATATTATTCTGCCATGCGAGGCAGAATAATTAATAAAGGCTCAAAGCAAAATACACAAAATGAGTCTATACAGCGCCGATCAACGCCAAATAAACTACTGGCTGCTGGCTTTGATTGGATCTCACCATATACAATGCTACCTATGCATTCTAGGAACATCCAGAACACTGCCCCAAAGGGCCACACACGAGCTGCTAACCATTCTAATATCTGATGCTTATCCTCACTGCCTCTATCCGTATCCGATGCCGACTCCGACTCCGACTCCGTGTCCGTGTCCGCCTAACCAACAGCAGCAGATTCACAATTTAGATCGTCTATTTTTATCGCAAATACCCATCTGGCAGGAATCTGACCAAGATCCACTCGACCTGGTCTTACTGTTAGGCTGAGAGATACTGAATAGGCAGCGCGATAATAGAGTCTGATCTGATCATCTCTACAGTGTGGACAGCCAAAATGTACTTATATCGTCCACAGAACGGAGGAAAGACTCCCAATCACACAGCACTCTCTCTACAACTACAACTACATCCACTCTATCAGTCTTCACCATGGGCGAACATCCTGCCGACGACTGCACCATTGGGACTTGTCCCATGACGCTGGCCAACTTCGACTACATTCCTAACTTGGCCGGCAACGTTTTCTATCTCGCTCTGTTTGGAATCCTGCTTCTCTCTCAGATTGGAATGGGCGTTTATTGGCGAACATGGGGCTATCTCATAGGCATGACGGGTGGTCTTGTGCTAGAAGTCGTTGGTTACATTGGCCGTGTCCAGTTACACTACAACCCATTCCCCTTTGATCCTTTCCTGGAGTATGTCATCCTATCCCACAAATGAAGCCATGCTAATTATCAGATATCTCATCTGCCTCACCATCGGCCCTGCCTTTATCAGTGCCGCCATCTACATCTGTCTTGGCCGCATCGTCACTGTCTACGGCGAGAACGTCTCCCGTCTTCGTCCTCGCACCTACACCATCATCTTTGTTTCGTGCGACCTTCTCTCCCTCATCCTGCAGGCGGCCGGTGGTGCCATCACTTCCACTGCGGATGACAATGACACTTCCCAGAAGGGTATCAACATCATGATTGCCGGTCTGTCCACCCAGGTCGTGTCACTGGCCATCTTCATGGGTCTGTGCATCGATCTCGCCATCCGAATCCGCAGGTCCCCCCAGAATCTGAACTGGTCTTTTGGGGCCTTACGCAGCACGTTGAAGTGGAAGCTATTCCTCATCAGTATGTCTCCTCTCCTCTATCTGACGATAATATGCTAACAGCTCAGGTCTGGCAATTGCCACCATCACCATCTTTATCCGTTCCATCTTCCGTGTCGCCGAGCTGAAGGACGGCTTCGACGGTGCGCTTGCCAATGACGAAGTCACCTTTATGATCCTCGAAGGTGCAATGATGTCCATCGCCTGTATCTGCATGACTGTGTTCCATCCCGGGTACTGCTTCGAGGGCAAGTGGAACGCCACCCACTGGTCGCCTGTCAAGCAACAGGAGCAGAGTGAATGGAGTCTACAGGAGAGAAACAGAGACCAGGATAGTCCAGTGGTAGTTTAAGCGTCGCGCGACTGGTGATTTGCTTTGAAAATGGAGTTTCACTGGGCTAATTGCAACTAATGCGTCTCATGACTAGATAGAATACGCCTTTTCCTTTATTCTCTTCATTCACCCCCTTTTCCTGTTTATCTATACCTAGCGTGTGTTTATTTGCAGCCTTTTTTTTTTCTCTTGTTTTTGTTTTTATTCATGTTGCCTGGTTTGATAAAGCTGGAAAATGAGTTTGTCCTGGAAGCAATGTCTACTATACCAACTACCTATCATATTTTCTGTAAACTAAAATCCCACGTAAGACCACCTATGCTCCGTACTAACATCACGAGCCTACTCTTCAGACCATTGGCTAAGCTTCAATCGCTGCAGGATTCCATATAAGCACTAAGCACCGGATTTATTGGACAAAACTTCCCTTTAACGCCGACATGACTCGTTACTCTACGTGCCCCCATCTAAGCCTCATTTGTTTTCTCCCAAACTAACTTAAGCATCCCCTAGGCTCCAGTGAATATTGGAATTAATCCGGCCAAAGATTCTGTCTGCTCAGGATTTCCTAAGATCCTTTTTTTTGACCTTCCCTGACTGGGGTGTAGGTCAATGGCCAGCAAGGTTCTATAACATAGGTATCGAACTTTATCGATTCTAACCATAAGTTCCTGGGGTTATTTCATCATCCCGTTTGTATGCATTCCATCTGTTGATTATTGTTATGTTATCCTGATCCGTACGTAGTTGTAGATGGTAGACAGTTAGGACCGTTCATTGAAATATATATCAGCGCACAATCTCCATGTTCACAACGATGCCTGCTAGAATATTATCATACTCGAGCAAACACCATACCATAATTTTATATACTATTATCAGGCCTATATGTTACGGCCACCACTACCAGGCAGCGTTCTGGTGTAGTACCGCTGCGTTTATTCGGACGCCTGTCCTAGAATCGCTATCACCATATACCCTACATTCTAACCTAAATATAATTAGAATATAGAATTTATAGAAGGTTGATTTTGATTGTTAATATTATAGCATGAAATGTAAGTTCTTATGTAGGAGGGATCTTATCTAGTGTTTAATATGTCCTCTACTCAAACCCTCCCATCCAGCCTCCGCCACATTAGGTTTAGCGTACAGCACGAGGATCACATGACACCACCAGGGCGAATGATGACATAACAGCCCGACTATCCCGGCCCGACCTCGGGAGTAATCACGGAGACTTCTGGATTCAATCGTCTTCCTCCTTTCTAATGCATTGGCCGCAGGATGATGTATTCATTCCATATAGAAAACTCTTCCCCACAAGAACAGCCAAGAGGACCAAAACCGAAACGTCTCAAGATCAGTGTTGCATGTAACGTTTGTAAAGCCAAGAAAACAAAATGCGATGGTGCTAGACCAGGTAAGCGAATCAAACGACAAACCCGAGAGAGTGCAATTGTACTGTGCTCATATATCTCGTGCTAGTATGCGGGCCTTGCTCGAAGAGGAAACAAAGTTCGGAATCATGTATATACCGCGAGGCTGATCGAATCTCTCCCTCATCGGGTAAGCAGTAAGTACTTAGAATGGACTCACCCTCAGAACATAACACAGACAAGCATATCATGATGCTTACCTTGCGGCTCATTAATCGCGGCCCATGACCTTCAGATTAGCTTACGCGTTGAGCAACGTACAGTTCAGATACAGCCCGAGAGAAAGTTACGATCGACAGCGACCTCTGTAACACTGAACAGCCAAGACACACTAGGTGTCCAAACAACTATTCTCAAGATGAAGGTAACGACGAGGATAGCTTGCACGGCGGGTTCGTACCTGACGGTAGTCTTTTTGGCGCACCTAGAGGGTCGCATATCTTGCATGAAGTTGGAAACGCCTCACGCCCCAAAAGAAGTTTTGAGAATATAGGGAAAGAAAGAAGTCGAATCTTGCCTCGACCACTCGAAAGGTTACCGAAGTTACAGAAAAAGGACTCTGGCAGAGAATCCTCTGAGATGCAGTTTGTTCTTCCTACAAGGAAGGTGGCCGACAACTTGCTGAGTCTATATTGGGATTATGTGGATAACGCCTACCCCTGGCTCGACAGATCGTCTATCGAAAACGCATACGAGGCGCTGTGGATTAAAGATGGAGAATTGCCTATGAACGAGAGGGCTTTGCACTGCATCCTCAATATCATATTCGCCATATCTTGTGTTGTTTCTCAGACCCAAACACCTCTCTCTCAGTATAAATCCTCAGTTACTTTTTTTGAGAGAGCTCAAGGGTTAATGTCCTACGACCTCATGGAAGTGTACAATTTCGAAATCATTCAAATCCTATTGCTTACAGCCGTGTATCATCAACATGACAAAATGCCCCAGAAATCCTTCCGAAGCATTGGCATGGCGATTCACGTTGCACAGGATCTAGGGTTGCATTTACCTGCAACAATCGAATCTATCAATGACTCCCGCGAGCGGGACCTTGCGTGTCGGGTTTGGAATGGGTGTATTATCATGGATAGGTAAAATATGAACCGTGAATATTTTCAATGCACAAACTAACTATACAGGATTGCTTCCATGACTTTTGGCTGCGCACCTAAAGTTCCCCAAGCCGTTGCAAAACAGGGACTGGAAACTTTGATGCTACACTCAATGGAGTTCGGCGGCACTGGGAATATGAATCTACCCTCGAAGGCGAAGTTTTACATATCATTCTGTCGACTACATCACATCATAGGAGACGTGTTAGAAAACTTTTATAATCCCAGTGATTCCAAAGCCGACCCTGATTCCAGGAGAGATTCCACTGGTGTGAAATCAAGCTCGCCATTATCCTTTGAGAAATTCACGGGCCTGTTTAGAATTGAGTCAGACCTGTATAATTGGACTGAAAGTCTTCACCCATATTTCCGAAGGCCATCGGATCTTGAAGACCCAACGCCGACGAAGCATATCACACGTCAAGCAAACGTTTTGCGCGCCCGGTTTGGATTATAATACCCAGGACTGGGAAATGCGGACTAACTTTTGTCTAAGATATCTTTCCGTCCGGCTCCACCTTTTCAGGCCGTTCCTATCACAGGTGCACCATCGAAAGGCAGACAATGCTCCCGGGGTTAATTTGTACTCGGAAGATCAAATCATTGAAAATGTGGTGTTTCAGTGCCAAATTCAGTGTGTCAAAGCTGCTGAAGACATGATAGATTTCATCATCACCAATCTACCGGAGCACACGCAGGCGTATATTTTACCATCGAACTGGTACACTGTCTCATGTGGGTTACTCTGATAAAATGAGGGATAGCGTTGCAGCTAACGATCATCAGATATATACATGGCGGTGACTATTCTGCTTGCAGCACAAATGTCACCACAGATAGTGGAACATTTTTCTCTTGCTCGATTGAAAAACATTTTACAGCAGGCTCGTGAAATTTTGAAAGAGTATCAACAGAACACTGTATTGGCTTCGCAATGTAGCTCCGTTCTCAAGTTGATCCAAGAAAATATTGATATGCGCAGCTCTGAAACAGACTGCACTGCTGGAGAAGGTCCGCAAGACGCAATCAACCATGACAACACAATGATTCAAGGCGCAACCATGGAAATACAAGAGCCTCAAAACAATCTAGAAAAGTTGGGCTGGCTCGAGAATAATGCGTTTGACTGGAATGACTGGCCTTTATTTTTTGCACAGCTGAACGAGGCAATTAGTCCAGCTGAAAGATGGGAAATGCCAATATAAACTCGTCAATCCAGAATATAAGAACTTTCATCCTTATTAGTCACTGAAGTCCATGGCTTTGGATAATCTATTGCGGATTATTTTCCGCGTATTGGTCCTAAGCTCGCCGTGGGTGATATTAACAATCCCAGTTGCGCGAAGAACCGGGAACCATAGATGTAGCAGGAAGGGCGCTGAGTATGGTCCGCCAAAAGCTCCCTTCACAAGTTAATAGCAAAAACAACACTCCGCTTGCTTGCCATGTCCGTTTGATCCCTGTCACGGAAGTGGCAAGTTAGACGAAATGATTAGCACCCCGAGCCTCGGGAAGCCGATAGCCCACGGCTTTAGTTAAGGTTCTCGGGATATCAACTTGGGTGGGTCAACAGAGTCGTCATACCCCGGAACATCCCAATTTGGATTCCCGGTCGTTCCGGAAGCAACTCAATCTGGAAATCGGACAACCGGCCGGCTCGCCCGTGCCGGATAACAGTGAATGGTCCTAAACAATGGAAGATTAATTTAATGCTACGATCTTTCGCCAGTCTACTTATCTATCAACTCTTCCCTCCATTAAAGCTCATATCACCCAGTTTCTTTTGATATCTTTTCTTGAAAACATACTCTCAACATGGACCAATCCCCCCTCGCTACGGCTCCTATGGGTCGACTATATTTCCTCGACGTTGGCCTTTCAAATCCAGAACTTAATGGCCGCATTCTTACCTGCCAACCGGATGGCTCTGATCTCCGCGAGCTGGTTACCAACATCAGAAGTTTGCCCGACGGCATCGCCATTGACACGGGTCGCCAGCACATATACTGGACGAATATGGGAGTCCCCTCTGCCAACGACGGGTCCATCCAACGCTGTGATTTGTCCGGTAACAATATCGTGACTATCATCCCAGCAGGCCAGACGCATACACCGAAGCAGCTGACTATTGCGCCCAAGTCAAAAAAGTTGTACTGGTCAGACCGAGAGGGTATGAGAGTTATGAGGGCGAATATGGATGGCAGTAACATCGAAGTGCTTTACCAGGCTGGCACCATCGGTACAGACAGCCAGATTGTGCAGAATTGGTGTGTCGGCATTGCTGTCGACGAAGAGTCTAGGTCTGTGTTTTGGACGCAGAAAGGATCGTCGAAGGGAAACGAAGGGCGAATTTTTCGAATCGATCTCGAAAAGGACGGAGAAATTCAGCTTCTTCTGGGCAATCTTCCTGAACCCATCGACTTGGAATTGGACCACGCTTCTGGAACACTGTACTGGACTGATCGTGGTGATCCACCATACGGTAACACTGTGAATTCAGCCGCCCTTGCGGGTGTGTCAGCGAACAACTTGAAACCAAGGATTCTGATTCGCAAGCTTCATGAAGGGATTGGAATTGCTTTGGACTTGAAGAATAGCCGCATGTTCTTCGGTGATCTTGGGGGTTCTCTATACAGTGCCAATTTGGACGGGTCCTGCAAGACCACGATCTTCCCTGATATCGGAGGTGCAATCACAGGGATAGCCTATGTTGGAGAGTAGGTGATACATTGACCGTGGTTTGCATTCATGTCTTTATTTTATACTACTGTGCCAATAGAATTATCATTATTATTATTTACTTGGGTTTATTGTCTACACTGAGCCCTAGATATATATATATATATGGCTTTAAAGCATAGTACTGTCCTTATGTTTTGGAGTAAGATAGATATATGTCATACTATGGGATCACTCCACCAGTTAAGTTCCTAACAGATGATGTGAGAGATATCATGCAGATTATACGTATGAAATCTTTTCTGTCCTCTTGACAGGAATGGAAGCTATTGACTCGACATATCCCGGCCAAAAAACTGAGCTCTGAGCCAATCACCGATAATAAAATGTTGGTTGCGAACAATGGCCGAGTTAAGCAGGGTTAGCGAAGATGAAACGCAAGGAATTGACCACAGTCAGGGCCTAGAGCTCCCGGGACTCCAGTTCGATTTGCGTGTCTGAAACCCGGTTAACCATCATCCCTTTCCGGATCGCAATGCTTTCTTCCTGAAAGGTTGACTCAGAAAAATGGATCAATTTCTTAGAAATCATTGGAAGACCGAAGAACGGCGAGTAGTATTAGACTAGCAAGGAGACATTGTTGCTACCTCAGGCCCTCTGCTACAGCCGGAACCCCAATCGAGTCATCCGGGATCCACCCTACGATATCCTGGTTTGCTTCCGACAATCTCGGTAAGGCAAATGTCGTTTTTGGGCTTATTTATGGAGGAGCTCCAGAGAGGAGTTCCGTATCCGATTCCCTGTTTTTTATTAGTACGTACTTAACAGTTTTGTGATGCTCTTGTTTCTCGAAATTGACCGCCTTGCTCTATATACGCTCGGCCTTAACAGGGATAGTTTTGGACTTAATGATAGAACTGAAAATGCATTACTATACAATTGCTAACGGCTATGCATGGCAGAGTACACCGAGAAGCAAGCTACAGCCATTGGATGCTTTGGGGATGATAGCAATGAGGAACAGAAGGTGTCAACCACCGAGGGGTCACGCTGGAGTTACCCAACTGGACCACCGGCTTCAGGATATCCATCTGGCCCCATGGCCCATCTGAGAAACTGGTCAGGAGCGATTCAGTTCCGGATTCAAAGTAGTGGGGGAATCTTCTCTTCCATCCATCCATGACGACGAGCAGAATCTCCAACACGAACTGGGAAGAGTTGATGGGACCCCATTGGAACAACTGATTGCTCTGTTCAACAACCTCCGGAGAGTAGAGACCGATCTCAGGCTCCAATGCAATTGCGTCGGCCTTCACCAAAGAGCTCGTCACCCGATATGAGCCGCCAAGTCGAGCCCGATCCCGAAGAGCCATCATAGCCCCCAAAGCACCCACAAGGCCAGTAGTCATATCGGAGATCGGAAGTGGCGGAAGAACACTAGTACCATCCTTGAGGCCCAACGACCGGCCCATCACGTAGGACGATCCTGAGGCTGCGTCTCCAATCTGCTGCCAGCCAGGTCTTTCATGGTAGGGCCCGTCAGGGCCGTAGCAGTTCTCCTCGACGTACACTATCCCCTTACCACGAGTGCCGGCCATCTCGAGGAGATCATTAACACCGAAACCCTTTCTGGCAATTGCATTGGGGCGGAAGCCCTGAACAAACACATCGGCACCTTCAATGAGTTCTCGCAATCTTGACTTATCTTCATCCTTGGTCAGATCAATATCGATTGTGCGCTTCCCTGCGTTCAAGGTAAGTTGCAATATCTACCCATTATCAGTTAGCACGGAGAGATTCGAGCCGGAGTAGGCCAGATTCTCGCGACTTACGTTAAGGTCTGTCAAGCGGCTGCAGTTCACGCGGATGACGTCGGCACCAAAAGCCGCGAGCGTGTTGCCGATGACAGGACCAGCAATGATGCGAACCAGCTCAATCACTTTGATACCTGCCAGGGGCCGCTTGTCGTCTGGAATATTGGGCAGGGGGGCTGGAGGAGTCGGGATTGCATGCGACTGTCGAGAGTAGCTGACGAGTGGGTGATCCGCAAGTCTCCTTCCCATCAGCGTGTCTGACCAGCCTTGGGGGGTAAAGCAGATGCTTCCGCAGAACCCGTTCTTGACGTTGTGCATTTCCAACTCGTCTGCAGTCCACTGCTCCACATGCCGGCTGATATAGTCATAGGCTTCATCCAGAGTCTGGGCAGGGTAATCAGGATCCATCCCCATCGATCGGAGCAGCGGGGTGGGATCAAGGGAACCATGGAGTTGATACCAAACGCCCGGAGTCTTTGTCTTGTAGATAGCGGTAGATCGTTGTCTGATCGGGGTGGCCATACAGCCTTGGTCGAAATCGTGCGTAAAAAGACCTTGCAGCTGACGCGACCTGGCCAGTTCAGAGATGTCTTTCCCTTCCACGCATGCCGCAAAAACCGTGCCCAACCAAATACCAGCATGATCGGTGTTGACCGTGACCTGCTGGGTATGCGGTGGAGTGCCATCACGATCTTCCACGATTTCATGGGCGACAACTCCACACATGGCATGCAGGGCAGCTGCAACGAGAGGGGCCTTGAATGGGCCAGGAATGATCGGTAGCGAGCTACCCTCAAACTTGACTGTATCCCAAAGCTCTTTGTTTTGAGTGAACCCAGGAGTATTTTTTGCAATATACTCAAAAATTCGAGCAGCATCCTGGGGAGCCGGAGTAAACTCGGTATCCATGAAAGTCCCCGGACCGTAGATATCCACGCTCGGGGTGGTTTTGTGTAGATGAGACATTGTGAATTCTGCAGGTTATTTGCACAGGATCACTTTAGCCAAGGAGACAAACAACGAAGACTGAAAGGTAGCAAGTATAACACACCCCTGATGTTGGCGACGTATTTATACTTTTTTAAGACCACGGATACATCCCGAGAAAGCTCCGAGCCTCGCCGTTCCGAGATTTGAGACCGGAAGCACCTGGTGGAGCTACACTGGCGGACCACGCGGAACCGAATATTCTGATTCGGTTTCTTTTGGACTGGCGTCAAGTTGAAATCCCGGAAGCCAGCAGGCGCTTCCGGGCAGCTTTCTTTCCCGATTCGGTATGTGAAATCCGGTACCTCCAGGGCTCATAGACTATATATTAGCCTCACTGCCCGCATAGTCAATCGATATAGAATCTCAATTCACAGACAAATTATAAGGAACGGCGAACGATTCAAAAAGCATGTCTCTTCCTACCATTCGAACTGTCGGTGTGATCGGCACTGGGGTCATTGGCGCCAGCTGGACGGCATTGTTCCTCGCCCAGGGCTTGAAGGTCATCGTGACGGACCCAGCACCAGGAGCTGATGGCAAACTTCGTGAGCATTTGCGAAAACATTGGTCCGCCATTCCCAGTGCCAAAGTGACACAAGACGAATATTTGAATAATTTCAAATTTGTCAAGGACATCGACTCTCATCTTGGCGATATTGATATGATACAAGAGGTGAGTTGGCCATCGCAAAAAGAGCCATCTTCAAGACTGTGGCTGATCGATCTGTCCACATAAGAATGGACCGGAGCGGCTGGATTTCAAGCGCCGTCTTTTCGCCCATTTGGACGCAAACACCCCCGAGCATGTTCTTATCGCATCATCATCCTCCGGCCTCCCATCATCGGAATTTGTGACGGAATGCAAGAACAACCCAGCCCGGATCCTCATCGGCCATCCATTCAACCCCCCTCACTTAGTGCCACTGGTGGAAGTAGTACCCCATCAAGCAACCGGTGATGCGTACGTGACGGCTGCGCTCGAGTTCTACCGAAACCTCGGTAAAGATCCTGTGCTCGTCAGGAAGGAGACCCCCGGATTTATCGGGAACCGGCTTCAAGCAGCTCTTTGTGCCGAAGCCTATAGCCTTGTCTCGAGAGGTGTTGTCTCAGCCGAAGACCTTGGTAAGTATTGTCTGTTTGATTGAATGTGTGCTTACTCTAACTTCATCAGACAAAACTGTAACATCTGGCCTTGGTCTTCGTTGGGCGTTGACCGGACCTATCATGACCAACACACTGGGTGGAGGTGGCGACTTCAATCATTTCATGAGCCATCTGGGCCCGGCATTGAAAACATGGTTGGATGACATGCACCGACATGAATTTGACATGGATTCTCAACATGTCGACGTTCTGAAAGAGCGAGTGAATGAGTGGACATCACAGGTAAACTTAAAAGAGGTTGAAGAACGTCGCGACGATCGTTTGGTTGGCTTGATCAAGAGCCAAAAAGACTTTTCAGAGGCTGGGATCAGTAGATGATAACGAACCGACGGAGCGGTTAAGACCAGAATAGTAAATAATAATGAATCAATGTTTCGAAGCTATTGTATCACGTTCATTCTGTTTTGACAATGACTTGTCAGGTTCCTCTATTAGGACACCGACATGATTACTTTCCATCTATCTATGGTTGACTATGTTCCGCCGTCTCATCATATGATGTAACTGCTGGAGCTTGGAGAAAATCGAGTGACAACATATTCGATAATGATAAAGTCGAGGCAGGGGGGAATTCATTCCCTAGCCAAGTGTCATGATCGAGGTAGCCATCGGGGTCGGAATTAGTGAATAGACTGCTAATCGCGTCCGCTGATTCCCGGCTTGTCTTTACATCGACATAACGAGCAGCAACATCATATAGAGGCTTGAAAATACGCAGCTGTCTATTACAGCTGGCATAGCGCGGTGATTGTGCCAGAGACTGTAAACCGTCAACCACTCTCTTCAAGCGCCCCAGATCCGACAGGTCAGCAGTATCAACAACATTGCAAACCAGCAATGTGAAAGGGATAAACGGCGCTTGGAGAAGAATCTCGTTGACCCATTCGTGAAGACCGGTCGGCCATTTTGCTGCATCGGAAAGTATGGCAATACTGGCTTCGCTCTCTTCAAGAGCTACTCGCGCAGCAGTGATGCATTGCGTACATGGTACTATACCCGAAGGTCTTTCTGTTGGGATTCCTCGATATATGGACACCAGGGTCGAGTATTCTATAGCTCTATTGGCATGTATCATGAACTGTGAAAGGTTTAGATCTAGGACATGGCTACTCCACAGGTCTGGCCGATTCTGAGAAAGGTGGTCAGTTTCCCGGACTGTTCCGTATGCTTGCTCCTGTTCGGAGCACAGGAATAGCCGTTTCTAGACTTACATAGTATCCGGTTCTCGCGGCTATCATCCGCTCCAGCTCAGAGGCCAGTGCACGGGTACGAGACACGCGAACGGAACCCGGTTGGGTCAAAGCAGTCGGGCTATACAGGCTATCGTACAAGCGGCCGTAGAGGCTAGCGACATCGATCCAGTCCGGCAGCCGGTTATATGCTAGGGAGGCCATTTCGCGGTCCAAAGTGAGTCGTGGGATGGTGATATCCTGGTCTCTAATCGTCGATGGCCTGCCGAGCCGTAAAGCCACAGCTTTCTCCAGAGCATACACAGCCCAGAAAAGGCACATCTTTCGTTGCACTGCGTTTTCTTGTTCCGTTACCATGGCGTGACTGCTATGCAGCCCCAAGGCCAGGCACATAAGGGACGCTTTTGAAATAAACGTCCACGCTGTGGAAACCGTTCCTCGGTGCAGACAATGAAGAGACTGTTGGAACTCGTAAATTAATACTGTGGAAAATGCATTGCTACTAGGAGGGAAAAACGCACTGCCATGTACAAGGCACAGATAGAGTCCATATTGGTATCGATGTGAAAGGAAAGATTCGATAGAATTGTCTCGAGGCTCTCTCTGCACGTTGCAGCTTGCACATCATAGTCCTCTCTGAGTGTTTCGTCATCGGCGCCAATCGAGCACTGGGTGAAGAGCGAGTAAAGGACGTAGTGGACTATGATCAGCTCCATATCGCTGATCGGACCGGGTGTGCAGGCTCTGATCACGTACTGAGTGAAGTCTCCCAGAGAGCCAAATTCGAAGGGCCAGTAAATCTCGCTCGGCAAGCTCTCTGCGGGATGATGATCAGAACGAATGCAACACAGCCTGGAAAAGAGAGACGCACCTTGAGTGATCCTGAGGCATGCCATGATTTTATCCATGGGAGGGATAGGCAAATCCCCGAGACTAAGACCAGAAGGCAGCGCCTTTAGAAATGAACGTGATCCTTCCAGCGTCTCGTTTTGCTGCTTTTGGACATTGAGGGTGCTCTGCAAAGTATTCAACGCCGAGGTTATGTCGTCGACGGCCCTGGAGTACGGGTCATTCATCACGGCGGTTTCAAGAGCTCTTGCTGCGCAAATGACATGGGCAAACAACGCGGACTCAATCCCTTCCGCTGGAGCTAGAGCGTTGTGGGATGGCCGAAGTCTGCCATCTTGGGGTGATGAATATGATAGTGTTCGTAATCCAGTTGGGGCCATAAGGCTACTACTATCATTGCGGCGCTCATCTCTCAGTTGCCCTATAACTCCGTAGAGCTCCTCAATTCTGTTCGAAACATGCTCAAGTCTCCTCTCACTAACGGTTTGTTAACGATTAGATAGGTGTGCTTGGGGGATAACTCACTATACACTCGAGATCAGGACCCGTTGCCGCCTTTCTTTGGTTTTGTGTGCCAGTGTGAATGTACACTGCGCCTCCGTCTTGGTACAATGTGAGCACGGATTAACGCGATTACACTTGGTCTATTAAGACAGCTCGAAAGTCAGTAGACCGACCCCGGATACACCTCGGAGGGAAACAATCTCTGCTCCAGGTAAAGTGAAGGATCGTACCTTTCTCTGACGGCAACGATCACACTGTGGAGCATATCAGCATCTAATGCACATGTGACGCAACTAAGGAAATGTTCGCATACGGCCACTCTCTCCTTGACCACAACCCCATGGTCATCCACCCCTTCTTCCCCCGCTGCTTGGCCCGTGGGTCTGTAATCGGTGCCTCCAGGTGTGAATGACATCATCACAACGGTACCTAGAAACGTTCTCGATGTGATTTGGGCAGGGCAAAATGCAGGCTGAATGGTGGAACTGTCAAAATCTGTCAGTCCGGACTTTTTGGAAGCCCTCCCCGACGAGGTTCGATGAAGATTCATGAAATCCCGAGCCATGGGCGGACATTCGGGGCGCCAAGAGTGCGCCGCCCGAACAGTGGAGACACTTTATATACTTGACTATTTCTTGCCTCACGTTTGGACACGGATGCGATTCTTGCATATCCTGTGAGTCCGCAAACATTTACGCTTATCCGTCCGTTCCAACAAATACCCCACCATGAAGTATCGCGGCGTTGTCTACGATGTCGGCCTCAATTTCAATGGCACTGGATTCTCCGTCGAGCCATTCGATCCGGCTCTCGTCACATACGACATGAAAACAATCGCCGACGAGTTGCATGCCAATGCCGTTCGGATTGAAGGAGAGGAGATAAGTCGGCTGGAGGTTGCCGCACGGTCAGCGCACTCGGCGGGACTCAAGGTGTTTTTCAATCCGTGGAAGATGAATGCAACCATCGAGGAGACCCGCGCATACTTTGAAGAGGCGGCAAAAACTGCAGAAACACTACGGACTGAAGGCATGGATCTAGTCTTTATCGCCGGCTGCGAATATACGATCTTCAGCCACGGTGTTTTCCCCGGGGATTCTTTCAACGACCGTGTAATGTTTCTCGCCCCGCGGTTTCCCAGCGGTCACATGATCGAGGATATTCCGCAGGCTCTGCGTGACAAGTCGGTCGAGTTGAATAAGGTGTTGCGGTCTTTCGTTGAAGTGATTCGTTCTCAGTTCGGAGGACAGATCACATATTCGGCTGGCTCCTGGGAAGTCGTGGACTGGAGTATGTTTGACATCGTTGGCATCGACTATTATCGCCGAGGGGAGACTGCGGAGAAGTATGTCGCGTGTCTCGATCGGTACCGGATTGGACAGCCTCTTGCTGTATTGGAGGTCGGCTGCTGCGCCTACGAGGGAGCAGCAGAGCGCGGAGACGGCGGCTTCGTACTCTTGAAGGGCACGAATCCAGACGGCACTGGCATCTTCGAGAACGATATGGTCCCGACTCGGAGCGAGAAGGAACAGGCCGATTATGTCGGGACGCAGCTTGAGCTTCTCAACGATGCAGGGGTTGATGCGGTCTTCATATACGTGTTTTCATTTCCTTGCATGCCGGTAGGAAAAGAGGCGAGGGATCTGGACATGATGTCTTTTTCGCTGGTAAAGACCTTTCCCGAGATGGAGTCAAGATCCAAGGATATGCCTCCGTGGGTACCGAAGGAGTCTTTCCATCGCGTCGCTGAAATATTTGGTTCTATGGAGCAGTCGGAGCAGAGCCAGAAATGACACTGAAATGCGCCTTAAGACAAGGCCATGCTTGGTAATAATATCGCTAGTATCAGAGCAGTGGTGACTTGGAACTATGGATTGATAAATCCTTGGTACCAACATGTTCATTCTCATTACTCGAATCTTTTCCCCGCCAATGATCAGTCGTAGGCATCGATTCCTGCGAGTCCATGTTCCTGGCTATAGGTTCATTGTGCTTTGCTAGTGACTTCTCAGGGTGTTCTGATGCGTTATACGCGAACAACGGAGATGACCATTAGATAATTGGAAAGCCCTGTCTTACAACCAACTAGATAAAAATGGACGATAACTATCAGTGACCTGAGACTGACTACCACGGAATGCTCCTAAATGAGGTAATTAATAAAACACTTGTCAGTTGTCATTTTAGATATCTGATATACAGACTGAGTTAGCCTGGTTCTATCCAGTTGTACGGGGACAGTATTCTAAACTTCGCCCATGTCTGCGAGCATGTTCGCCTATAGCTCTTATTGCCTTCCCTTGATTTCACTGGCTGTGTGCCTAACTGCCGCAGGAGGCTAATGCGGTAAAAGCCCGGGCCCCTGTGGAGCTTTGGGATTTAAAAAAGCCGAGATTCAAATCCATGACTCGTTACTCCTGTCCAGCTTGAATCAATCATGAAAACTAACTCACTACAAATTCAGATGTAACACTCGAGGAGCATCCGAAAGCCCCCACATCAACACTAGGTTGTTAGTATAATACCAGTGGTCTTCGCCAGTCTAGCCGTGACTCATGGAGGATGCTATTGACGCACCCGGTGTTCCCTTTTTTCTAATAGATAATCGGTGAAATAAACTACGATAGAAGCCTGACCAGTCATAGTGATTGGGACATAGGTAAGACGAGCCACGGTCATTCTCTACCACGGATCTGATGGAGTCCAACTATTGATTATCAGATAATCTCCCAACAGTACCAAGTTGGCTTGACCCACATCAGCGGGATTGGCGCTTAACCCGGCCTATCAGGTGCTTGGGGAAGTCGTGCATATGCCTAATAAGGCCTAGCTGGAGACAGTTGTTTCCAGGCCTCGCCGCTATTGGACATATGGTCACATAGCCCCATGTCGTATGACAATCAGATATGTAGGAGAAGAAGGGTCTGATGGGTTCAAAACACCCTTTTATAGTATTGATCAACACTGTCAAAGCACAGCCTTATTGCCTCCAGTGGGTGCAAACCGGCTAGCTTGTTCCAATCTTGAATTGGGCAAAGGCGTACCTTGGTCATAAATACAGCAAGCCCCCTTGTCGCGAAGTTGATGATGTCTTAAACAAAACAAAAGCAACCTTATCTAAAAGGTTCGTCCCAATCCTGAATCAGCGGCTTATACTAACATTCGCAGGCGAAAATCCCATCATGAACAACTCCTGTGGAGATAGCGTGGCCCAGCCCCCCTTCACACACCAATATGCGTGCGCATTTTCAAGCAAACTCAACAGCACTAGCCAGGCCACTGCACAGCAATGCTGTGGATTGACAACCACATTGAACCAATACTTGGATGGATGCTGGCAGTATTGCGAGATTACCGGGAATAATCATTCTGCAGTCGTGTCGTGTATGAATGACGCTGATATTATAGCGGCAGAGTATGAAAGGACCGATGCATCCGGTGCAAGTGTCATCTCCAAGCCTGGGTTGTTGGGTCTGGCAACTCTGGTTGTTACGGGGTTGGTTGCTGGGACTTGGTGATGACTGTTTGTTATATCTTCTGTATGATACTCCTTACAAGCTGGGTATGCTAATGAATCAATATCCTACTGTAATGGGGCACATACTTTCCTTGGATACTGGTTTCTGGTTTTATTATAGTCCTTTCACTATGAGCCTAATGATCTTTAAATTGATACTCCAATTACAATCAATGCACCGGCTCATCGCCAATTTCGGCCATTGTCTGCTCCAACAATCGAGTCATTCTCTCCACCACATCTGTATACTTCCCATCGTAATAGCAGTTAAACAACTCCAGGGGATCCTCCTGGCAGTCAAACAGCTCCCACTCTCTATATTGCTCTCCACCTGGTCTGGCTCCCTCAACATCCAGATCCTGATTGTACCAGTAGATCAACTTGTATCGCTGATCTCTGACTCCATAGTGTGCATATGCCTCGTGAATAGCATCATTGTTCATCCAGTACCGATGATATGCCACCTGAGGCCAGTCAGAGGGAGTCTCGCCCTGTAACAATGTGCGGAATGTCCGTCCCTGCATGTAACTCGGTGTCTTCAATCCTGCGCAGTCAAGGAATGTCGGTGCGAGATCCACATTCGAGATGATGTCGTTGCAAACGCTTCCTGCTTTGATCTCGTTGGGATACCGGATCATGAACGGCATCTGGAAGCTTTCCTCGTACATGAAGCGCTTATCAAACCAGCCATGCTCACCCAGGAAGAAGCCTTGGTCGGAGGTGTAGATGACTATGGTGTTCTCTGCAACTCCCTCTTCCTCGAGAACGTCCAGCAATCGACCGACGTTATCGTCGATGCTTTGGATGGTCCGGAGATACCGCTGCATGTACCGCTGGTACTTGAACTCGGCCAGCTCAGAAGCAGAAGAAAAGGTAAACACGTTTCCATCGTCATTGTCGATCAATCTCAGTGCTTTCAATTGGTCTTCCGTTGTCGGAGCAGGGATCTTCCTCGCTCCATCCCACATCCTCTCTCCAATCTGCTTTCTCCCCCCGTCTGGTTGAGCAAGTCCCAAATCCTTATAGGTGAGGTCCTCTGCAACCCGCATCTTTGCGACAGACGCGGCCTTGGCTCGATTCTTATAATCATCTGTAAAGGTATCAGGAAGCTGGATACGATCCATATAGAGCCCCTTGTGTTTCTCGTCACACTCCCAACTCCGATGCGGTGCTTTATGATGACACATGACAAAGAATGGCTTGGAAGTATCCCGTTCTTTGATGAAATTAATACTCTTATCTGTGATAATATCCGTCACATACCCCTCCACCTGCTTGATGCCATCTGCCTCGATAAATTCCGGATCATGATAATCTCCTTGACCGGGGACGACAGACCAGTAATCGAAACCTGTCGGCTCATGGGCTTTTCCTTCACCCATGTGCCATTTTCCGACCATGGCTGTTTGGTAGCCTCCTGTGCGGAGGTGTTTGGCGACATTAGGGAGATGCTTGTTGATTTTGCTGTCGAGGGTCATGACGCCGTTGACGTGGTTGTGGGTGCCGGTTAGGATGGCGGCACGAGACGGAGTGCATATGCTGTTGGTTACATAGCAGTGGTTGAATAGCATGCCCTCGTTGGCGAGACGGTCGAGATTGGGGGTGTTGTTGATGCCCGCGCCGTAGCAGGAGATGGCCTTGGAGGCATGGTCATCGGCCATGATGAAGAGGATGTTTGGTTGGGACATTTTGTAATTTTACTGACCGGACAGTTTGTGAGAATACAGGTTTGGAGGATGGTATTCGACTTCTATGATTTATATTCAATCCATATCCAACAAAATGTGATGGCGATGGCGCAACAATCTACGGATGTCGGCGTCCATCCGGATGTCGGTGGATTTCCTAATCGGGAAATGATATGCAGAGACACAATGACAGAAATAATTCATTCAGCCATGAACATACGTCAAACAAGAATTGCATTCTGTACCATGATAATCACGCCATGATTAGACCTCAATTTCCATCTCCACACTCTGCAAATCCTGGTCTTTCGAACTCGAGCCCACCCAGAATGTATACAATCCCCCGTCGACTCCCCACTTGGTGTTGAAATAATATCCCAGTTCCTTGATGGGAATTGTGAAAGTCACTCTTTCCACATGTCCAGCTTCTATCTCCACCTTCGCAAATCTTACTAGCCTCTTGACCGGTGTTTCGACTGGTCGCTTTGTATGCTTTTCCCGGAAGTAGACCTGCACCACTTCGGATCCCCTCACTTTTCCCGCGTTGGTCACGGACACTGCCACCGTCACATTTTGCCCTTGCACCTTGATGATTGGTTTGGAAATGTTGAATGTCGTATAGCTCAGTCCATATCCAAATGGCATGGGGACATCACGAGTTAAGAGGGGGAATTGCCACGCTGGAGACTGAACACCAGTCATCGATCCCATGCCCCCTTCATTGTCGGATGGGAGGTAGTTGTAGTTGATGGGAATAGCAGCTGAGTGTTGCGGCATGCTGATGGTCAGCTTCCCACTTGGATTGACAGTCCCTTTGATAATTTCGACCAAAGCATCGCCGGTGAATTCTCCACCGAGGAAGGAATGGATGATAGCATTCGCTCGAAGGGTAGAATTGTTCAACACGAATGGTTGGCCTCCGGATAGAATCAAGATAGTCGGGACTCCAGTATCCAAGACAGCGTCGATGAGGTCTTGCTGCAACCCAGGGAAGCCCAGATCGGCATGCGTGAAGAACTCGCCGTCTGTTCGCTTCGAGAAAAGAGGATCATCTGTATCAACAGAGAGTGATCCGAGCATCAAAACTGCCAGCCCGGCTTCTTTTGCAGCTGCCACAGCGCCTGCGATACCTGACCGATTGCTCGTGTCGATGAAATCCACGGCTGGGATATATTGCACCCGGTCGGCTCCAAACTCGTTTTGCAGACTTTGTTTGAAGGAGTGGCCCAGAGAGCGATCGGTTGAATTAAAGGATGCATATGAGCCTGCATTGATGATATCGGCAAAGGGGCCTAAAAGAGCGATATTCGTGGTATTTCTGGGCAGAGGAAGAGTTCCATCATTCTGCAGCAGGACAATGGCTTCGCGGGAGATATTCCTGTTGACCTCCAGATGACTTTCCAATCGCAACGTCGCATTCAACTTGGCCATGGATGGAAGAGGGCGTTCGAACTGGCCAGTTGCAAACTTGATCTCCAAGACTTGATGAGCTGCCTTGTCTACCAAGGAGGCAATCTTGGTGTTGTTGACACTCTCGATCAATGTTGGGAATGTTCCTCGCTTCCCTGGCGACAGTTCAATCGCCAGCCCAGCCTGTAGAGCCCACAGAGCAGCTCTCTTCTCTGAACCGGCAACCTTGGACTGAGTATACAGATGGAGGACTTCACCGGCATCGGACATGATGAGTCCATCGAAGCCAATGGTGTTGCGGAGTATATCCTGCAGCAGATACTCATTGGCAGCCACGGGCACACAATCCACACTGGCATACGATGCCATCAGAGACAGCGGCTTCGCTTCTTGGATGACCTTGATGAATGGTAATCCGACCTCATTGAAGATGTAATTCAATCCCCCATGCATGCTGGCCGTGTTGACTCCCCCTTTTGACGCTCCGTAGACAAAGTGTTTAACAGTCGTGGCCACCTTGACGAATCCATCCTCGTCCTTTTCCTGCATTGTTCGAACATATTGACTGCCAAATTCACCGACGAGATAAGCATCCTCGCCATACATTTCTCCCAGTCGACCATTGCGAGGATCTTGGGCGAGATCTAGCTCCGGTGATAAAACCCAGTGTGTTCCGATGACCATGTTCTCGTCTCGGATGGCTGCGACGACCTTTTGATAGAGTGGAATATTCCACGATGAGCCCACTGCCAGCGTACTGGGGAAGAGAGTACCACCACGGAGATAGATGCCATTAACTGAGTCAGTCACGGTGATGTAGGGGATATGAAGTCGAGAGTTGTTGTATTCAGAGGTACGAATCCTATTGACGATAGGAATGGCATCCTGAGCAGTATTTGCTTGTGATCCATATCCTAACTCGTTAGATCAGAAATACGCGGTAGAAAGAGACGTACCAATGTTGCCATTTTCCAGTGGATATAGAATATCGTAAAGAGTCTTGTTGAAGAAGAGATTATCCGATAGTAATCGTCTGTTTCCTCCAGTCTGGCCGATCTTTTCTTGCCATGTCATGCGAGAGAGAAGATCATCTGCGCGCTGTTTGGGGGGGAGTGAAGCATTTTGATATGGAAATATATTCAATGCTGCTGCTGTTTGCAGACATGCAGCTAGGAATAATAGATGCATGATGATGGTTGATGAATTATAATCAACATGGTAGTTAGGTACATTTATATATCCACAGATCCTCAAAGCTATCTCGAAGAGGAAAACCACCGACATCCGGAGTGCATCAATGGGCCAAGCATGGTGTCATTCTAGAACGAAATGATGAACAGTGGGGCACTCCATGAGGATGCATTCTCAAATTAATCATCCATCTTAGATGATTACTTCACCCTGCATCGACAACCTCAACTGGTTCTTCAAAAATGCCACTGTCATCTCCGTCTCCTTTCCCTTCTCCAACATGTATGTCGTGCTTTCTGGTGAGTATTCCACGCTTCCTATCTCATCTGCCAATGCAATACGCCATGCCAATAAATAACCAGCAACTGTCCATGCCACTTCTTCTCTATTATTCGGAAAAACAGCTGCATCAAAATCCCCCGTGTCGTCGCATCGGCTCTTGAAATATTCGGAATATGTGTCCACCCATTTGTCATAGTGCTCTAGAACAGCAGATGGAAAGGATGCCAGAGCTTCCGATGAGTCGATATATGCTCCTTCCGAATAAAATGGATCAGATTTATTTCTCCAGATAAAGTCCGTCCCAAAATCGGGGAAGATGTGATAGTGCCGTAGTTGATTTGCCTCAACTGGCTGGCTTTGTGACTGATGCGACGGTACTTCAAACTCGACCGCGCATCTTTTATCGTCTGTCGGATTCTTGATTTTCATAATCATGTCAAATGTCGTTTCGATGATGATCGTGTCGTCGTCAGCTTTGGCGTCGTTGGAATCCGCGAGTGTTCGCCATGCATCACCCAGGTTCCGGACTTTTTGGATGTACTGTTGAGACTGGGACTGACTGCAAAAGGCAGCGAGGGCCTTAACAATACTCATTTCGCCAGTACTGATGATCCGTGGTGGTGATGTCTGGAGTTGGTGTTTTGATTCCAGCGTGGGAAAAGCGGGGTGAACCAGACTAGCCGAAAGCGGAAGACCGACTCTATTTTACGTGGCAGGCATCAATCAGCTGCTCTCTGCAAGATTGGATGGTATTGGCATCTTACCTACTGGATATATCTAGTGTCATGTGCCAAATAAATGAACATGTCCATGCAGGCATACGCAATAGTATCAGAAAGTGGACGATGAGAGGCCGGATTTCTGATCCAGTCGGGTGAGGTGGCTTCAATACGAGGAGGCGTCGACTAGATATCTGCAATAGTAGATATCAGTTAATTCCATACAGGGGTGCCGAGCAGTGAGACTATGGCTGCTGACGCCGACGTCGTGTTATAAAAGCAGAGAATGCACTCTGAATATCTCAAGAACATCATATCAAACAATCCATTCACCATGGCTTCACTCACTTCCACAGAGCTTACCGAAATAAACAATCTTCCCATCGACGAAGAATGGAAAGTCTTACTTCAGGAACTGCTGACCAAAGGTGTTAAAGTCAGCCTGAACGATGTCAAGCGCATTTGGCAACTGGCCATGAACCGCATCAGTTACATCGAGGACCTCGAGTCTCGCATACTTTGGGTGTATGTTGATCATCCATATATTATCCAGTCGTGTGCTAACAAAGGTGGTGCATAGTGAGACCGGAAACGAGCGAGCAGGGCTGGCACATATCCTCAAGAGACATCTTGGTGAATTCGAAGAATACGATTCCGACAAGTTGCTGGAACTTGCTGAAGCATCAACCTCGGTCGGTCTGCCCATGGGGATTCAGGGGAAGATAGGGAGAAGCCGTCCTATATTTGCTCTGTTCTTCTATGGAAAACCACTGGGTATCGCTGTTCAGGTGGGAAGCAACGGCTTTGTGGTTTCGATGAACAAGAAGAGTCTGGATGAGCTGGCGAGAAAGAACCCGCAGCATGGTGATGTCAACCAGCTTAAAGCGCTGCTGCAGGAGTCTCACAGCTGGCCGACTTCCTAGCTTGAATATATGGACTATTTGTTATGTATTTACAAGAGCTATGCGCTGGTTATTTATATATATATCAATTCAAACACGGTCTATATACGGAACGGTACGAAAGGAGTGGAGGAATGTACATTCTGCTCGACTGATGTGGTGAGGTGGAACTCGGCCTCTCACGGCAAGTTATATACATGGCTGTATAAACTACAATTCTCTACCACCAAGGCGTGGATGGAGTAGGATAAGTACCAGTCACAGTCTCAGCACTGCACTGACCGGGAATGCTCTTCGCAGCAGAAGCTCCCCAAGAAGGAGGAACGCTTCCATCTCTTCTAGACGCAGCAGTAACAAACGAAGCATAAGACCAGGTGAGGTGGACAGCCGACGCAGGGGCACCAGTGTTACGGTCGAATTCCTCAGCGAGAGAACCATCGGTCGGGGTGTACTTCTGGACGACTGCGATGAAACCATCGGCGTATTTCTTGACAGCCTTGGTGAGGGTGATGTATGCCGGCGAGGAAGCAGGATACACGCCAACTGTCACGTTGGAGACGAGATCCTTGAAGAAGGGGAGGGAAGTCGATGTCACGTTTAGGCTGCCCTGTTGCGTCCACTGGTAGAGAGCGTCGTAGAGCTGTTCCGCAGATGCGAGGATGGAGAGATACCACGGGTTTCCTCCCTTGTAGACATCCTCAGGGTAGCGACCAACAGCGACAGCACCGGATGAAGTGCCGTTGTTGACGCCGTAGATGGACCGGAACGAGTCAACGAGCACCTTGTGGTTGGACAGAGCACGCGATGAGCAAGGCTGGAAGGTCACATCGTCACATGCAGCAGCTGGATCAAAGATCTGCAGAGAGGTCAGGACAGAGTTGATGTCGAGGCCACTGCGACCGCCGGTGGGAGTGTTGGACACGATGGCGGTGCCATTCCAGTAGTCCTGGAGATGGCAGAGGATCTCAGGAGCAACGGTGCAACTGTCGCAGGACTCGCCCAGCGCAGTGGCAAAGGCATCTCCCTGGACGAGCGATTTGTGCTGGGCAGCAGTGGTGAAGAAGGAGGTTGCATTGACTTCTTCCCACAGATCGAAGCCAGTCTGGTTTCAGTACTGGCCGACATAGGCGAGATCGTTCTTGACAATCGGCCAGATGTTGTTCTTCACTTGGGATTGCTTGCCCTGGCGGAGCAGATGGTTGCCGTATGAGATGAGGGCAGATGCACGCAGAGCAGGACATCGCGCTGAGGACGACCCCAAGGACCGGTAAAGGCAGTGCCATTGACCTCGAATTTGGCCTCCCCCAGACTAGCGCCGGTCGTGAGGTTGCCGGCGGGATTGGCCACAGGCTGCAGTTTGGCCTGCGCGGTGATGTACTGCTGGATGAGAGGCTCTAGGGGGGAATCGCCGTTGATGAAGTCGTGGATCAGGTCCAGCATGGTCAGGGCAGCATCACGGGTCCACGTATAGAAGTCTATATCATCAGTACTAATCTGTAGAAGTGGAGGAGAACATACAGTTCGGATCGACCTTGGAAGGAGATGCCACGACAATTCCTGCTGCAGCACCCTTGACAAGCTTGCCATCGGGGCCGATGTTGTTGAGGATGCCTTGCTGGGCAACAGATCGTTCATTCTCGATGAATGTCTCGAGATCCTGTCGTCTGTGGATTGAAGCCGGAGAAGCCACTACCACGCTGGCGAGGGCGTTGAGAAGGAGGGCATTGAATAACATTGTGAATTTGTTTGCTGAAGGTTGAATAGACAATTGCCAGTTTATATATCTTCGTCTCTCATCTAATATTGACGAAATGCATCCCTATCCACACAAGACAAGCATCCCAACACATGCACATCAACCCTCTCGATTTCCCCAGATGGTAATGCCGGGGAAGATCACCACCGCCGATGCTTCTCCGAGGATCCTGCATGCACCATGGGAGCAACCGACGGGCCGGAATGGTTCATCGATGTTTATTTGACTTTGGATGAAGCTATATTGACTTTTGGGCGTCCGATAACTGTCCGTTTCGTGTTGATGTGGGTATAGAGTGGCCAGTTATATACGGTATCCGGTGTTCATGCATGTCTTCAACCGGTCCTTCACACCTAATAATATGACGATACGGTTCTTCCAGTCTATTCTTTATCTTTCCATTCTGCGTGTATTTGACGATCTAAAGTCTAAACATGTCTTCATTATCCCGTCTCGGCCGGGCCACGAGGTTAATTCTATATTAAAAGCGGACCATATCCTCCCTTCAGTGTGGATCTCAAGTATATTTCCGTTTCAACGCATCCTCCAACGACCTCATTTCCGTTCGTCGATACTCACAAGGTCCCATAGCAGCCAGCCCCCCTGCAGCTCTATTCCTGTTGACGCGTCGTTGAACATCCCCGAGTGCGTTGTAATCCAGGGGATTGCATGTCTCAATATCTCGAGAAGCATCCATCATCAGCGAGAAGCCCAGCGACAGGTCACAGCTCTCGCCTGTTTTGGAGTACCCACTTGACACGATGGAGAAGTATTGCAGGGATGGGAGTTGGCTTATTCGACACAGGATATCTTGCCATGTTCCGCTCTTTAATTCGACGCGGTTGAACGCGATACGCGATATCGTGTCTGTGCACTGTCCCAGTAGTGATATAAGACAGTCTGAAGATATTGACACATTGCAGAGAGATAGAATCTGCAGATGATCTTGGTTGCTGAGACTCAAAGTGTCGAGATCCAGTACATCGGTGCTGCGGATTTCGAGAGACGTCAAGCTGCCAGCGAGCTCAATACAGTTGAAGAGATGACTAGCATGTTCACGGTTGGGCAAGACAGACTTTGCCTCTGATAGAGGAGTGCGCATATAGCGTTTCCCACCAGAGCCAGTATTGTCGCAAATCTCCACTCGGAGATGCTCAAGTTGTTTCAGGACGTTGTGGATTGCCTCCTGCTCCCTATCAGGGACTGCCAGAAAGCTTCTAAATGATGCTGTTAAGGGAAGAGCCAAAGTAAGATCCCTCAGCTTGGGCAGTGGTGTATCCCCTAGTGTCTGCACTGCCCTGTTGGTCAAGCATGATATCTTCTCCCAGGAAAACAGCGGATCAGCATGGCTGTGGGAATACGAAGGTCCGTGGAAATTCAACACGGCCAGATTGGGTAACCGACCCAGGCAGTCTGGCAGCAGCACTTGAAGACTCTGGATATACGCTTCATAGCCTGGGGTAGATTTCCACGGGCCGTCGAGTCCAACCTCGACGTGGCGCACAAATGGTGCACAGTAGCTCCGGGATATTCCACGCAGTCTTGAAAGTGGCCGACAGCCTTTCTCGCTGTCGTGGGCAGAATATGTTGCATGGACTATTCGGAATAATCGTGGTGTTGCACAGTAAGAAAAGATTGCGTTGACCAGACGGAGCGAACTGAGGTCATGGACTGAGTTCGGGTTGTACTTGTCGACTGGGCAAAGTGTATATCGGTCATCCTCAAGGGGATGTTCGACGAACGAGGTTATCTAGGGATATTAGTACTATATGAGGATGGTTGGCATTGCGAAACCTACCAAATCGATGATCTCCACAGGAAGTTGCATGTTGTAGATCGAGGATGGTTTATTGAGATAAAGAATATGAGATTGCCGGGTATTTAAAGGAGGGCGTGAGTTGTACTGGATGGGCTGCAGGATGTGTTCATCTTGCGTATGCAAGGGCTGCTGCTTCCGGAGTGCTCCTTGGAGTGCTCCTGGTGATCGACTCTGATCCTTTGGGAATCTACAATATATATCCTAATTGGTATATATGATCTGTATATCTAAGATATCAGAGTTTATAGCCTATTTAGGATTCTGGGGAATAAAGTTGTATGGATACTGTTGATCTGTATATCTGTGGTGGTACAATCACATGATTCTATACAAATCAAGTTTGTGAATTCCCATTGATGTCACCATCTGTGACTGTGCAACTTGAACAGCCAATGAGGATATTCTTTATCAAGACATCACAATCAATAATAAATACATCCATTCAACATCTAATATGAACATTATGAAGCAGGTACATACACACTAACCCAACGTGGCTAGCGCCTTCACGAATGCTTCGAATTAACAATTTATTAGGACCATCTTGATGAAATGTGGCATTATAGAATTGCATTAGGCTCTTGTCTGCTTTGAAGCATGTTGATATCTATTCCGTCTCCAATAGCCGTGCACGTTGTATCTGTCCTCCGTATATCCTCCGAACTGAACCATAGTATCACAAGAAAATGCTCCAGTCACCCTGCCAACCTGGAATGTCGCGATGGACTTTCCATAAAAAAATCCAACCCAATCACATCAATCAAACCGACCCAAGGCACATTTGACTCTGGCGATCGCCCATTGGCCTGATTCTCCACTGTTTTTTCGGCTCGTTTTCAGCCCCCAATTTTATCTGAACGGGCCGGAAAAGCACGGTTATATTACGGCTGCCACCTCGCGCAACCAGTTTTTTTCCCAATCAACTTTCATCTCACAATATGTTGTATCGATCGCTTCTCGGCTTGGCTGCAGGGCTGCAGGTTGCGGTCGCGACCAACAGCACGATTGACCCGGCTGCGTTCAACAAGGCCGACATCATCGACCGCGATGTCGCGGTGATCGGCGGTGGCTCCGCAGGCACATACGCAGCCATCCGCCTGCGCCAGCTGAACCAGTCTGTCGCTGTTGTCGAGAAGAAGGACCGACTCGGTGGCCATACGGAGACATATGTCGATGCAGTGACAGAAACAGCCGTGGATTACGGCGTGCTCTACTATGAAAACACCACCGTGGTGACGGACTATTTCGCCCACTTCAATATCCCCCTTACCACTGTCTTTGCCAGTGGCCACTACTCCAACCGTGTCGACTTCACCACGGGAAAGCCGGCTGGTGCTCCTCAAGGCAACCAGAGCGCCGCATTGGCTCTGTATGCAGCCCAGCTGCAGAAGTACCCGTATCTGGATGCGGGCTTCGATCTGCCTGATCCCGTGCCAGAGGATCTGCTGCTTCCTTTTGAAGACTGGGTGAAGAAGCACAATCTGGGCGATGCCGTTAACGTCATCACGATGTACAACCAGGGTGTTGGCAACCCGCTGAAGCAGTCGACCATCTACATGCTCAAGTATTTCGGTCTTGAGGTGCTCAAGGGCATCAAGGGTGGTTTCCTGCAGACTGCCGCCCATGACAACAGCCTGTTGTATCTGGCGGCCAAGAGTGAATTGGGCCATGATGTCTATCTCCAGAGCACCGTCAAGGCCGTGAATCGAAGCAACAGCAGGAACCCGCTGAACTACGTCGTGATCAACACGCCTGCTGGCGAGAAGCTCATCCGCGCCAAAAGGATCATCGTCGCCGTTCCCCCCAAGGTCAGCAACCTCAACAGCTTTGATCTCGACCACACCGAGCGCTCCCTGTTCAGCCAGTTCCGCAACTCCTACTACTACTCCATTCTGGCCAAGAACACCGGCATCCCCGAGGGCCTCACTCTCACCAACCGTGGAAACAACACGCTGTACAACACCCCCCGTTTGCCGGGCATCTACACTGTCAGACCGACGCTAGTTTCCGGCCTCGTCTCCATCCTCTATGGCAGTGAAAAGCCCCTGACCGAGCAGCAGGTCAAGGACGACATCACCAAGAGTGTGCTGCGACTGCGAAACTCCGGCTACAACACCACTACACCCGAGTATGTCCAATTTTCCGACCACAGTCCATTTGAGCTCGTCGTTCCGGCGAATGCGATCCGGGATGACTTCTACAAGGAGCTGTATGGCCTGCAAGGACATCGCGACACGTTCTACACCGGCGCTGCATGGCATGTGCAGGACTCGTCGCTGATCTGGAGGTTTACCGAAAGCCTGCTCCAGAAGCACTTTGCTTAAGCGATGAGATGTGAATATTGATGTCTTCTAGTATTTATATATCAAATGTCTGATACATGAGTTTTGTATGGAATGACTGCTTCCGGTGCCCGAACAGCGGTGATCATGTAATTGCCCAGGATGCGTCGTCGAAATCCCGCTTCACAGTAGTTCATGTAGTACTGTCGTCGTTAGAAAAGATCATCCAGAACAAGATATAGAGTACATACCAGCCACTTGCGACGATAGGCTTCAATATCCACCTTTGTTGCGTCGGGATGCTTCAAAGAAAAGTCTGCTTGAATGTCGCCCCAGTTGGCCAAGAAATTTTCCTTCCAGGCCAGTAGAGTCTTTCCATAGTGAGGGCCTGTATTCTGAGTCATTGTCACTTCAAGCTTTCCTTTAGACCCCCGATGGAGAGATTCAAAGAGGATATTTGCCGTAGGGAGATATCCCCCAGGAAAGACGTAGCGGTCGATGAAATCGCCTATTGCAGGGTTCTTTTCATAGAACTACCATCGAGTAAGCAACAGAATCAATGATAGGGGATGAAACAAACCGGATTGGTCTTGGTGATGCCATCAATCACTACGATGCCCTGCTCGTTCTTTAACAACCCAGAGATCGTCTCGAAATACTGATCCATAAATTCCAATCCAACATGTTCAAACATTCCGACCGAGATGATCTTGTCGTACCCATTCTCTGGTCGAGGGGCATTTCTGTAATCGCACAGGAGGATACTGATTCGATCTTCAAGACCGGCTGTCTTAATCTTTTCATCTGCCAGTGTCTTCTGCTCTGCTGAAAGTGTCAATCCGGTCACTCTACAGCCAGTCCTCCTCGCAGCTTCAATAGCCAGTCCTCCCCAGCCACATCCGATATCGAGAACATGGTCTGTTGCAGTCACTTTGGCTTTGTGTAGGATTGAATGCACCTTTCGCAGTTGTGCTGCCTCGAGAGATTCCGACGGATCGCCAGACCAATGTGCACAGGAATAGTTCATATCCGGCGAAAGAAATGCAGTGAAAAGGTCATTGGAGCTGTCATAATGGGAGGCAATGTTGGCCCGGGAGTTGATCAGATCATTCTTTGGCTTGAGCAGTCGAGCGAATCTGGGGAGGAACTGGAGGAGAAAACTGCCGCCGTTGAGGGTGTTGGGGTTGTTGATATAGAGCTATCTTGTTAGAGTGTGTCCATCCTATGGTAGGGAGATTTACATCGAATATGGCAGTCAGATTGTCACAGTCCACTTCTTGATACATGTATGCTTCAGCAAATCCCTGTCCAGTCAGCATGGAAGAGACAGAGGACATATTGAGATACCAAGTCAAAGTCAGAGCACAGTCTGATCCAGAAAGTCGGATTGTTGATAGTTATCACCGCATATTCTTCGTCTCTGCCTTTCTTCCCTTCGTAGACCTTTTTTTCTTCGCCATCATCGCGGATGACAATTTTTAGCGGAGCGTTGATCTGCTGCAGTGTCTGAACAGCAAACTGGCAGGCGTAGTAATTGACTGAATTGCTCAGTGTGGAAAACACCATGTTGATTTTCACTTACGATGAAGATGGAAGGATACAATCCCAGGCCAGGCCTACCGACTTTATACCGGTAGGCGATTGCTCAATGCAGACCAATACCTCAGCTCACCGCAGGATCTGCTTGACGAAGAAACGGATCTGATCTCGGCCGTGCTGGCGATGCAAGGATCATAAACAACCCCTCTTTTCCATCTGCGCTGTCACATTCCAAGTGCATTTCCGCTCCGGCTGGATGCGAATCCCGGTCAGCTGAGATCAACTGCAGATTCTCAATGGATAAATACGTGTTTCATTCATGTATTCCACGTATTGAGTAGTGATTATTCAATGCTACATTGATGCGGCCAACTCCGGTGAGCAAGGTATTCGGGCGTATTGGAACTATAGTAAATGAACCATGCGACGATAGAGAATATTGAAGGTCTGGTCCTCTCAGATCCTTGAGAAAATAGGCCGTATTAATGTCAATATTGAAGCTATTCGCTAGACTAATACAGTAATATCTCGCGGATAGGAGAACATAGCGGTGTAGTAAAATAAGGGAATCTGCATGAATCTTGCATAAAATAAGCTCTTCTTGCTGCCGGTTGGCCATGATGTTAATATACGGTAATTGCTTTAGCATGATAGCAGCAATTCACCGTTGACACATAGCGAATACACTATTACCAAATTTCCAGCTAATACCAACGCGCTGTATGGGAATCCAAACTCCGATAGCGGATCGAGATTTCCATTGTGCTTTTATCAATCTATCTACATCATTAATCTGATCAGATAAGTCCAAGAGTCTGAGGGTCTGTATCCAAGACATCATAAGCACTAGTGACTCATCGTTGGCTCTTTTGCATCTCCAACTGGTTCGTTTGCCTCTTTTGGCCCCCAAATATAAACGAACTGTCCATCTATGGATTCCAATTGAGCGGCTGCGGCCGCGTGGCATACCAACTTATGAGTCTTCACAAATATATATAACAGGGTGTCCCTTTGACAATGCGATTGTCTGCTATCATCATCAAGTCAATATGTGGCTCTCGTTCAATAAACTGCTGCTTCTTGCCTCGGTGTCATCAACTACTTCGGCCAGTCCATCTTTTGTGCCGCGAGATGGCGTCGACTACACCGTCTACAACCATGCTGCCACTGGCTCCAAGTTGGAGATTGTCAAGAACTCTGGCATCTGTGAGACCACGCCCGGGGTCAACCAGTACTCGGGATACTTTTCCGTGGGACAAAACATGAGCATGTGGTTCTGGTATGTATCCCTTGGTCAGATATCACCATCATAATGTTAATTAAACAGGTTCTTTGAATCCCGAAACAACCCCAAGACAGCCCCATTGGCAGCCTACTTCGAGGGCGGTCCTGGATGCTCCTCCATGCTCGGACTGTTCCAGCAAAACGGCCCTTGTCATTTTGTCAATAATAAAACGACGCCCTCTCTGAACGAATACAGCTGGAACAACTACGCCAACATGCTGTATTTCGACCAACCCATTGGCTCTGGCTTCTCGTATGGAGATACAGATGCTGTGAATAGCACTGCCACTGCTAGTCCCTATGTGTGGAACTTTCTGCAGGTGTTTTATGAAAACTTTCCTGAATATGAGAGTCGCGAGTTTGGTCTGACGACCGAGTCATATGGCGGCCACTATGGTCCCGACTTTGTGGACTACATCCAGCAGCAGAATGACAAGATCGACAAGGGCACAGTCAAGGGTGAGAAGATTGACCTCGTCGCTCTCATGATCAACAACGGCTGGTACGATTCGGCCATCCAGTCCAAGGCGTATGTTGACTATGCCTACGACAACCCCTACCGCCAGCTGATCAACGAGTCCGAACGAGACTCTTACTACAATGCCTACTACGCCGAGTGTCTTCCTGCTCTGAATGCCTGCCAGATCAAGGGCACGGATACTGCCTGCAAAAGTGCATCGTCTGTTTGTGCAGCAGCCATGTTTAACAAGATGATTGCCAAACAAGACTTTAGTGTCTACGATGTCAGAGCGCCATTCAATGATCCCAATCCCCCTGCCACTTACGCCACGTATCTGCAAGATACAACTATCCAGAAGGCGATTGGGGCACGAGTCAAGTAATCGTTGTGCTCGGCTGCCGTTGACAGTGCCTTTTCCAGCACCGGAGATAGTAAGTCCGCTGTACATACGGGATGAACGCAACTAACATATCAGACTCGCGATCAACCCTCGCCACTCTCTCCAAGGTTGTTCAATCCGGAATCAACGTCCTCATCTGGGCAGGTGATGCTGACTGGATGTGCAACTGGGTTGGCGGTTATGCCGTCGCCAACAACGTCACCTTCAGTGGTCAAGATGATTTCCGCAGCAAGGCTCTTGAGCCATACACGGTAAATGGCACCCAGAAGGGCACATTCAAGAATGTAGACAACCTTTCTTTCTTGAGGGTGTTTGAAGCCGGACATGAAACCTCATTCTATCGTGAGTGTCCTGTCTACAGTTGTTGCTTCTCATCTAACCCTGACAGAACCCGAGACTGCTCTGCAGGCATTTACTCAAATTATGCAGAAGAAGTCCATTTCCTCCACTTAGAATATGGGTGATGTGGATATAATACCAACCTTTGTAACAAAGAGTCAGAAATTGTTTTACCTAGCATCTCTGTCTTCGTAGTACGCGGGGTTAAGAGTCCATCACATCCCGGTAGCGTGATGATCCCAGTTTTTCTACGCCGAGTGGTGGATTAAAACCACTGCAATATGAGGCAAATTATTGACCAGATTGGCATTTATCCGGTGGATGGAGCATATATCAAGAGATCCCCTGATTGATCAACATCCACTCCATTGTCGTACAATGCTATCCAAACTGTTCACAGTTCTAACCGTGCTCCCGCTTGTCCACGGTGGCTTTGACGCCTCGAGTGTATCCTGGTATACTTCACCCGCCAAAGACTTTGCATCAGCACTGCCCATCGGCAATGGCAGACTGGGTGCAGCTGTCTGGGGATCTGCAGTCGAAAATGTGACGCTGAATGAGAATTCCATCTGGACTGGTCCGTGGCAGAATCGGGTCAATCCCGATGCCTATGATGCTTTTCCACAGGTTCGATCGTTGCTTCAAGATGGAAATATCACAGAGGCAGGACGGATTGCGCTGTCTGATATGGCCAGTCCGACACCTGAAACGCAGTCATCCAATCCGTTGGGAACATTTCAGGTCGACTTTGGCCATTCGGCGGAGGGCATCAGCTCATATGTGCGATATTTGGATATGAATCAAGGGAATGCCGTGGTCGAGTATGATTATAACGGTGTGCGATATAGGTAAGCCCCTCATCTACCTACCGGACAACAACTAAGAGGGGTAGCCGTGAATATATCGCCAGTCACCCAGCCGGAGTCATCGCCATTCGACTTTCTGCCGACAAAACTGGCAGTTTATATATATCTTTGTCGTTATCTCGCAGTCTGAATGCCACTGAAGTATCAGCGTCTGCCAGTAATGCGACTGGTTTGTTGGTTCTAAAGGCCAACAGTGGACAATCCACGGATGCGATAACCTTTACTTCCGAGGCAAAAATCGTAACAAATGATGGTGAGTATTCGAATACCTATTTCAGATATATTCTGACTATTTAGGAAATATATCTACCAATGGATCATCGATTGTGGTCCAGAATGCCTCGACAGTCGACATTTTCATCGACGCAGCAACATCGTACAATTTCCCCAGCATTGAAGATCAAATAAAGCAAGTCAAAAAGAAACTCGACTCAGCCGCCAACCAAGGCTACCCAGCAGTCAAGAAAAATGCAATCGCCGACCATAAAAGTCTGGCTGATCGTGTGAAGCTGGCTCTGGGATCTTCAGGCCCGGCGGGCACTCGGTCAACAGACATCCGACTGTCCAACTACAAGAACAACCCCGACAGCGATCCCCAACTTGTCGCATTGATGTTTAATTTCGGTCGTCATCTTCTGATTTCATCTTCACGGGACTCAGAATCCCCTGGACTTCCTGCTACTCTACAGGGAATCTGGAATCAGGATTATGCACCCGCCTGGGGAGGGAGGTATACCCTCAACATCAACCTGCAGATGAACTACTGGCCGGCAGAGGTAACCCATCTTGGTGATACCTTTGGGCCTTTTGTTGATTTGTTAGACACTGTTCTTCCACGAGGACAAGCAGTCGCAACGAGTATGTATGGCTGCGACAATGGAGGCTTCGTCGTGCACCACAACACGGATCTCTGGGGCGATGCTGCACCCGTTCAGAATGGATCATCCTATACCGTCTGGCCGATGGCTGGGGCATGGCTGTCGCTGCATCTGATGGAGCATTATCGCTTCACCCGGGATAGAGACTTTCTGGAACAACGTGCCTGGCCGATCCTCCAAAGCGCAGCCAACTTCTACTATTGCTATCTCTTCATGTTCAACGAGTCGTGGAGTACAGGACCGTCACTGTCTCCAGAGAACCTCTTTGTAGTTCCATCTGATATGCAAAAGAGGGGCAGCGAGGAAGGAATCGACATTGCCCCAACGATGGACAACTCCCTGCTTTACGAACTGTTCAATGCAGTCATCGAAACAAGCCAGATTCTCAACATCACCGGTGATGATATCAACAACGCCAAAAGCTATCTGGCCAAGATCAAGCCTCCACAGATCGGATCATACGGGCAGATTCTGGAATGGCGAGAGGAATATGAAGAACAAGATCCCGGCCATCGCCACATCAGCCCGATGTTTGGTCTCTATCCTGGCTCTCAAATGACGCCTCTTGTATCCCAGACTCTGTCCAACGCATCAAAAGCTCTTTTGGATCATCGCATCAGCCATGGGAGCGGCAGCACGGGCTGGTCACGAACATGGGCGATGAACCTGTATGCAAGGCTGTTCGATGGCGACACTGCATGGAACCACACCAAGGTCTTTCTGCAAACATATCCCAGCGACAATCTGTGGAATACAGACTCCGGGCCAGGAACGCCTTTTCAGATCGACGGCAATTTTGGTTTCACGGCGGGGATTGCCGAGATGCTACTGCAGAGTCACTCTGTGGTACATCTGCTGCCGGCGTTGCCGTCGGCTGTCCCTGATGGGAGTGTGGCTGGGTTGGTGGCAAGGGGCAATTTCATCGTCGAGATGGAATGGTCGGATGGGACGCTTCAACAGGCAAATATCACGTCGAGGAGTGGTGGTGTGCTTGCTGTTCGTGTTCAGGATGGAGTCCAGTTTGCCATCAACGGCATTCTATATACAGAGCCCATCACCACAACTGCGGGGACGACATACCATGTTGGTCGCGTTTAAACAATAATAGCTATCTGTGACAATAATTGATTATTCATTTGATCATAACTTACGAGTATGTAGCATCCTCACATCCGTTGTCGCCATTAATGCCCAATCAGGCAGTGATCAACAGGGTCAACAGATCCACATCGGAATGAGTGCCTTTTTAGACATCGCGACAGGCAAGATGCAGTCTTTTCACAGACACTGCCTGGCCATACTTGATTTGGGCTGATTTGTCTGAAACATGCATGCTCTGGCGTGACGAAAGCAAGCTGTCGAATCCTGCCTCTGTAGAATGGCCGGCTTGTTCTCCGCCACGACGAGTGCCAAGCGGCGATGTCTCAGTTGGAGCCAGAATTAGACAATTATTTGAGACATCATGACAGGCTGGATGGGTGGATTGGATATTCAGGGATCGGCTGGCTGATCAGCCGATGTGGGGTATATTGATGAAGATATAAATACGGTCGTCTCTTTTCTTATCCATCACCATCATCACCATCATTAACATCCATCACAATGAAGTTCACTGCCTCCATCATCGCCTCTGCCCTGGCTGTCACTGCCTCGGCCTTTGACAAGAACCAGCGTATGTCTCCTGAATGTCCTGTATAGCCTCAACTAACAGAATAGCCTGGGGCAAGCGTGACTACAGCTGCGTCAACGTCTACCAGGGCATCCCCGACAACTCCACCGTCGCTCCGGGCACCAAGCTGGACATTCGCTTCAACCGTGTTTCCAGCAACTGCGACGACATTCTCAACCAGTATCCGGGTGGCAACTACAGTGTCTGGCTGTACAACAACCCCGTGCGGGCCCCCAACACGGTCAACTTTGACCAGTCGATCAAGATCACCGATGGCATTCCCGAGAAGGATGGCGCGGTCACCATCACCATTCCCAACGTTCCTGCTGTGAAGGATGACTCTGTCTGGTATCTGCGTTTGGGCACTGACTTGCCCACTGCTCCTCAGGTATGACTGATCTTTTATTATCAAATGGGATAAACTAACTGGACAGATGCCCACTCTGTACAACGCCGCCGGTCCCTTCACCATCAAGGCTTAGATGATGTCGACGAAGTAATATGTGAATAACGATATATTGTCTATAAGAATTCGCGTTATAGTAATTACTATTTATCAGGATATGAAGCAAACTTAAAATCAAATCATTCACCAAATATTTTATATGAAACACTTCAAGCAATTCAACATGATAACGACTACCATCTCCTCACCGGACTATAACCACATCGAACATCAAAACTAGTAATCAGAGTATCATTCCCCCCATTCTCCGACACCTGGCATTTGGGCCGCGACGTCGCAGTGATATTCCCAATTGAATCCGTACAGTTCTTGTCTGAATACAACAACACCGTGCAGTTTGGGTCGATGGTCGTCGGGATATATCCCAGCGCTCCACCACCGCCGATATGGGTGTGGCAGGGGGAGGATCCGTTGCCGGTGTAGATCTGGCCGAGTCCGCTGCAGTGGATGTTCTGGTATAAGTCGAAGGGCCAAGCGGGACCTGGGTCTCGCTTCATCGGGGATTTGTCTGGGATGGCGCTCGCCTCGGGGAGGAGGGCGAGAAGAGAAGAGAGCATGATTGGTTTCATGGTGGTAGTCGGATGGAATGATGCTGAGTATTGTCAATCCAACGATCCTAATATGGTAGTGCTTTTGGTTACCTTCGACTGTTCTATATCTGACGGTAGGGATTTCGATAGTCTCTTGTATCGCTGAAGTGTTGATCAGCTTTGATAACGAGATGACAAGCTTTTGATGAGCATATGAAATTATATCATCGACCTATAAAGATATCTCATTAGATTGAAGCTTACTTTATCTAGATCTCCCTTTGATAGACATGCATAGTCTGCCATATAAAAAACGCCGATTGGCATCATGTTCTGGTCGAGATGATGGCCAACCAGGGTTCATCCCACCCCACCCGATCTATCAACAGCCACCGACTAAGGGATTGAATCATCTCATCTCTACACATTGACCAGCCTATGATGACCCAGAGAAAACATCCATCAGCCTCAGCAGTTCATCCCAACGCGTGTCTTTCTCAATCTCAATCGTGCCGCGTGGCGTGAGAACCTTGTATTCATCCACGGATTGTGTGCCAAACTGATGCTCTTCATTGCCACCCACGAATTCAACAAGATCCTGGATCCAGTCGCCCATCAGCTGTCGTTCTTCTGCAGTTGGCCCGTGCATGATAGAGTAACTGAAGGATCAGTACAGTTCATTCAAAAATGGAGATCACTTACTTCCAAAAAGGCCTGTCCATCGCATGGCTCACTCCAAACGACGGTGGCGCTACCTTGTCGGTGATGAAAGACAAACGGTATGCAATGAAATATCTCCAAACATCATGGATGTCAACTCCGTGCTGAACCAGATTGTCAACCAGAAATCTCGATGGTGCCCTGACCTGGCCATCCGAGACGATGCGACCAAACACAGCTTCCCAGTCATTCTTATTCTCTGATTTAGGAAATGCATAGGACTGGAGTAGGCGATCTGTTGTCGATGGTGGATAGTAGTTTGTTACCTGCAGCTGCAGAGATTCGATATTTGCCTCTGGCCCATTCGTAACAGCGTATAGAGTCTCTTCGTTTGCAACCTCGCCGATGTAAATACGCAGACCCCGTTTCTTGAATTCTTCCGCAAATGAACCATCGCGATAATATTCGAATATTCCGGGATGGATAAAGACTCCATCTGTCACTGGCCGGAATGTGTGATGCTTCAGCTTCATGATTGCTGCGGTCAGATCCTCGGCCGATACCTCACGCAGTCTCTGCAGCTTTTCCTGTCCGGAAGACGCTGAGGATATCGAAAAGTATCCACACAGCTCATCGAACTGCACCTGACAGTCCTCCGGGCTCTTCGGCTGTGTGGGAATCGCATTCGAGTACATCACCAAGCGACGGAAGAAATCCTTGGATGCCGCATTGCCCCGAAAGTCATACAAAGTCTGCGCCTGGACAGCATACGCACCCGCACTTCGCCCGGCCAAGGTGATATTCTTTGGATCACCTCCAAAAGCAGAGATATTCTCATAAACCCATTCCATGGCCAGTCGTTGGTCCCACAATCCATAATTGCCCACTTCGTTGCCATTGCTCTCATCCCGCAACTCACTCCCGGCCAGGAATCCAAAGATATTCAATCGATATCCAACGGCTACAAACACAGCGTTCAAACCGCCCGTTGAGATCAGCTCCGTTGGATCCATCGCTTTTTCCTGGCTGGGATCTCCGATCTGGAACCAACCACCGTGGAACCAGATCATCACCGGCCATTTCGGGTTGACTTGTCCTGCTACCTTGACCGGGGTCCAGATGTTCAGTCGTAGGCAATCTTCGCCATATGTATGATGGGGAATAGTCTTCTTGACAGATGCTGAGTAGTTGGGCTGGTGGCACACAGGGCCGAACTGGGTGGCATCAAAGGGTTGGCCATCTTCTGAATATGAATGTGACTGGGGCAGTGGCTGAGGTTTTCTCCATCGTAGATTACCTGTCGGTGGCAGGGCATAGGGGATTCCTGCAAATCGGCATGATTTGTCGTCAAATCGAAGCCCGCGGATTATTCCCTTGTCGGGCAATTCAGCGTGACAGTTGGTGATTTGGTATGAAATGATGTTTCCCATGATGCTCTAATGCGTTATTTGCAAGATTCAGCATGCGAATAATTCCAGCAAATACTCCTTGAAAGACTCCTTTACTTCTCCGATAATCTCCTCATCCAACACAGACGATGCTCTCTTCTGATTGGCTGGATTAATCGACGACGCCAAGCATCGCGATACCCCTCTTTATCCTCGTTTCGGTCGAATAATTGCCTCATCAACTGGCTATCTTAGGGAACGGGCATGTCCCAATCAGAGTCGAAATCATGTCCATCCCGTCGTCCACGCAAGGAGGGGAAGCGATCGAAGAATGGTGAGTATCTCTCGCAATGCAGAGTCCGTACGCTAAGTGAGACAGGCTGCCAGACATGCCTAAGCAAACGAGTCAAATGCGATGAAAAGCAACCTGTCTGTACAAGATGTGCTCGTCTCAAGCTATCATGTCAATGGAAAGATGCCATGCCATCGCTGGCCCAGCGAAGACGGGGATTCGGTCCAGTAAAGGACAGGTCTTGTTGGACACCGAGGGCAATCCAACCGAGAATGGCGTCCGATGAACCTGCAATTCCGATCAATACATTAGAAAATCAGGATTTTGAATATCTCCCAGAAGTGGAAAATGTGCAGCAGGTATTGGCTGCTGATTATGTCGGACAGTCAGTGGCATTGGATGATGTTATACAACAACACACAGAGGCAGATATATCCGGAAGATGCTATGATGGTTTCGATTCAACCAACCAACACATGGCAATCGCATCTATACAGTCGCCCTGCTGGTCAATAATAGACACTCTCATCCCTAAAAATGATTTCATCTCTGCAACCGACATGCAGGCCCTCTCCTTCCATCGGGCGGTTTTTGCCCCCTTGAAATCAACGCAGGACTCTTCTCGGTCTGCTCATTCGCTCTTCCTCCATCGTGCCTTTGACCGTCAGATGGCTTTGCATTTTCTCCTTGCTGTGTCGCACAGCGAATTGGCTATCCATCGTGGCTGTGGATTCTATCCTCCTGTTGAATCTCGTCTACATTTCCGCCGGGGTTTTGAGCTCTTTACGACAATGAAGAACAGCAATACACCGATGGATCACTTGAACACCATGCTATCCTTCTTATATATGTACATCTTCTGGATGCGCAGGGATCGTCTAAGCCCGCAGAGACTGCACAAGCTGAGTCGACATGTGTATAGCTATGCCAAGAAGCATAGCTTGGAGCATGTTTGTTCCAATGAAGACTTGCTCTTCCCACTCGACCATCTCCTGTCGGGACTGATCCCAATGTCCGACCAGGTATTACTGGCGAGGATTCTGATCTATCTCTATGATCGAGATGGATTCTGTTGCTTCTTTGGTTGTGGTGGCTATCTAGCCAACTATATCAACAGATCCCCGGTTCTACGGCAGGCAATCTGGCGGGTCTCCCGGGCGCCTTTTCTCTGGCCGATATTGGATCTCAACCTTGCAGATAATTCGAATACGGAGACTAATAGTGGCAGAGTATTCGATCTTTATTTTGAGTTGATCGTTCTGCATCAGCAGGTGAACTGCCTCAGTCAAGGGCTGATGGCTGACTCCTGTGAGACGGGATTAAAACTTCGACATTGCCTGAAGCAGATAGAACAGGTACTTTAATATCTCCATCTCATCAGGGTATAGGCTGATTGGATTGCAGGGCAATCCTTTCATCAATGATATGAAACAAAACGACCAGCCGCAACCACTTATGGCCTGTGTCACCGTCACATTCTTCCACGCCCTTCGCATCTATCTTTGTCGATCGACCAATCACCCCTTTGGCAGCATACCAGTCCATCCTGATATCCAAGACTCTCTTTCGAGATTAATATCAGCTGCATATAAAACCATTGCGACCGGGGCAGTGCAGTTACTCGAGCGTTTCCAATGGTCCTTGCTCATTGCCGGTATTGAAACGTCAGATCCTGTCCACCTTGACTGGATCAAGGCCAACATCTCCGACGCAAGCATTCGAGCTGTGCTGCACTTGATACTTGACGAAAAGACTCGTTTAGGAGGGTCAATAAGTATGCAGACGATTCGTGGATTGGTCCAGAGAAATTGTTTGGGTTAACAATCGCAGTAATGTTCATGTACAGTACATCATATAACATCATCATCCACGAATGCAAAACTAAAGGATATATCGAAAGCTTTTATTCTGTCTGTCAGTTTCGTCAACCTCCTCCAAGCCGGTGTCTGCCTCCAAATCGACTGCTCGGATCTCCTCAGGATCAATATGAGTTCCCTGTTCTTGGTCTCGTTTCCGGTTTATATACCCCAGATAGGCCCAGAAGAAAACCGCCATAGCAATAGTGATTGCAAAGCACACCAAAATTGTTGTGTATGCCGTCTTATAAATTAGCCACGCAGCATATACGTTAGAGCCCCCACTTACATGGTAATTTGGCGCCTCGCTGCTCTTGAAAAACTGCGGACCAATGAGATTCCCAACACAGTATCCCACAAATATCATGGCGACCGTTGTTGATTTCTTGGTGAAACCGGCTGTGTTGCTGGCAAACAGCGACATCATGAGTGGGAATGCTGGAGCGACAGCAGTCACCAGCCAGAAACCAGCAAGTCGAGATAGTTTCTTCCCATCGGGGAGGAGCTTCACCATGAGAATGCCTGCAATGGCCATAAGGTAGATGCAAACCATGGCGACAAGACGGGACTTGCGGATATAAGAGGTGAACAATGCTGCCAGGATCACAGTAGTGAGTTGAAAGGCAGATGCAGGAAGGCCCATCAGGATTGTTTGATATTCATCATATCCGAATCCCTTGATGATCAGGGTGGAAAACTATTGAGTCAGCAAGTGGGCTATTGTGATAGAGAGGGAACATACACTGGTTGTTCCGCCATTTGGAACGCAAATGATAAACGAAAATAGGATGAACCACCACGACTTGGCATCTGTCACTGTTTCGATGAACTGAGCACGATCCCATTTCTTGGTCTGTGTTGTGCGTTGGAATTTCTTTGGCCGAAGAGAAGCGAATTCTCTCTCAGCAGGCGTGAGGAAGCGGGCATTCAACGGTGAATCCGGGAGGAAGAACCAGAGAATGACGGACCATGCGACAGTCAGCAAGCCAAAGGTAAGAAAGAGAATCTATGCCATCAGCATCAAATATTGGTTGTGAGTATGGTGTCTGACCTTCCACTTTGGAAACTCTCCATTATAGTGCAAGATGGCATAGGATATCATCGACCCTACAATGCCTGCAATTGCGTTGCCACAAAACCACACCGAATGTCGCGACACATGCTCCTTTGGTGTATACCACATGCCAGTTATCAAGGAGAATCCAGGACTAATGGCCGACTCGAATATACCGAGAAACGTGCGTAGTACCATGAGGCTGGCGTAATTGTGGGCCAATGCGTGGAATGTGAGAACAATTCCCCATGCGAAACTAAACAGTTAGTTCTCAATATATACAAGGTTATGAAGATAAAAGTAATAAAGCGGCATACATAAGAATGCTAAGATACTTCCCAAGAGGAAAACGGACAAATCCGAGTGAAATTGGATAAGAAGCCACGAGATAGCCAATGTAGAAAATACTGGATGCCCAGCTATAGTCCTGTCCAACGAGGTTCTGCCTCTTTTAGCATCATCTTATATTCAAAAGGACCGACTCACCAGGTCATCTTTGATTCCGAGCACTGCACTGTACGATAAGCTCGTTTTGTCGAGGTACTGAGCTCCGTACGAAATGATCAACAATGGCATCAGACTGGAGGTCAGCTTCTGCTTGGTGTATACGTCATGGTCCTTACTGCCAATCGATTTTGCTGACCAGCTTCTTCTCATCTTCAAGGGTGAAAGCTGTGACTGAACCCTCCTTATAATCGCAGTCATCCTTTGCCTTGGCTGGCGTTTGAGTCCCATGGCTCATTTTGCCCATGTTTGAGGGATTAGTGCAAGACGTGGAATCCTTTGTGGCAGAGAAAATCGATTGAGCGGCTGGGGCGTCTTTATTATTTGTCTGTTGATAACAGTGACAGGCGATGATGATTACCGGAGAATAAGATCCCAGAAGCTAGGTAGAGGAGATAACCAAGCTTGGTTCACTGTGATTGGCCAGTTTAATCGAGGAGCACCCCGTAATGTGGGGTAAGTGGAGTCATCGGTTACCGGATATAGGAGTCTTTCGATATGAGTGTTAACAATATGCTGTTATTATGTCTCGCTTCAAACAGATATCATTAGGGTTGATAACAAGTATACCAGATTGACACAATCATATTATTATCGTCTATAAGCATTATAAAGCAACATTAGTCTATTCTAGTTGATTTAAACAGATGGCCATCCGCCAGTCCAGCTCAGCCTGTTATATCCGAACTGGAAGTCCTTGACAGCGAGACTGCCGGTCCTGTTGGCGTAGTGGTAGTACAGCACGGGTCCCAGCTTGGTGTCGTTGAACACACCCCTGCGTCTGTTAGTTACTCTATCATATACACATCATGAAGATACTTACTGCCCACCAGGAGCGTAAACATCTCCATGAGTCTGCAGGACGATCGATCCACCGTTCTTGGTGCAAGCCACACCGTTTTTGTCAACCTGAACCGTCAGTAAATATCAAAGGACCGCAGATTTAGATTGGAGACTTACAAAGTCGCCTGTTCCGGTCTCGGAGCGGCAAACCATGATCTTGTATTCATTGCCCGGGGCGGGGAAATTGGTGTCGTAAGACCCAGCCTTGCCGGACGAGAAGAACAGATAGTAGTAGCCATCGTGCTCAAACTCAAAGGGGGCTTCCTGAAAGTGGATAGAGGCAGTGCTGTTGTGCTCGGTGTTGGTGATGGGGGAAGAGCTGAGCTTGGACAGCGAGTCCTTCATCTCGACCTGAGCAAGGCCTTGCCAGTAGGAGCCGTAGTTGAGATACGCTTTGTCGCCAATGGTGATCCAGTTGGGGTCGATGGCGTTGTAGGACGAGCTGCTGTTGGTCTCGACGCCGATGGCGCCGTGGTCTGTCCAGGAGCCAACCTCCATCGTGTCGGAAACAGCGACACCAATCGAGGAGTTGCGGGATCCCAAACCGGAGACGACATAGTAGAGGTAGTATTTGCCGTCATCGTAGTGCACGTCGGGTGCCTGTACATGTCAGATGATAGTCTATCATAGCAGTGCGATAATCATACCCAGAGGTTGGAGCTGTTGCCACCGACAGTCGTCACGGATGCTCCATCGGGCAGCACGTAGCCGTCGTATGTCCAAGGTCCCTGAAGATGGTCTGCAGAAGTGACGGTGATACCTCCACCGGTGGAGAATCGGAAGTATTTCCCGTCCGACTTTCTCTGGTAGAAACCAGGATCATGGGCCAGGCAGTTGCCGGTGCAAGGGCCGGGGTTGGAGTAGGCGCTGGCAGCGCCGGCGATAGCCAGAAGAGACCAGAAAGCAGCGAGCATTGTGTGTGAAGGTGAAGATGGTTGTTGTATGGAGTTAACGGACAACGGCATGCTCCATACTTATGAGAAAAGCCGTCCACCCCGCCGAGACCCGACAATGACCGGTGAATCCTCCTCAGACAGTCAGCCCAGCCAGTGTAAATGGCAGTGTTCAGTAGGCCAAAGTGTAATTTTCCCATTTTAACCCGTTGTGGTGCAATCGACATGGTTAGTGGTGGTGGGGGCGATGGATTTGATTAATTCGCATCCTTCAGATCTATTCAGGGAATAGCTTCACGCTAGGCCCACTGGGGCTAGACAGACCAACAGATCAAATGTGCTTGACCAATCATTTTCATAGCTGGATTCATCAGGTGGAGCCGCTAGCTGGCTAGTGGGCTGCTAGGTAGTGTGAGCATCCCTCGTTGAGCCTCTGCACAGCCTTGCAGCCGGGCAGCCTTGCGTGCTTCCTGCCACTTGTCTGCCAATGGGGAATGGGAGCGAGATGAATAAATTGGACCAGGAACATCCAACGGAATCCATGCGGCTGGAGTGGAATCCTGGTCAGGGGTAGTGATGTTGTAGTCGAATAAACAAAACTTCTCGCCAGGCGCCACCAACAGACTGCGTGTGCTGTCATGGTATGAGTTCAATCCATCATCTATAAACTAATAATGGCAGGTCAAACGACTGCTTGGACATTGTCCTGCAAGTCATGAGCTGACAGTTTGACACAATAATGCGTATGCGGCATCCGACAAGGCTCACAACTCGGCTGCTCCGACCGCTTCGGACGATCTGTGGATCTATACCAACAGATCATCGATCGGTTACGCCAGAGAGGCATCTCATTATGTATTCATAACCTGAGAGATTTATTTGCTCTTCAGTCTGTTCGTGTTGGGTGTTGGATGTGTTGGATGTTGGTTATTTCCGATGCTGGAGGATCAAACATAGTGTGGATATATATACACCTGGCACGCTATCCCCTTCATTTCCAGTACACATACGGAGTATCCGAGGACCAACCCCTGGACCCTTGTAAGTCCCCTGTATCGAGCAGGAGCTAGTCTACCGCATAAGATGTTCCTTCATCGAATATTCGCATTCATTCTTTTTGTGCCGCAGTGCATGCGTCAAGTAGCGGCCGCTAAATGTAAGCATCTTGATATAGTGTGCTTAGACGGCTCAATGGGGCAGTTGTGCTGATGTATATCACTTCTCATGATAACTCCACTTGGTGCCATGGTGCTTGCAAGGATTCTTCAATGAAGAATGCTCAACGACTTTCACAATTTAAACTACACTTTTAGGCCAGTATAAACCCCACCAAAGGGACGCCGGATGGCCCGCGTCCACAGAATATGACCATGAGAAAGAAAGAATGCAATATGCATAGTTGAGTCGTTATCAATCAATCCTAATGACTATAGATCTGCTATCTGAGCGTACCCGATGCTTACCCGCATTTTATATAGCATCCCCGCTTCATCACCAGTCATGGCCATTGATTTCAAACATCATCCCCGCCAACGGCTCACTGCAGTCAGATTCAGGTCCAAAAAGACGTACTGCCGTTGCCTGTCGTCGATGACACTCTAGAAAGATCAAGTGTAATGCATGATGTCAGACATCCATACTTCCCAATTCGTCCTTGTTTCCATTTCGATCGAGAAATCCCCAGAGACAACCTTGAGGCTGGCCAGGAACGAGTGGAAGTTCATCAAACGGCGGGAAGATAAAGGTCTCCCCTCCGAGTGCAGTCGTGTCAGGTGATACCATTGCAATCACCTCACGAGGCAGGTATCATGCTCCCCATAAAAAATAAACAAAGAAAGCCCATGCAATGGAGCTGCGTGGTAGGTGGGTCACCGGCGACTCGACGGTATGATAGAGTACGCGTATGCTACCATCCAAGAGGAAGAGTATTTATCCGAGACTGAATAAATCTGCATCCTATATAGCTTTTAAGGGATAGAAGCCGAGATGCCGACGCCGTGAGATGGGAAGAATGCCGGCTCTTCAGTTCCTATGCAATATTGCGCTGTACTCAGTGCAGATTGCCAGGATTGATGTGGAAACATCGAAAATGAGAATATTGTCAAAGTACATATTATTCAACTTGTGTCAACAAGAATGGAGATATGCACTTCCTATACCTTCACCTTCCACTGCCATTTCCAATCCAGCAACGCCCATCTCGACACAGACAGACACGCCAGTCCAACCACCAGCACTGCTGAATAAAAGCCTATCAAGACATGTGGTGTTGTCGACTGCAACAGCTGTCCTCCGATTGGCGTCGTCAACAATGCTCCAAACGCAGCAACCGAATAGATCGTCCCGTAGTACCGTCCATATTCGCTGGTCGAGCACAGCTGCCCTGCACAGACAGGCGCAAGGGATATAAAGCCCCCTGATCCAAATCCAAAGATGGCGACGACAACGTAGAGTGTGACTTCACTGCTGGATCCTACTGGTAGCCACACCCCAGCCATAATGCCCAATGTAGTCACCACCAAAACGCTGAGGATGTTAAAACGCCCGATTTTATCTGCAAGTAAGCCCGGGATCGTTCTTCCCAGGAAGCTGCAACTGTTCAGCACCGTGAGAGAGTAGAATTGCGTATCAGACGAAAAGCCAGCATAGCGAACGTATGTGGGCAGCAAAGCCGCACAGCCGAAAATAATGAACTCAAACGAAAAGACCGCGACAGTCAGGAATGAGAATCGGGCAGAAGCAAACGCGCGGACATCGATTGTTGCTTTTCCCACGCTTTCCCCTGGGGATAGTCGAGCCTTGACCAGAAAGATGCCAACAGAGTAACAGATCAGTGATATCAAAGCAATAATGCGGATCGACCACATCCATCCACAGGTCGGGAAAAGATATCGCAATGATATAGGCAGAATAGCGCCTCCAAAGGACGAACCACCCATGCAGACTCCAGATGCAAAGCCTCTTCGCTTGTTGAACCAGTGACTGAGCGCTGCGATGGCGACAGTCGAGACGATAGCAGATCCAAGACCCTGACAGAGACTGAGACACAGAATGAAATGCCAGTATCTGGAACATTGCGCCAGAAGCAGGTGGGATAAGAAACTGGCCGTGCAGCCACAAAGCAGGAGCAGCCGTGGTCCATATCGATCAAACAACGGTCCAACTTGGACTCCAATGAACAGAGTCAGGAACGGCAAAACAGCAAAGATCCAGCCGATATCACTGGTGCTGTAGGTGGACAGTTGATGCGTGCCAACATAGTCCTGGATAGTACCGACTACTCTATTAGAACACATTTTGTCTGTATATGAGGAAACATACTGGCTGTTTGAAATCCAAAAGACGGAATCATCAACAGGAATGAGCCCAAAAGGCACATCCATCCTTCTTTGCCGCCCTCTGGGAATGCCGCTTCATTTTCTTCTGGTTCGTCGATGGAAATGTCCAGATGCCGTGCAGCCAGTTGGCCATCGCCATTGACATCTCGTGAGGTTGCAAGTGTCTGCATTATGAATACATCTGATGGATACTGAGAGATTTTGAGATAAAAAAAAGTAATTTAAATAGTTGACTCACTTGTCACTGACAGGGCGTGGTGATGTAATACTGCCCCACATGGAATCCTATCAGACAGACTATTTGGGAATAGCCAGAGAATGTACAAGACAAGATTATATAAATATCAAATGCTATAAAAATATTGCAATACTGAATTTATATGCTAGTTGACTGACATTGGGCAGATTCGCCGTCTAAGTCGAGGTGAAAGCGTCTGGAGGAAGAAAAGCCAGTGCTCTGAACATTTCCACCAGAATGTACAAGCTCGCAATGATATATACAGGGACGAAAATTAATAATATTATTGCAAAAAGCCCTGCTATCATATCGAAGGTCCTTCTTACAGTCCATACCCAACCCCAGTTCGCTCAGTTCGAAGTCGAATGAATTGTTCGCCGCATATCGCAACAGGCCCCTGGTGGATAGCATGTGCAGTATAACGCTGCATACTTCCAGAGTATCTGTTCAATTTTTGTTGGAAAGGCGAAATTCCATACTGCAAGATGAAGATCGCCAAATACAATACCTGCTCCAATAAAACCCACGGAATTTATCTGGTGTTCTCGGTTGAAGCTGGTTGGGATGGATGCTCCCATTCTTCCCTTTCGGTGCTACTTCATTGCTCCTGGTATCTTTGCTAGCTCTGTTCAAAATGCCACGGATTCCTTTTGCCATGCCCTCTTCAGCGTAGCAAGAGCTACTTGATTCTTGTCGATGGCTAGCGGGTTTGTAATCGGAACCCAAACGCCCTTTGGCTTGTCCTGCACAGTAAATTGTGAACCCCCGCAGGGGCCGGGGGTGTCCCTCCACGAAAACAAGAATTGAAGAATTAAAGAATCATGATTTAGAGATAAATACCTTAATTAATATAAGAAATATAGTACTCTATAATTAGTCTGTATATAGTGATTAAATTGATATACTGCCTATGTCTACAAGTCAGCATTACATAACACCCATCGCCATGACGAACTAACCATGGGTTATCATTCAAACCTGATTTGCCAGGATGCCGTTGAAGATCGACGGATTAATTCTCTTCAGATACTATAGAAAGATCTAAAATATCTTTTTATCAACTCTAGGGCTTTACTTTATATAGATCTATTAATACTAATCTACATTTCTCTAAATCTATAACCTATATCCTAGAACCTTAACAGACCCCCCCCTAGTTTTAAATAGAAATAAAATTTAAAGTGCCTCTTTTTTAAAATAAGAAACTTACGTAATTTTAAAGTGCACTTTTAGAGGTAGGAGATGAGAGAACAGAATAGGACTCAGTTCCTAGTCATCCGGGAAAATGGGGAGGATAAAAGGCTTTTTTAACTCTCAACGTATCTGTTAAGTATATATAGGGTGTATATAATCTACCCAGTAATCTTATTGTTAAAGAGTTGGTTGTCCTTAACTTCCATAATCTGATATTGGCGTTGGGGGATGCTGATGTACTATCTCCCCAGGACGACAATCATGGTCAATAAAGGTGACGGTATTTATCGCGAATATCCGCAAACCCTTGCATGCCTTGACAACTAATTCCCAAGAATACGAGTTTCGTGGTATATACAATCACCATCAGCAAACTTCAGCCCTTCAAGAGCGGTTTCGACGCTCGCTGGGTAATGTAATCACCAAGTTGAGGACCCTTGCCAGAGCTACCGAATCTTTGAAGCTGCCTGAGTCTTGCTTTTGGTTTAATTTCGTATGGCTACTTGCCGGAACCAATCGATATGATAGTTGATTAAATGGATTGGGGCGATTAAAGCCCTGCAGCGGCGACGTGGCCGTAGAATTTTGATCCATTCCATCCCTATTTCAACATGCTTTGACAGCTGCATCTCGGACCTGAACTCGGTTCATTTGAGCCAAGACCCCGAAGCGAAGGATCACGCTAAATTTCAAACTCCATCACCAAGGGGCCATGATTGGCTGGGGCCGGCTTTCGCAGCATCCGATGCTACGCTTTTAGGCAAAGACTCAGTAGGCTCTTGCTGAGAAGAAATAAATTTACGAATTCGACCCGTGCTTGGGAAGCTTCATTCAACATATACCTACCATTATTATTCCGTGAACAACCGCAAATTTAAACGACACAGGTGATTCTGATACTAACAATACAATGTCTCCACCTTCGAATAACGATTGGACTGTCGATATGAATAGGTTTGGGTTTACCCCGCGCAAGCTGCGGGTTGTGTGTATCGGCGCGGGGTTCTCAGGACTGCTTCTCGCGTACAAACTAAAGCATGAACGACCACTCGATTATGTCGACTTGGTCATCTATGAACGAAACCCCGAGATTGGAGGGACTTGGTTTGATAATAATTATCCCGGGGTTGGTTGGTAAGTATTCTCGTTCAAGGAAAAGAATTAGCTAACGGGTGTAGTGATATTCCAGCGCGTAAGCGACCTATGCATAAGTTGTAGCAGGCTTCTGCTCATTCTATCAGCCAGTTATGTTTTCCCATTTGAACCAAATCCGCGATGGTCGAAGTTCTATGTTGGAGGGGCAGAGATTCAGCAGTATATTCTGAATACTGCAGAGAAATACGGACTGAGAGAGAAGGTTGTCTTGAACACTTCACTGGTCAAATCAGCCTGGAATGAAGAACAAGCTAAGTGGAAGCTTGACCTGACGCAGCAAGGGGGCATCATTCACGATGAAGCGGATATCTTGATCAACGCTACTGGGTACCTGAAGTGAGTGATTAATCCAAGAAACCGAGAGTCTTGCTAACAAAGCAGTAATTGGAAATGGCCAGATATTGAAGGCTTGGACACTTTTGAGGGGAAACTGGTCCACAGTGCTCGATGGGATCCCGACTATGAGTGGGCCGGAAAGAAAGTGGCTGTCATTGGAAATGGAGCATCAGCCCTCCAGATTGTCCCCAGCATGCAGCCAAAGGTAGCCAAGTTGGTTAACTATATCCGACAGCCCACATACATTCTATCAAATATCTGCGGACACCTCACTAAGGACGGCAAGGGAGCCAATTTCCAATTCACAGAAGAAGAAATGAAAGAATTTGAAGACAACCCTGAGAAGTTTCTGAAATACAGAAGAGTTGTGGATAACAAGTAAGTTTTGGCTCTACTGTGAGGTATCAGTCTAACAAGATAGTGTCAACTTTGCCTATCGACTGTTGATATCAGGGTCCGCAGAAAATAAAATGATTCATGATATGACTGTAAAGAAAATGAGAGATCAATTGAAAAACAACCCAGAATGGATTGATAAACTTATTCCGGACTATGACATTGGCTGCCGCCGTTTCAGTCCTGGCGAGGGATATCTTGAAGCATTACAGGCCGACAACGCGAAATGGTACATGGGCAACATTAAGAGACTAACTCTTAAGGGAATTCAGACAGAAGAAGGCGAAGAAGAAGAATTTGATATGATCATCTGCGCAACTGGCTTCAACACAACGTTTATTCCCCCATGGGAGCATACAGGCCGTGGCAGTCGACGACTAGATGTGATGTGGCAGAAACGACCTGAGGCATATTTCTCTGTTTGCGCAGCCGACATGCCTAATTATTTTATGTTTGCCGGACCAAACTGCCCCAACGGCCATGGTTCTGTGCCACAGATGCTGAACTGGAGCTGTAATTACATGCTGGATTGGATTGAGAAAATAGCCGAGGATGATATCAAGTAAATGCTCTCCTCTACCAGCCGACTGTGATACTAATAGTAGCAGGTCCATTGCAGTGAAGGAGTCTGTAGTAAATGATTACAACGCTTTTGCTCGCGAGCACCTCAAACGCATGGCGTGGTCCTCAAGTTGCAATTCGTGGTACAAAGGTGCAAATAATGAGAACACTCCAACTGCTATGTACCCAGGGAGTCTCTTACATTTCAAGGGTATGTTTATCCCAAGCTTAAATTGAACAAGGTGCTAATATTTCTAGCTGCTTTGGAAAAAATCCGCGGTGAACATTTTGATATTCGGTATAACACCTCGAATCCCTTTCGATATCTCGGAAATGGTGAAATGGCCCAGGAACGTACCGAAGAGGGATATTTGTCCCATTATATAACAAAGTAGCATAGTTCAGTCCCCGAATATCAACAGGCGAGAGCATGATTCATAATAAACCTGTCTGCTATGTGCGCCATAATGGGTTAGACTCATCCCGGTGGATCAGAGGTATGCAATTGACTTGGGAAATCCCACCATCCCAAATGCTATATAAAATACAGATATAATTGAATCGATAGTTCTGATGCCAAAAGATTAAATGATTCTGAAAGGCGAAGGGCGAACGACAAAATGCCAAAGTATTTATCTCCCTTTAAACATACTAGATCAGGGGGATTACGAATTCCTTGACTTGAATATGACAACAATTATATTTTTGATCATCCGTTACTATTCTCACTATAGTTATAATTATCAGCTTTGTCATGGCGCCTCGGAAGCCAGCAACCTCCTTGATCTTAAATGCGAATACTTCCCTCTACCTCAGTGGAATACCACATTGAATTCCGTCAAATAATACTTCAACTATTAGGGTCAAGCCTACTAGTATAGTTTGTTCGCTATGCTTCTATAAACTTCTATGACCTTTCTCCTTCCAAAATCATGGAGCCAGGGTTTTACTAAGATTCAACCTACCGTCTTTTATCAACTATCCATTCTAGAGAGAGATATATATATAGGTAGATTATATTAAACTAATTACGAAGGTATAGTATACTATACTTAGTATTAAGGATATTTATAGTATGATCACATAATATATCAGAACATCACTAAGCAGATTACATAAGATATCACTGGGAACACCGCCATGCGGCCACCGGTCGTAACAGTATACACCCTTGATAGATATAGTATTCCTAGTTATGTGAATATATGCCTGTTAGGTAATAATTATAAAAGGTATTTAATCACCGAATTACAGTTTTCCTTCATAAGAATCTCTATTTTCCCTGACTGCCTGATTTTGCCTGGTACAGTGCTGATAAGGGTGCTATAACAGTGACTCCTGCATCGTATAGTAGAATTCGAAATCAGTTTTGACTCCACACTCTTATGACTTGATTCGCGAACCCCAACTTGAAACACGCTAGCTCATATTTAGGATAGTGGTTGATCCATAATTTAATCCTGGCGGGTCTTTGGATGCCGTTCAGAATGATGCTAGTCTGAATTTAGAACGTGCACAATATCTTCTCCAGTGCTAATTTATCAAAGACAGATGTACAGAAGTGCTTGTGATACCTTCTCATTCTTGACACTACATCCACCACCTGAGTTAGGAACGCAACCCTCTTCAAGAGACTGAGCAAGAGCCTCCATTTTTTCTTCACTAGTGGCATACCGCATCAACAGCTTGTATGCACTCTCGCAAGGCAGACTGCCTTTTGCGCTGTCGGGTTTGTGCTCGCTCTCTGCCCCTGCCAAGATCGTTGAGACGTCGGAACCGGGATTCGCCGCGAGACGCGTGAGGAGCCTACAAGGAGCAGATGGCAGCGGGGAAGATCCCTCCCCCAGGGTACTTGGTTCACTAGGTGGCAGTCCGGCGTCGTGAATGCTATTCCCATCTCTGCTGCTCGAGGCTGATTTATTCCGCCTAGGTGAAGAGAACCTATCAGGAATTTGACTGTCCTTAGTAGTGGGTGATGAATGCTCGGCTGACTTGGGGAAAGAATCGCTCAGTGGAGAACTGCCGGATTGGCAAGCCGTGTTGCAAGGCAGTGAGCATTGTGGCTGTGGTAATGGAGCGCTAGAGGGGTCTCTTTGTTTGGCTTTGTTGCAAATGCTGTTACCTGTCGCAATTTTATGACAGTGAATTTGACCTATATCCATTGCATCACTCGAGGACCTCCTCCGAGTTATCCAATCATTGACAGTTGAGCGATCAATGCCGATCTCCAGCAATAGCTCTCGTAGATGAATATTCTCTTCTGCAACCTTCTTAGCTGCACATTGCATCTCGATGGTTGCCTGGATGCCTTCTTGTTCAAACTCTCTCAGTCTGCGTTCCAGATCGACCATGTGTTCCTTCTGACGGACTCTATTGCGACGTTTATTCTCTCGCAAGCGCAACGTGCGCTCCGTATTCTAGTTTCTGACTTAGTGGGGTCACGCAAAGACTCGAGCAAACTACCTTATAACACGACATCGTTCCTGAAAATTTCGGGGGTATTAATCACAAAGGGGCTTTAGCACTGACATGAGTGAGGAGGAATGGTTTGAGCAGAGAAATGTGGCGAGTGCAGTGATCTTGGGGTCGGAAAGGACATCGTTGATTGGGCCACTCCATATTGGGATGCAATCAACCAAGCCAATCAACTCCTAGATATCAAACCCACTTAAAACTTTAGTTCCGGCAGACCAATTTGAACCAGCAAATTATTGTTCAATCATTGTCCAATTGTCGTCTCTTTCCTCTCCGCCAATCATGTTCGATGTGTCCGTCCCCCTCCTGGGAAAGTATACAGCATAAAATGCTGATGCTGACCAGGCAAAAGAGAAATGCCGCGTCCTGTTTCTTCTCTTTCACACCTACCAGCCACCATGGCCACCATCATCGAGTCGCCACGCAGCTCGACACCTGTCCCAGGGATCAACGCCAACGATGGGGATTTCCGCAGTCCTAAAATTGATATCGAAGCACAACAGACTACAGCTTGTTCAGAAGGAACGAGTCGATCTACGATTTCAAGAGATATAAGTAGTGACCATGGTCTACAGGACAACTCCAATGTGCCCCGTCTCTCTCTACCGCGATTATTCTGGTTCTTCTTCTACAACTTTGGGTTATTTGCTTGGGGGGCCCAGTAGCACAAATCTCCCTACTCAAGGAGCACTTGGTGCTTAAAGAAAAATGGATCACAGTCCCGCGCTTCCAACGCGTCTTCGCTGTCTACCAGATTTTGCCAGGCCCAGAAGCAGCGGAGCTATGTATGTTCTTCGGGTGTCTCTCAGCTGGTCGCTTGGGTGGGATTGTTGCCGGAATCGCTTTTATCTTGCCCGGATTTCTTCTTATGCTTCTTGCGTCATATTTATATTCTCTAGCCGGCTTGGAGAACATTTACTTCAACGCTTCCTTCCGTGCTATCCAACCGATAGTCTCTGCCATGGTGAGCACTTCCTGAACCCAAAAATATCACCTACTGACGACGCGTAGATTCTTCGAGCCACACACAAGATTGCAGACCACTCTGTGGTCGACCACCACACTCATAAAACAAACCCCTATCTCGTCATTGCTGGCCTCTGCACGGCCCTGAACAGTGCTCTTCGCATCAATATGTGAGTCCTGCCTCTTTTTAAATGCCCACAATTCTTAAATTTAACACATGGTACGAACTTAGCTTCATTTCCCTCGGTCTCTATGGTAAAATATACAGCTTCATATCCCGCAGCAAACGAATCATCGCCCTATGCCTCTTCATACTCCAGTACGTCGTATACGCGATCTACGTGGTTTTCCGAGGTGTCCCATCACCGGTTTCCCTCGCGCTCGGAATAGCTAAAAACCCCTCCGTACGAAATCTATTCGCACTTGGGCTGGTAGCAGGAAGCCTCTCTTTTGGTGGCGCATACACCGCAATACCCTTCATCCAGGTCGAAGCCGTTCTCAAGGGTGGGTGGCTTCCCGCGCGTATTTTTCTGGATGGCATCGCGATTGGGAATATTCTCCCCGCCCCGCTTGTGATCTTTGCAACTTTTGTTGGGTTTCAGAGCGGTTTGGCAAATGGAAGCCTTGGGACAGCTTTTGCCGGCGCGGTGGTTATTACCGTTGGCATGTTCTTCCCTTGCTTTGTGTTCACGATCGCTGGACATGGCCTGTTGGAGAAACTTGTACGCAGTAAAGTAAGTCGCTTGTCCCTTTTCTGAAGACTCCTCTCGACTTCATTGTGTATTTACTGATTCCCGCAGTTTCTTTCGGCCTTCTTTGACGGACTTTGCGGGCTGTCATTGGTGTTATTGCCATTATAGCGCTGCAGACGTTACACTCGAGCCTTGAAGTCTCCGACTCAATGACAACAGCTGCGTTGCCGCAAAACGTTATGAATGTTGAGAGTGCCTTGGCTGCTGTACTCTATGTTGTTGCGTTGGCAGTCCTTTACAAATTCACCAACAAGTATACATCACTGCTTCTTATTGCTATCGGAGCTATCGCAGGACAGTTTTTGTTCGTTTGAAAAGTGTAGCTGCTGCTTCTAATCTTTTAATTAACTCATAGGATTGCTGCTCTCGTTGGGGGTGAGCAAGTGGTAACTGCAGGTCAATATAAACTGCCAGAATATAATCCAGAGAAAGCAATGTACAGTATCGTCGGCTTTTTGTGTGTGTGTGTGTGTGTGTGTGTGTGTGTGTGTGTGTGTGTGTGTGTGTGTCAAACTGCTGTCAAACTGCATTTGGGGTGGCGATGAGACTGTTGGTGTCGTAATTGGTTCCTTGAATTGGACAGCCTCTGTGACCCCAGCAATTTCGAGTCTGTGACGAGATAGAACTTCTATATTCTTTCTCGTTGCTGATACACCAGAGCCTGTGCTCAGTTCGCCGCGAACGCAAGGTATTCCTTTCCTTTGGCAAGCAAGGCAGATTTCTTCTGACGTGCACTGTATGGCTATGAATGAGTGCTGCTTGACTAAAACCATCAATCTGGCGATAAAGATATTAAGTTATGCTAATTAAATAGGATGTTCACCAGCTGGACTAAATGATAGGGGCCTACTGCGCCGGTCTGCAGTAGGTGCAGGGCCTATTTTTCTTCCCTGAAATATTAATGAGAGACTAAAAGATCCTTAGGAATGCAGTTCCCTTATTCTATTCCTACCTAATTAACTATATCAATAACTATATTATATAACTTAAGATTAATAAATGAGAATAAGTAATATACTATTAGGATCTAATGGCTAAGGTTGATACCATCTGCAGTGTTAAAGAGATATAGATATCATGATTGGTTAAGAATAAGTTGAGTGGTCTGAAGTTCTCCTAAAAGGTAGCTATAAGTATTATCTCTAGGTGTATAAGTAAAAGAATAAATAACTAATAATTAAAGCCTACTCTATAGCAGAAAGACGGCTGGAGTTACGGCATTAGGGTGGTCTGGAAATTCTGATCTTTATTAAATAACCTTCTAATTGGGACGTGAGACTGTTATTAGGATAGAAAGAATAGCACTAGTGGTGGAGAGTTTAATCGTCTTGTTGAGGGTGATGCGATGAGGAGATATATGTTATATGGATGGTTTAGAATCCCTGCCTGCTCTTTGCGGGTGTCTCCTTCCAGATTAATCTACTAGTACCACTCTTACATCTATATCATGCGTACTTAACTATAGTTTCCTATAAAGAGGGTAAGCAAGGTAGAGACACAATGCTTTCGCTTTACGCGGCCACTGATTCAAAGTAAAGATAAGGGCGGTGTACTATCTGTACCTATCACTAATACAAAAGCTGTATGAAAAAGACAGTCACAATACACATCAGGGCACAACCACGTTTTAAATATGCTGGGTTAAGATTCAGACGGCAATCGTTGCGGATACCCGCTCCAAAAATGAGAGATCCTGACACAGGGGATTTTACTGTTCCGGTAAATGATCGACCGTCCTCTTATTGAATGTTGTGCATCGACGCCGATCGGATCGTATTCCAGCACCGAATACGTTGTCTTCATGTGAAGCGGAGAGCGATGGCATAGCTGGCCCCATGGGGAATTAAAGCTGAGGGAATGCCTCAGAAACATTTCATTTCCTTAACGCCTTTATGAACCGATCATTCTCCCGAAAAAATATGGAAAGCAGCCGCCTTGCAAGTCCTGACCGAGGCCGCTATCATCGTTGGCTTTGAATACCAATCCAAGCTTGATAGCTCCCAAAGTCAAAGCATATCCAAGCGTTGATAATGTCGAAATCTGATCTGGAGCAAAGCTCAGACTCTGAGGCTATCGCTAAACCAACACCATGGCAACGATTCAAGGCACACATGAAGAAATGGTGGTGGATTTATCTCATCGCGTTCTGTATCATAGTCCTGGTGATTATACTACCGATGTAAGGAGTCCTCCATTCGCCGGCGACGAAGTGACTGACAACAGCAGCATCTACGTTGGTATCCCCCATTTCGCCAGCCAATACATCAACGACTACGACTACGACTACGAAGGACTTGAAATCACGAATCCCCGACCAACGGCGTTCCACGTCAAGCAGAAGAAATCGATGAATATGGGAGGTGGCTTCAGCGGCAGTGGGTATCTAACCGCTTTCAACGCGAGTATTCGCGTCCCAGACACCAACCAGGAGATGGCTGTCTTTCCTGTCCCGCGAATCGATTTCAATGGCGGTGCCACCTTCGACATTGACCAGGACTTGGACCTGGCTTGTGTTGATTGCCTGGCCAATATTGCTGTTTCGGCGGCCACCGACAAGAGTTTCGCTGTGTTGGCCACCGGCGATCCTGATCTCAAATTCGGCGCGCTGCCAACGGCGCATTTGAATATTCACAAGATTTTGAATATGAATGGATATAATGTAACGGGTATGTGCCATCTACTTCTTGTAGAGCAATGTACTGATATGAGCAGAATTTGTCAATAAGCCGGGCGCCTTCAACGTGACTAGTTTGGATCTCCTCGATCCCCCAGTCGACGGATACAACTTTAACGCAACCATATCAGTGCGCAATCCCACACCCTTCAGTGTGGAAATGGTATGTGCCCACAATCTCACATCCTAGCTTCAAATCGCTGATACCAGCAGGGCCATGCCACTTTCAACCTCACCTTAGGAGGCAACGCTCTCGGATACGTGGATTTGCCTAACTTGATGCTTCAAAAGGACAGCACTAGCACGATGGTACTCGGACAGGTCGACAAGTCAAAACTCTTCGACGAGGTTTTGGGTCGGAAAGGCTATAATGTGACAATTGGTGTTCACGGTCACAGCTGTGATTATAATGGGCTGGATATTCCGTACTTCAGTGCGGCGATCAAGGCTATCAACGCATCTGCGGAGATTGATCTGTGGAAATACGCATCCAGTCTACTGGGATAGAGGTTATACCATATTCTATATACACGAATTATGTTGAATTGATACTGAGAAACTTGAGGCGATACTAATCGTCTGCTCTCGCGAGGAAAGGTATGAGGCAGATTAAATTACAAAAAGAGGGTTGTCCTGTCCATCACACGATGATGTCAATCTCGCCGCGCAAATCTGCGAACTCTTCTCAACTATCCTTGCCCGGTCCCGTTATCCCATTTCCCAGAACACTGTCAAAGCCCTCGGTCCGGCGTGTTTCCATGTCCCCACGCCGTTTTTTCAAGGTAGACGCCCTCTCCACCGACCAGGAGTCTTCTACGCACATGGTCGGCCAAACCAATCAAGTCTGGAACCATAATAGCAATGGATATCACCTTGTCGCCGATTGGGATAGTGTTTGCTCCAGGCGAGGGCATCATGTTACGTGGTTCTGAGAACGATATGTATTTACCAGAGGTGGAGTGATTAGAGGGCACCAAAGCTGAAGATGAGGGAAAGGGGGAGTATGATTCACACTTAGTGCTGCCGTTTATCAGACCGGTTGTCGGTATTAGATGAATAGCCAGTTAATGTAACCATGTAGGATACATACGTGAGTTTCAAATCCAGATATGCTTTTATTCTTCTCTGAGTGGATCGACAAGCCAACCTCTTTGCTTTGGCATGATTCAGGCCTTCGTTTTCAATACACTCCAAAACCTAGTCTTGTCTACCATAGCTCAGAATACCAGGTCAGTACACCTTCACAGTTAGGGTCTCATGTCATCTTGATAGAAACCATTTTGGTAGAGAGATACCAGGGTGTGATAATTATTACTGCTATGGGTCTCACATGAAAGTGGGAGCTTGAAACCCTAACCATTATCTCTACAAATTTACCTATTCCATATACAGAGCTGTATACAAACTTAGACTTAGCAGGTAGTTACGATTTTCAACCCTATAGATATCTCTGTGTGAGTCTAGCAGGCCAAGGTAATACCTTCATAAGTACTAATATCTCCTCAATCATTTAATCTGGATGCGTAGTGATACTTGTTTCGATAGTCGTCTCCTGTAGGTTTCCTGGGGGAACAGACATTTTGGCCTCTAAGACTAATAGCCATTAACTCATGGGCTCTAGGTTGTATTCTTATATATGATGGATGTAAGATTGCAATGTCGATGTATGATGCGTAGATCTAGTAAGTCAGCAGGAGACGTAGTTTCAGAATTCATTAAGACTTTATAGTGTTCTAGATAGAATATAACATATCAATCGTACCTAGCTTTAAGTCTGAAGGTATTTCAAATATTGATTATGGACTGTCTTCAACAATTGACATCATGGATATGATGGGTCGTTAAAACTGCAATGCATTATTAAAAATATTATAGCAAAGCAGTGGCGCTGCTCTTGAATAGCTTGTCCCCCCATGTCCTTTTTTAAATATTCACTATTGTAAAGAGGGCTTTTAGGTACTGTATAGGTCTTTCCTGAAAACAGTCCTATGTGACCCTCTATCTTGGCTCTGTCTGTGGCAGTTCTTGAGCAGAATTTATGAAAGAGCTGGGTGAAATACTAAGTGCGCTTTCTCCTCAACTTGTGAAACGCATTGATGGTTGTGAAGGTGTAATGATTTAAAGGTGTAACGATTTAAAATTGGAACAACACTATGGGCATTAGGAAAGGTTTACCCATGATAAGGTTTTTGCTAATTAAGTTATTACTTGCTTTTTCTTCCACAAATGACATTCTGAGAAAACCAGAATTCCTCAGCCATTTCAATATTTGTGATATTCTTCATGGGATAATCTATATCTGTCCTTCTTGTTGACACAGTGGCGCGAAAGTGAGAATAACCATGAATCAGTGCACTAACAAAGTTCTACATCCATTTATATACTATCTACATTGGCCTGTATCTATCCTAAGGCTGAACATGGAGTGCTGATTTAAAGCCTAGGCATGTTTACCAATCTTTGGGTCATAGAAATGAGCATAGGCTAATTCATTATCACTCTCGACCAACTCATTCTTCAGCTAGTTGCATAGCACTTGAAAAACAGGACAGCTGCAAATACCACTACGGCATCACCTCAATCATACTAAGCACCTTTTTAGACATTCCCACTGCAACAAGGCTCATGCCCGGCAGCCTCCGTAGCACGATCCACATAATGCCGCTTTAGGAGGACCTGTAAACCAACCGCTATAACCGTCAAAAACCTTGGATACAATCAACCATTTCCCATCCTTCCTGATCATAGTCACAAAGTCTGATCCATCAAACCCTCTTCCTGTGCCCTTCTCAACCTTGATAACGGCAGTCGTGTTCGTGAGTCCAATGATGGTAAACTGAGCTGTCATGTTGGGAGGGAGCCCTGCATCCACGAGCTCGAATTTCTTCAACAGAGAGCCATTCAGATATTCGTTTCCACCCAGATCACCAAAGACGACTGCCTTGGGGTGGAAGAGGGGTGCGACGTTTTTGGAGTTGCTGCTGTACAGCCCTTTGACGAACTGTTCCGCGATTTCGTAGACCTCTTCGTAGACGGATGGAGAGACTGACTCGATGTTTGCCATCTTATTGTTCTGTGGAAATCAGACTCTGCAAAGAATGAACGATGATGGAGAAAACAAACTGGTTGTTTGGACGGGTTTCCTGTAGAATTATGCTTGAATGTGTAAAGTCTTATCTTGAGGATATGGTGATGATGGGGAGTATCTGACGAAGACAGCACTACTTATATACACATCCGATATTGGAGCAAGATAGATTCAGATTCCAGATTCATCATCGATATGACTGTTATATCGTGACCACCCTTCATTCAATAACCGGTATGCTGATGCCTGAGCCTGCGCTATTTTGTGAAACCATCTTTGGATTACACTCAATACATTGGCCGAGCCTGAATGTTTTTTTTTTTCTCGGTCATCCCCATCATATACTTTCCGACACATTCTTTCTGTCAATGAAAGTTGGTCTTATGTTACAGTCAATTATGTTGGTCTTTCCAGAATGTGGGGAATCTTATTTGCCATCGTCAGTGTGGTGTCATAGCATCTAAATGAATATCAAAATTGACGTCAATCCATCCTGTTGTAAAAATATGTACGGATATGATTAGCGGTATTGGTATGTCAAATGCTAAGGTATTCTCTAAGTGATGAATTCCTACTTCAAGGCATAAAAAGAAATAAATGAGACGAAACCCATGTCTGCTGTCGAAACAAGTCAAATATTGATGAAAATAATTCAAACGCCGTATCACTATGTACAAAATTTATGCTTATTTACAAGTGCACGTCACAATCATTGCTGGGTATCCAAACAAGTCTTCGAATAATCCAAGAGAGCCTCTTCTGCAAAACGTCCAGCGCTTCGCACTTTGCCCATTTCGTCCTGGCTCGCTGACATGTTGCCAAAGAGCTTATCCGTAATCGAATTGATTCCACCAGTAATGGCTGTTGTTAATGATGACCACGGAGACCAGGTGGTGAGCTTCGCATTGCAGTCCACGAGAAGCTGGAACTCGTTTGTCTTGCCTTGGAGAAGAGCGTAGTATATTGCTCTGCCACCGGATTTCCTGGCGTCAGCACCGTGCTCGATCAGTAACGGGATAATCCGGTCACTTCTGTCACTATCCACAGCACATTCCAATGGCGTATGTTCTCGTGATCCGCCAATCAAAAAGTTGGGATCTGCACCATGCTCGAGAAGAAGCTTTACTGTGTCGGCATGTCCATCCTTTGCTGCTGCACACAAGGGCGTGCAGCTATCGATGTGTGTCTGGCAGTTGACATCGACATTCATATCCATCATTTGCCGAATTCGTTCGTCATCCCCTCTTCTTGCAGCGTACATGAGCATAGTCTTCATTTCAGCCTCGATTGTCTCGCTGGGCATCTCCGACTTGTGAAGCTCGTGCAATAGAAAGTCTTCCACGACATATTGTCCTTGAGATGCGGCATTTCCTATGGGTGTGAGATTGAAGATATCACGGGATTGTTGGCAGGCTCCTCGCTCCGTAAGCATCTTGACAACAGCTAGATGTCCAGCACGGGCAGCCAACGACAGCGGAGTTCGACCGTCGGGGTCTTTGTAGTCAACATCCACGCCGTGGTCAAGCAGCTTTGACGAGAACCCTTCATGGCCGTTCATTGCAGAATATGAGATCGGATGTTCTTTTTGATGTTTGATCTCTCTGCTTGGGGTTGAGCCGGTCTTTCCTCCGAGCTGAGGTGTGGGCAAGAAGGGCGATTTCCATCGAACATCCGCGCCAGCTTCAATGAGTCTCTGAAGAGTCGATTCGGAACCATGTTTGGCTGCCCACCATAGCGCAGAGGATTGGCAGTGGCGGACGTTGCAGTCATAGAGGTAGTCGTTCAAGGTGTGGTAAAGACGAGAGTTGGACTGCAAGAGGGCATTGAGATCCTTCTGCGAGTCGAGATCGTTGACGATGAGCATCAGTAGCTCGTTGGGAAGTGTTGGAATCGACATGTTGGGTTAGGGTATATCTGGTAAATAATAGAGACAGTAATAGGCACAGACAAAGCACGGCAGAACGAGCGCTGACAGCCGTTATATAGCTCTGGCGGGCGATTCTGGGGTCGCGTTTCATACTGTGGCGGCTATTCCCGATCGGGCAGGGACCCCCCTGCCAAGAAAACGGTTAATTTCCTCGCCCTCCGGTGATGCGGCCGGCCCCCTTTCTGCTCTTGTGCGTTCATTAAACGGCATATTACGGCGCCGATCGGGCCTGCGCCTTGGTCTGATTTCTTTGTCTCTTTGTTCTCCTCGGACCTCTCGGTTCGCCAAGTGACTTGGCCATGGACGCTATTTTGCAGCCTACGAACGACTCTCTTGGCCGGTGCTGACGACACAGAAATTGACCATAAAAATAGCAGTCGGCGAGCCGGCCAAGAGAAGAAGAAGAAGAATAATAATAATAATAATAATAACTGCGGACATCAACATCGGAAGTCCATAAGCCCCGTTTGGCCGCTTGACGTGCATCTGTAGGTCATGTTTTGTCCCTCGCGGACCCCTGCTTCTGAGTGCTTCCAGATCAGTGAGTCCAGGCAATCGAGGATGACTCGTTCTGCCGACAATCCCGGCGATTTCAATCATTTGACCTGGATTTCTGGCCGTTTTTGCTTTTGCAGCAGTGGACTGCGGGGAAACTCGCGATCGAAGAATTCGGCGCTTCCTCATTTCGAGGATTCCACACTGTCGAATATTTATGATTTATGATAGATCACGTCGCATATCCCCAAGGGGCTGCTCAATCTGTCGAATTCTCCGTGCCTTTGTTACACAGGCTGCAGTCCCTCGGTCAGGCTGCGTCTCATAAATACAGAGTGCGGAGGCCCCTCGAAAGTTTCCGCTTGTTTTGTCGATGATCTTTCCCACGCCATGATCATCCAAACTCTGGGCGATGGGGGATTCCAGCATGATTCGATGGGCGATGGCTTGTTTGGCTTCGAAGGACATCATCCTGCATATGGTCGCCTTCACGATGTATCGGTCAACGTCTTCCACCAGCTGCCTGTCGAAATATGCTGGATCCCGTCTTGAGCCACATGACAGTCGACAATTCAACAATGTCGGACGTCCTTTGCCTCATGATGCAAATTGGCTGCCTGGGCAGTGATGTCAATATCCTCTGTGCGGGCCGCACCGTTTACACTTCACTATGATGTCACACCGGTCGGACGAGAATGAAGATTATTTTTGTCAATCATCAGGTCGTTCATGAGGATGTACGCTCTCCAGCATTATGAACAGGCACAATTGCGTATAACTTTGATTTCTGGATAACGCGACCGTAATGGCGTTCATCACGGAGATCGCCAAGGGTGATTCGTAAGAAGATCTACAACATCCCATGAGGCATCGACATGGCAAAAACTCCATTAAACTCAGTATCCTTCTCTCTGCTCACGGAGAATAATTGTTTTTCTGGCTATATATAGTCGAAGCAGGCCCACTGTCGTTGACAAAAAAACAATGTGATCGCCTCTGCGGCAGTGACCCCGTTGCCTCACGGTATGAATAATCGAGTCTGCCCTTAAAAATAGTTTCGATTTAACTGCCTTCTAACAGCGACCCCTGAACTTCAACAGGCAACATCTTGAGCCATGAATTCTGGGATTGTCTCTTGAAATATAATCCTAAGAAAGGTCCGAGAGGTGCGCGCGTCGCCTTTTTGGTTTAATGGTTATTTTAACATTGTCGACAAAGACAGACGAAAAGCTCAAACCAGGCTCTCGCGTGATCGCATCATTCTAGTACCCTTTGGACAATGTTTTAACCGTCAAAAGAAGCGGTTTCAATGTGTGCAGTGATGAATGGGAACCAATCTGCAAGTTGAAGATATATGATCGAGTGTATATCCGTGATATACAATAGAAAATAGGCAAGGATGTTTATAATTCCCATTCTTCCTGGCTATCATTAAGCCTTTCTGTAAACCTCAACTTCAATCCAACAAGCATCATATAGAATATCCATCGACAGACACCAACCGAAATTTAGATGGGACTATTCAGGGATATACTACTTCAATTTCTCACGCATGTATTTGAATGTGGATTCCATGTCGACGTCTCCCTATCGAACCGAGTAAACATCCTCTCAGCCAGAAAGGCACGGAGCACATTATCGAACGAATTACTTGAGGATGGCAGTCGGAGATACATTCACGGAATAGAGGCTATCAAATAGCTGTGAGTGATATTTTAATAAATAAGAGCATGATATTGACCGCCTGCAGTGCGCACTTGGTCCCCTTTTCGGTCGTAATAGCGAATATATGAAGCACGAAGCATCCATCTGCGCCAGCGGAAGCACAGAGTGATATATATCAGACGATCGTATATCTATTACTCTAGTAGAAGAGATGTATGCAGAGCCCCTGATAGTCTATTCCTGGTGGTTCATAATGCAGACCGATTAACTATGCAGATGGCACGAGGAAAACCTACAATGAGACTGATTCTTCTTCTCTTTCCTTTCTTTATGAGAAATATGGGGAGGATATCATCACCCAGTTTCTCTGAGATCATCACAGGCTATAATCGAGTGGCCCCGACGTGTATATCTTTGCTGTTGAATGAGACATACAAAAATGGATGTATACTTCATAGACAAATGAAATTGCAGCAAGATGCCACTCAACGGAGAGATCTGCATCCAATGCATGATCCATGGCTTCCACCAAGGCCGATGTACCGCCTATTCTGTTTATCACAGAAGGAAGTCAGCCCTCGATCTAAATCCACCACAGTAACCGGTCCTTCCCAGACTCTTTTCAAACACATTTTCCGGTAGAAGCCATAGGCTGCTTTCTGGATGGGATAGCGCGAGGCCAACGCTAAAGCAAAGTGGTATACCAACTACCAAGTCAACTCTGTCGCTCAGGAACATGGCATTGATTGCAACTGTCAGTCATTTTCGGCTTTCCACCGTCACAATTCGACATCAAATGCGACAGCGATCGGACATACCGAATCCGCGCCGGCCTAGATATCTGTGTTTCGGAATTATGAGCCCTACGGCTTGAATAAGTTTGTCACGGGATTTTTCTTGCTGTTGTCAAGCGCATCAAACGGCAGTGCTTGGAAGAGACGATATTTAAAATACGTGCCCAATCATTCTACAACATTCTAATGTGGAAGCTAATGCCCAATGGACGGGTAATCTCACTCACGCGTATTACTTAGGGTGCCACCCTTTAATATGCTCCTTTCCGGGAGTTCAGACCAGGACATAGTGACACTCGCATCGAAATCAGGAATCCACAATCAATGAATATTCCATTAAGACTGGTTCAAATACATTTCCAAGGTCAGGGTCGGTTTCCAGGCTCTCGTGCAGGAGCTATGGATCTCGGCCATTCGGGTTGTATCAGTCAGTGCGAGGATAGATAGGGAAAACGCATCCTTTCAAACATCCAAGCTAGGTCCATAGTTCCATCCAAATATGAATAATATCGATGGTGTAATCGTGTCTGCACTTTTGAAAGTGGAAACGCCCAAGACAAGTCTAACCTAATTAATACTGCCGAAACCCTTAATGGGATAGGCAAAGGAAAGAAAAGATAGTATCGGCTTAATTGATATTGGGAATGAAATACTAGTTCTGAGTCAAAAAAATTGAAGTTCATAATGAATGATGAAATTGTATCGCTATATAACAAGACCAAAAAACAATTCTATAACCGTCCCAACTCCCAAGTGCCCAGAAATTGCAAATATAACCAGAAACGTCAGATCCTCCCGATCTATTCAGAGTTGATAGTGCAGGCAGTAAACTTGCTGCCAGCCGATTCAACCATGACACCAACAAAGTTGTCGCTGTAGTCGCTGACCACCCGGAATGAGCCAGGCTCAGTGCCATAGTTCCAGACTGATCCATCCTCCATGATGGGGAACGAGCGCAAATCCTTGCTGGTGCCAAAGACAGCGCTGCCACCGCCAAAGTAGTGAGGGTAACCGTTGCCGCTCGTGGGGTCATCAAGCTTCTTCATCGCCTTGAAGGCAGCACCGACAGCGTCCTTGGAGAGAGTGGTGCTGCCGCAGGTAGCACTGCCGACCTTCTTCTTCTTGTTGCCGCGCTCGACGAGGGTGCTTGCGTTGTCGTTGGTGTCAAACTCCTCGGCATCCTCGAATTCGGTGTTGGCATCGGTGGCATAGTAGATGGGGGTGTCGTCGTTGTTAGAGGTGGTGTCGTCTCTTACAATGAGTTCCCAGGGAACATTGAACAAGCCAGAGCCGTCCTTCTCCTTCTTTCCCTCTTTCTTGGCTGCCTTCTTGTCTTCCTTGTCTTCCTTGTTGCCTCGCTTGGTAAGAGTGTCGTCTTCGGCGTCGTAGTAGATGTCAAGGTCCTCATCGTCCTCATTCACCTCAACGTCCCTGCTCTTCTTGTCCTTCTTGTCATCCTTCTTATCCTCCTTCTCCTCTTTCTTATCCTCTTTCTTTTCCTCTTTCTCTTCCTGTTTGTCCTCCTTCTTGGTGGCAACGGTGCAGGCAGTAAAATCATTAGAAACAGCAGGACCAGTGTGCTGCATGACACCTCTGAAGGTACCGTAGCCACCATTTCCTGTGTAGTCGGTAACCACGCGGTATTTACCAGGTTGTCCTATCTCAGCATGTTAGCTTCTGGTGATGCGAAAGAGAAGCTTTGGGCTACTCACCACCACTGTAACATTTGTTCTTCATGAGAGGGAACTCTCTCAGGTCCGTTCCATCCGGAACATTGGTCAGGACTTTGACGGTTTGGCCATTTTCCGACTTCTGGTTTCCAAACTTCTTGGGGTAGCCGCTGACTTTCTTATCATTGTTTGATTGGCACTTGTAGACAGCGTTGTAGACCTCATCCCGGGTGAAGGTGGTACCATCGGGGCAAGTATAGGCGTTGTAGGGGATTCTCTTGGTGAGTGCGTTTTCCGCAGAAGAAGAGAAGGGAACAGGAGAGGCATAGGAAACTGCCATGAGCCCATAGAGGGCGATCGACTTGAAGTCAAAAAACATTTTGAATGATGATGATTATCAAAGACAATTAATTGAAGGATCAGAAGAGTGAAGAAAGCTTGATATGCTTTGAGAAGATTGGATTACTGTTGTTGATGAGGATGAGAATTAGATGGGGTGTTGACGCCCTTTTATAGATGATGAAGCATCATCAAAGACAGGCAAAATCTATATTGATTCTATTTTTGACAGTATCTTCGAGGCACAGAGAAGGCTGAGTCTGTAAACAGTCTCCATATTGACTAGCATGAAGAGACTCTACGTAGGGAAAGTGCCGAAGAGCTTAAATCCTGAGGCTATGCAGACTGTTAGGGCCAAAAAGCGGAGAGCTCTGGGGGCCAAAACAATCTTGATTTTTCACGACCTTACTGGAATAAAGTGTAGAAAGAAGGAATTAAGCATCCACTGCCACGATGGAGAGCGTTGGGGCTGGGGGCTGGGGGCCAAAAACAGGTGAAGAAAATGCTGAAGACACCTAATTATTCCTTCGCAGTATTTTAGCCACGCTAGTTATACACTGCCACTGTGGTGGGCATTAGGCTGGGGCCAAAAAGCTGTAAAGAGGAGAAAATACTGACGATCAGTCAGCACCCAATGCTCAACCGCCGAGTTACAGAGGCTAACCTGTTTAGGAATTTCCTATTGTTTTCTTAACGTCAGTGCTGATACGGAGAACACTGCTAATAGACCGTAGACGGTGGGAATGTATCAAGTCAACAAGGCATACAGTTGAACAAACGGGAAGGTTCTACTCCTGGCCCCATACTGCGCCAGCGCTTTGAATTATCTGGGAAGTCTAAACTTGCCGACTTCGTTTCGAACCTCCGACATACAGCCTAGACCATTGACGGCGAGATGGTTGAGTCTGTCTGCGGTAGAGGCTTGGACACGACTTTCGCTCTGGAATTTCTCAAATAATTACCAGTCAGTTTTACTATACACCGTTCTACTATTCAGTTGTAAATAAAATAGTTTCCAAATCGATGGTTGATAGTGAGAATTGGTAATTTGTCCTGAAAATGCCATGGGTCAACATTGTCCTTATCAAAATATATATTGAGGTGACAGTCTGCAGAGCAACAGCAGTCAAGAATCATCATTGTCTGATTGGTCGATCTAGGTGGGTCTTAACAATTCAGAGAATATCATTGGACCGGTAAACATGATAGTAGATGACTAATGGAATGGTAAACCCCATGGACCGTGCACAGGCTGACCAGCACTCCGTGAACTGCAGTACTCGCGTGAAAAATAAAATAATAATAATAAAGGTAATAAGAGGCACTACTCTGTATGTACGTTGAGTCCTTGATGAAAGGGAGGCTGGTGTTATCAAAATGTTGCAATCATTGGGCAAGGGGTTTAGTTGCAGTTCTGCTATACGAAGTATGCATCTCGTATTCTAATAATAATCCCGAAATCTCCACCCAAACAAAGAGACATTCTGCTAACTTTTCTCTGGCCCCAGAAGACCTGTTGGATACGAGTTAACCTCACTAAAATTGCGTCTTCCATAATGACAGTTGGGAGTTTTGGACTCAAGCGGAATGTGAACGTTGAACAAAACTAATGCTATTTTGAATATTTGACTTGCAAACCATCGCATCTCTCTTGCCATTTTATGACATCTATATGCGAAGCACACAGTGTGAGCAAGATTTTATCTATAATTTCGATCGTGAAACTGAAGACCTGATGAAATTACTATGCTGGATAGGTATTCCCGAACGGCGGCAACATATTGACCTCATTCAGCCCAAATAACGACTCAAGGAAATCAAAATCCCCACTGCCGCCGCTGGTGCTTGACATGAATCCCATTGGTTCTTCTCCAAGATATCCAGGCAGCATGGGAGATTCGGGCATTGTGGGTTCCAAAGCACTGTCAGATGCCTGTGTTGTAGATTCTGGCGCTCGTGGATGATTGGAATCACAGGCCGAGGAATTCTCCCCTGACTGGCTACTCGGAAAAGAGGCCATCGTGCCTTGTAACCATAAACACTCCAATAACTTACCGAACCGATATCCAGGATGCATTTTGCTAGTGGCAGCTTTCTTCAGTGCATCAATGAAGTCTGTGATCAGCGGTAGCAGTAGGCGATGTTCATTCTCTGCGGTAAATGATCCAAACATGTGGGTTTTATACAGAAACACGGCAGAATAGATGCCATATCTGCGTTTATCAGCGAGAGCCATGGTACGGTGCACGAAATACGAACAGATAATAGCGGGATGGGAGGCATCCAAGGCATGTTGAAGAGTCCATTTCACACATAATTGTTAGAACCATCTTGGCTGCTCGGATGGCTGCAGAGATATATGGACCATCTGGAGCTCCCATGATGCCACAAGGGAAGACAACTTTCACTGACTTTCTGGAATCTTTTCGATCCGCGACATTCCTTGTGATAACAGCCTGGAAAGAGAATGCATTCACGTAGACTGTCAGATACTCATACATGAGGAGTAGAGTAGATCTCAGCTTCGGACTGACAGCCAGAGCAGACCAGCTTTCGTGCCAGAGACGGAGTGATTTTGAAAAGTCGTCCAGACACCGGCTGTAGTCACCCCTGCGAATCATATTGGCTGTCTGGTATTCAGAAGAGTATAAGATATCGTGGGCATTGTGCAAGATCTGTGTTAGCTCGACAGTCGCCAACAGTATCGAAGGATAATCTTCATCCGCTGTGGATTGTGGTCGAAGAGCAGCAAAGCCTTCCAATGACAGTCTGCTGGAAAGCGAGGGTCCACGAGACCAGAAGGACTGGCCCATTCGGACTGAGATCTGTCGATCGGCAAGATAGACAACTGTCATGGTCAGAGAAAGATCTTTCATCCATGTTTTTGTGCTTACAGATCCAAGCTAGTCTCCTTCGACTGGCTTCTTCCATGGGACCTTCTGCAATATGATCTTGGAAGGATGAGCGGTCGAGCCGCAGGAGATACGCATGCCGAACTGCCTGGCCAACGAGAGACCAGGCCGTGTTGTCCTCAATGAAATTTCGCCGTCCTGGTGCAGACTCGGTCACGATATACGGAATCCAGTCTGCGAGAAGAAGCAGTCCCTCGACTGTGCCAACGCGATGTGTGGCGGGAAGCGCAAGGAGAATGTCCAGCAAGAGCTTCTTCGTATATGCCCAGGCTTGGTGATGGGTGTTTTGGTATAGCGGTTCATCCATCGAGGCGATTGTAATGATGACGGTCAATAAAAAAGTTTCTGCCTGCCAGACACAATCTAGTTCTGGCAATGAAAGGACATGTCTTGGAACAATCGGAAGGAAGGGGTGGTATCTATCTGCGTATCTTGGGAATGTCAATTATCAATCATCACTTAAACGGATAGTCTTACATTTGAACCAGATGAGTTATATCCTCTGGCTGCAGAGCACCAGCAGCAACTAATTCATAGTTCCGGATGCTTTCTGTCTGTGGCGATTCATGCTGGTGATAGTTTGAATTGTTACGATCTGCAGAGCCATCATCTCTGCATCCTGCTTGATTGCCGTCTAGACCAGCTTGATGACTTGCATGGGCGAGGATCTGGAGAGCGTCGGATGGATTGTTCAGCTCGGCATGCAATGCTTCTCGCTCATCCAGATGACCACTATGATCATCGCGGTGCAGGTCTATCACGCGTCTTGGAGGCTCTTCGAAATCGGCTGTAGCTGATGTAGGTGTATTATCCTCAACACTGGCATTTTGGCCCTTTCTATGGTTCCCTCCACGCCGTGATATAGCAAGGATACAGTCATGTCCAGTGCGAAAGCATCCAAGACAAGGTGGTTTCCCAACCTGTCCAATACTCGTTCTGGTAAGAGAGGTTAGCATGGCTCATTTGATGTGATTCGGCATTAAGGTATCATCATACAGGTCGCATTTTGCCTTCCTCTTCCGACAGCGTACGCATGCCGTATACTGACGCTTTCCAGTGGCTGGCGTCATCTATTTCGTCTTTGGAGATGTATTGTAGCTGCAAAGGCGATGGACGTTGATCTGGCGGCGATCGGATATGGACGGCATCAACTATAGCGGAGTCACGACAGCCGAGGAGAGAATCAGGGTTTCTCCGTGTAACAGGGCAATATGGATGATATAATAAAGATAATATGCAGACGAAATATGTGATTGGCCGAGTCTGCTTCGCTTTGTTCGGAAGGGGAGGAGTTTGAAATCATCTCGGCAGTGGACGGCAGTGGACGGCAATGGGGATGTGGGGAAGACCGGAGGGGCAAACATCCACTGTATAACGGCAGTGGACGGAGGTAGACGAGGATATAAAATGGCAGAATCATCATTGCCCATTTGCATACAGATTGCAGCACATTATCACCAGTCAAGATGATTTCCAAATCCACTCCCTCCTTTCAGCATATCACCGTCAAGGAACTCCACCCCACCTTTGCTGCCGAAATACACGGAGTCGACTTCAATGCAATCAACGATGAAGTTTTTGCAGAGATACTCGATGCAGTGACCAAGGTTTGTCAAATGTCCGATTCAATCTTAATATTAATATTGACTTTGACAGTACGGTGTTGTCGTCTTCCGTCGCACGAATCTCAACGATGACAGCCATGTTGCCTTTGCGAGACTATTTGGAGAACTGGACGACGTCAAGCCGTACAACAAAGCGGGACGAAAGAATCGCCTCAAATACGATGAACTGTTCGATGTCAGCAATGTCGATGTCAATGGAGCCATTCTCGACCCCGACAGTCCCAGAGGACAGGCCAGCAAAGCCAACGATCTGTTCCACGTCGACTCGAGCTTCAACCCCCGCCGGGCAGGATACTCGCTGTTGCTGTGCCATGACCTGCCTCCACCGGGAATGGGAGGCCATACTGCCTTTGCCGACACTCGGACTGCATTTGATGATCTCCCAGACGATCTGAAGCAAACCATGCTAAGCAAGGATTACATTGCTGCCCATTCCATTCTTCATTCTCGCAAAGTAGCGGCACCCGACTTCTTCGCTGACATCAATCCGCTGGACTTTCCAATGGGCCGCCATCGACTTGTTCAAATGCATGAGGCATCTGGCAGGATGAATCTGTACATTGCCGCGCATGTCCATCACATCGAGGGAATGGATTCAGACTCATCGAGTGCTCTGTTCCAACGTCTCTACCAGCATGCCACCCAGGACAAGTACACAGTGCAGATTGAGTGGAACAACCCAAGGGACTTGGTCATTTGGGACAACACATGCACGATGCATCGCGCTGTTGGTGGCCCCTTTCTGCGCAAGTATAAACGAGACATGAGACGGGCTACCGTTCACGACTCGAGCTCTCAGGCATGGGGACTGAACGAGCATACGGACGAGAGACAGGGTCTGCCTTGATCGTACTTGAAGACACTGCCTGTGATGAAATGGAGATGCTATCGATCATTAGGACTTTGATTGAACTACACAGCTGTGTACAAGGTTATATTGATGGATAAGGGAAAGACTAGGTCTTCCTAACAACTATTTAGTCAGGGTGTGTATCTAAACTATCTGCTAGGTGAAATTATATATGAAGTATCATGGAGTTCCTGAGTAGACGTTATATTACTCAATGTCCATCCCTCCCCGCATCCAATAATGTACTGGCTGCCAAGATTAGTTCTGGCCAAAAATTCTGGCAAGATGCACGGGCTGTGTTGGAGTCTTGTTGACCTTGTTTCACCTTGTTGAGCAATTACTGGTCAGCAAGGCCGAAGAGCCTTTGGAAAATGAGATCGAATGGGATTGGAAAAGTCTCATTCCTCGCTTTGCCCATTTGGACAAACACCTTCTAGATGATGGGTTGTACAACGATCGTGCTTTTCCTCAGCACTTGAGAAGTTGATTTTCTCCAGACAGCTATCTGCCGAGGGTGTATTCAGTATTCCGCTCCCGTTTGTCCAAGAAATTCCTGCTCTCCTTCTGGATGTTAAGACCAGGGATTATCGAGTGCCGCGCAGGATTGCCGTGGATTAGGAACTGAATTAGTAGATTGTCTGACGTTTCTCGGATGTTCGTCTCATCAATACAAAGAATCAAGCCAAAGAACTTTAGATCTGACATAATATGTGATAATCCTATACCACGGAATCCTTCCGGCCACTAGATTGTTGGCGATTTCCCAACTCGGCAAGGGATGCGAACAAAGAAAATTCGGTGAAGCATCCAAAGGAAGGGCTGCAATTTACGGCCAGAAGTGCCAAAACTCAGTCAAGCCTGATAATCTACTCGAAGTCATGATGTGAAATAAGAATATATTCAGATTAATGCATATCGCTATCGTCTATTATGCAGGCAATAAACGCCGTATCAAGTCAAAATCATAATGCAAATGCATGGGTATATCTTGTCACAAAGCCTCCGCCTTTTCGAATCCCATTCCTTCCAGATATTTTTTCCCTCCGATTCTCAATCACAGAGTTCCGATCGCACAGCTGGCCAGAACCATCAAAGTAAGACCGATGGCTGATTTGGACATTGGGCTGGCGCGCATCGGGGCGCTGCTGGTGTCGGTATCGGTGGTCTTGTTGAAGGCCACGGCTTTAACGCCGACGTCAGTGAGGCAGGTCTTGACTTCGGTCTGATTGGCCTCGACGCTGCAGAACTTGTAGCAGTTGGTGTGGTACGAGGTGATTTTGGCGGTGGCACCGCAGCAGTTTGTGTAGTCGGTGTTGTGCTTGTTCGAGCTGGGGAAGGCGACAGTTTGGTTGGTGGTCCAGAGACTGGTGGGAGGTTTGGCCACGGCCAACCTGCAGTGGTTGCTGTTGTGCTTGGTCATGGTGACGGAATTGTTTCTTTGATTTGATAGAGATGATTGTTTGTGGTTTGTAGAGGACAAAGAGGTATTGTCAGAAGGCTTGGGAGGATGATTGATGATGAGAATGGATTGAACGAGATGTCGTCTATATTTAAGCTATTCTGTAGGGCAGACACCGACATCGAACGAGGCTCAAACAGGACAAAAAAAGCACGGCGGCTGTGAGAGGAAGCTGTAGAACTGCGCCCCCAGTGCCAAATATCCGCCCTGGCCTCTGATTGGCCCGCTGTAAATTAAACTGTCATTCGGCCCCCAAAAAGCCACACCCGGTGTGCGTCTCCGATTGGCTGGGAAGAAAGGGCCTTAAAGTGGATCCAATGCCTAGCTCCAGCCAAAGCCTCACGCTAAGCCGTTCCTGGCAGGACAGCATCAGCCACTCAGCAACACTCACGGATCAGGATTGATTTGGGCTCTGTAAAAGCGCAAAGGGCCTAAAGGATTGAAGGATTAGTCGTGTTTCCTCGCAACATGGCAGAGACTCACATATTTGCCAAACCAGTGACCCACTCTGGATGACTTTTTCCCTCCCAACACATCTTTATCTAATATACAGCCTGCAAATCATCCTTTACCATTTTTACCCCCTATTATAGTACCATAAAATGACCCATTATCTCTAAGAGGTGGATTACCTAGACTAAATTTCATCAGTACTACTGACATTGATTACTTAGAGAGAATTTAGTGAGTCTAACTATGAAAATTGAGGAAACCTCTGGGGCTGTAAAGTCTGAAAAGCCTGATAAATGTGTTTTGGGAGGCCTAGGTTATATTAGTTAGATCTGGTAATATTAGAGGTATTAGAATCTCATACTGTGATAACATCCAAACCTCCCACCAATGATTCTTAAGAAAATGATTCACCTATTGAATATGTCTTAGGCTCTGGAGGTCTTAGAAGTATATATTCTGGTACTGAAAGGCCTAGGAAAGAGAATGACCTTGAAGGGTCAAGTGTCTAGAAAGAGTATGAGGAGAGTTCTGAAGTGTATAAGTTTCTTTAATTCATGAATTTTTCTGAATGTGGATTAGGAAAATAAGCTTATATATTAACGGTTCCTATACAGTAGTAAGTTTATGTTTTGGCAGGGTGGAAAACACTTCACCCCATAAGATCATAGACATTGTATATACTGATATAGTGTATGGCCGAAGCACTACCACATTAAGCTAGTCTATGATAGCATAGAAAAGTGATGATGTTCAGACTGACTAAACTAAGTGCTCTTGTGGGCTAATAATAATGTGGATTAAAGTGGTTGTGCCCTCCAAATAATCCTGTAGTAACTCTTATGAATATCTAGCTTTATCCAGTGATGATAATGATGATCTGGCTGACCTGGACTTCGATAGCAAAACCAGCAGTTCAGGTGAAGGTGCGTTGGGTCTTCAATGTATGACTATAATAGCCTAAAGTCTAGGAGATTTAAACCCACACATTAATTGTACCCACTGTTGAAGGAAAGGCCATATATCTGCCAGAACTATGAAGTAGTAGACTGATTCCTAAAGACTTGTCCTACTATTTCTATCCTCCTACTCTTATAAAGCTCCACTGTCTTTACTTTCTAGCTGTGACTCTGATTTTGTAAGGTTAAAAGGTCTATTTTAAGTGGTTCCTCCACTCTGAAAAGGATATCTGTCTATAGATATTTAGAGCCGTCTCTTGGCAGCCTTGGAAACTCATTTGTCCTTAGGGAGTTTCTACCTAGCTTACTATAGTAGGTAAAATGATGGTGATGTTCAACCACCAGATATGGTAGGAATCAATACTTTTTAATATATATAGATAGAGGGTATTATATAGAATAGAAATCTTCTTCCCTTTTATTTTTATCTATTTTCTCTGATTTTATATCATAGTTTAAATGTATACTGTTAGATAGTCTAATAATTTGAATTAGGTTAGTGTAACCAGACCATACTAATCTAATTTAAATTATTAGACTATTAATAATCACCTCTAATTACTTCACTAATTTAAAGTATTCTTTTATAAAACTTAGTCTATAGTATTCCCTATATTTTACTCTATATTATAACTGAAATTTAATCTAATCTACTTATATATTAAGTGTGGGGGTTACTTTAAAATTTCTATAGTAATTTAGGTTATGGTTATAGTATGCCTGCACTGCTATATAATTAATCCTTTAAATACCACTACCTATCCCAGTATCTATACTATAATTTATTATATTACCTATAACCTACTAATCCTCTCTATCTTATTTATTAGATCTAGTTCACCCATTGACTCTAGCTCACCCATCCACTCCAGCTCACCCATCCACTCTAGCTCACCTATCCACTCCAGCTTGCTGATTTAATTCAGCTCACTTATTAACTATAACTAATATATTAACTATAACTGAATTACCCTAGATAATAGAACCATCTCATCTAACTAAATTATCTTATTAAACTAAATTATAAAGTAGAACTTAATTATCTATATCTACCTCAATCCCTCTATAGAGAAGGAAGATGAGACTTAATACTATTAATTTATTTAATTATAAGAGGAATAAAGAGTAAAATAATTATATAATAGTGCACCTTAGGTAAAGAATAGTATAGTATAGTAATTAATAAAATAATTTTACTATATTTATTATCTAGAAGTTTTTTAAAATAATACCTACTTCTCCTTTATTATCCTTAGATTCCTTTATTTAAAAATAATAACTTCCTTATTCCTATTACTATCTTTACTATCTAAAGACTCCCTAATAAAGGTAAATAAAGAATAATATACTATTTTAGAAGTTATAAGGGTATAATAGTAATAATAGCTCTATTCCTATTATATTATATATATTTTATTCTTCTGGGGAAGTAAGTAGGTGACTAATAGAAGCCTTAGTACTCTAGAGGTAGAGTATACTTAAATATTAATTAATATTAGTATCTTATCTATTAATTATAATTCCTAATATTATCAGACTCTATCCTAGAAGTTAATTTATTATTAGTCAGTAGTTCTACCTATAAAGCTATTATACTATAATAATATTATTTATAAATTATTATTATCTTTACTATTATAGCTAATGTTATAGATTCACTAATTAAATGCCTTTAATACTATATTAATACCCTATAGATTAATAGCTGTTTAACTACCATATACCTAGAGATTAATAAGGACTAGAACTTAGTATCTAAGTTATAATTAACCTAGAAGCCTTTTATCTAGTATAACTAAATTAAGAAGTATAACTAAGTTATCCTAGGCTCTGCCCTTATTAATAGGAGCTATAGTATCCTTAAATAGATAGTAAGTAGTAAAGTACTCTTTACTATAAATATAATAATTAACCTTCTTATCCTTAAGCTAGTCCTTTATACTACCCTTCTTACTACTATCCTTTTTAGCCTCCTTAGCCTGTGCCTTCCTATTTATATAGGGTTAGAAAATAATATTCTTACCTATAGAGGTAGTATTAAATAAGGGTCTGGCTATATAGCCCTTCTTAAGACTAAACTTAGCCTACTACTATCTCTTAGTAACCTAGGTATTAAGCTTTTTAGGGTTAAAAAATAGTATTTATACCTATAGAGTTAAAAGATTCTAGGCTAGTATAGTTATAAACTTACTTAACCTTTACCCTTAACTTAGGCTTATAATTAACTATAATAAGTTATTAACTATAACTAGATTATCTAATATAGCTTATTTATAAATCTGGAATTACTATTACCTTAGGTATATAACTAACTTAGGCCTATATTTAACTATAACTAAATTAGTGACTCCAGCTTACCTATAAGGTAGGTCTTTATATCTAGTTATTAATTTAAATCTTAGATCTATCCTTTACTAATACTAAACTTAGTAATAACTGTAGTATAATAAGGTCATAGTCTATTATAAATATAATTTTCTATAGTCTAGTAAATCATAGTCTAGTAAATCATGGTCTAGTAAATCATGGTCTAATAAATTATAGTCTAATAAATCATAGTCTGATAAATTATGTGCATCTAGCTAGGCCATATAACTAAGATAGGATAGCTAAATATATTATAACTACTAGAATAATCTAAGATAGTAATAATAGATTAATATAGGCAGTAAGGAATAGAAAGATAGTATTTAAAAGTAGATAAAAACTAGGTAAAGAAGAAGTAATTAATAGTAGATAATAGTATTAATACGTATCACGGTGCGCAACTACCCTTTTTGTGGTCGATCGAGTGCCGTTTTTACGGTCGTCATGCACCGACTGAACAGCCACGGCAAAGTTAACTCATACCACGCACCAATCACATTTTCGTACCGAAACACTACTATTTTCGTGCCTTTTTCTAACCAAGGCACACTTCAGCGGCTAACCATGGTCAGAGTCTCGCTCCGAGACCCATTCTTCCATAACTGTAACTCGCTCACATGCATCGCTCAAGCCCGGTAAAAGCGGCGACGACCCCGAAAACCCGCCATTTCCCTGTCCGCCGCCAACGCCAGTGTATGGACAGTCCCGCTCCGCCCTCTACTGCAGCGGAACTTAAATTCGCTTCGCCTGCCATGCCTGCTTTCTCGGACAGCATAATCTCTGGGGTTCTCAACCAGGTCGAATCAGTTGGTCAGTCCGCCTGGCAGGATAAACCACAAACAACCGTGAGCCTCCCCTCTCCCCTCATGGGCCGTCATCAGCGGTCTGCTCGTGAGATCGCGGTCCGTCCTCTTCCCTCCGTGGCTTTCATTATTTCGATGCCCAGCATACCTGTTTATTCATTCACGCTATCCTGTCGATTCTTGGGGCTATACTGCTCTGGCCTATGACCATGCATGTGTTCTTGAATCGTTCATTTAATCACATTGACTGTCCTACCTACAATATCCGTTCCTGAGGCTTCTATGCGGGGCATCGCGATACAGAGACTTTATATGGCTTTATGATTCCACCTATACCACAGATCCTAACAATTGATAAAGGCGCAAAACCAACACAATGCCACCCACGCTGTTCCCCGGAAATGTCTCAGGCACCATGAATGGCGTTTTGCCCTCGCCGTCTAGCCTAAATTCACGTCCAACCTTTTCTAGCAGCGAGCAGGAAGATTGGCTAGCAAAAGAAGACCGGATAGATGTGAACAAAGTGAGGCAGCGGACATACAGCGACAACAGCGAAAAGGGCCAGGATTGGGTGTGGACACTGTGGTGTAGGTATGAATGTCATGGGATGACTGACCGAGTTCCAGATACCCACTGCTCATTCACTACAGGTTCTGTGAAGAAACAAAACGAGAGCCGACCGAGCTCATGGTGCAAGATAATCTTTCAATCGCAACGCTCTATAATTTTTGGGACTATACGCTCGAGAAACGCCGCAAGCACATCGAAGCCGCGTCTACTCTACAGACTTACTGGAATATTTGGACCACTGAACGGCGTAAGAGGACTGATCGCTCCCTTCCAAGTGCTATCAAAGACGGCATGATTGGGGTAAGCTCTCTGGTCTAGACTGCGGTCTACAGGACAGATGCTGTGCACTAACTATGGGTTCAGGTTCGGGATCAGCTGGTCAGGAAATACGATCTGAGGACCGATTCGAAGCAACGACCGCACGCACGCTCGGAGGACGTATTCGAGCTGCAGATGACTTTGTGGATGACGGGTGGGGAGCCATGGGATCCACTGCAGCTTGCCGTGTTTATGCTGCTGGCTGGGCCGACCGCCCACCGACGGACGGCTTTGCTCACACTCCGGCATTGTGATATCTTCCTAACCTTGTTGCCTGACCCTAGCTCCCAGGATTGGCCGCAGATGGTCGTGGAAATCCAGCCGGATAAGACGAAGAGATATCGCAGTCGTAAGAAGCGGACGTACGTATCAAAATCCCCTGCCTGAGGAAGTTGACTAGCGTGCCAGGACTCACGTACGTCATAGACCCAAGATTGCTCTGCTGGAGGTGCCTGGTGAAACATGCCTTTTCCTCTGCCCGAAAACATTCCTTCTTGGTTTGCTTCTACGGAAGGGGGCGTTTCGTCACATGGGAATTGTGTCGGCTGAACAGCTAGATAATCTGAGAATCCCACCAGACGCGCGCGAACTTCCCCTGAAGCTTGCGGATCCAGAGTCATTGCTTTTTGATATGACACAGGACATGCTGGACTCGTATTTAGAACGGCTCGGAGAGCTAACTGGTTACGACCACAGAGTCACTTCAAAATGGTTTCGCCGGGGGGCCGGTGAGGCAGTCAACAGTAGCAGTATAGTTCCCAGTGCTTTTCCTTTCCTTAACAAATGATGTATAATACTGACCAGCAGATAGCGGAGATCAGTGAAGCGCAACAAAATCTACTAATGCAGCACAGGACGGGTACTGTGTATCAGGATAACTATGCCCCCGATCATCTGCCAGGTGATGTGTATTCCGCGTGGAGAGGCCAGGCACCGCAGCGGGAGATCGTGAGGATGACGAGCGGCCAGAGCCGGACCATTCGCAAGGATCGACCTGTTGACTTGACGGACGCACAGAAGGCAGAAGCAATGAACGACCCAGACGTGCAACGACATTTAAAACGTTGGCTGGCATGCAAGGCCAGTCTGAGAGTGGAATACGGCAGCTTTTCCAGGGCAGAGGGGACCAAGCATTACCAAGAAGCTCTCCAGCAGCGGAATAAGTACCACACGGCCATTAGAGTGGCAAAAAAAGCCAAGAAACGAGAGGTACGGGCTCTCTTTAATGAAGAACAGCCTGTAGCCGACGTTTGGCGGCAGGTACATGGCCTTCCATTCAAAGCTGCAAGCCAACAAATCTCAAATACAATCTGTCCGGAACAATGTCGTGCGTTCGAGTTGGTTTTTCGGTTCGCGCCTGAGTCGTCCCAAGATAATCGTCGCTGTCGTGCAGCTGTGAGCAATGCTCTTTCTCAAGTAAACAATCGCAGCACCCCTTCCCATGGCCAGACAGCCTCTCGCCAATCATTACCTCTCTGGCCGAGCGACACGAATTCCCCCTATCAGATGAACAATTTTGAGAGAAGACAATGCCCGTGGTGCGTGAGAACAAAACTTTTCAAGAACTCTTTTTCTCTTAGGCGGCATATCAATCGTCGTCATTCCGAAAAGCCAAATCAGATATAGCCTACGCCCAATCCTGTTGGTTCACAAGGCAATATCTTCCCTTGCTCTTATATCTTTCTTTTTCTCTTTCTGTTTATCTCCTTTATTTTTTTTTGGCTCATAATAATCTTGAAAATTTACGGCCCTCAATTATGCCCCCATGAACAAACATTTTTTTTTTTTTTTTTTTTTTTTGCCCTTTCGATCCCCACCATGAGTTTATTCTGTTTGATCGTATTATGTTATGTTTGAATCGACATTCTTATAGGTTTTCCCTTTATCATGTGACACTAGTCAAGTTGGGATGAAATTAGATCATAATTTGTTGACTAAGAAACAGTTGAGTGAAATACACTTTACGCTCCAATTTATGTTTTCAGCGTCTGATAATCCTTTGGGCAATTCGCCTGACATATTAAAACCTTTCGCTTTGTACTTCATGGGATCAACGGTACTCTAGTTTTATTGCAGGCGGTTTTTGCGACCAATGGAGACACTAGCTTATTAGATATAAAAATTTAATACACTCTGTCATCAGAGTATCGATGTTCCTTCCAGGCTTTTATAGTAGTAGGAGCTGATGAAGCCTGATCGTTCGTTAGTGTTGGAAGTGTATGTGTCGGTTAGGGGTTGATTCGTTAGTAGGGCCCGGTATGACTCGTTCGATGCCATAGAATTTGTATTTGCGAGAATCCCGAGCTGTGTCAATTGTGAAACACCGTGGAATGTGATGCCTCATGCTGTGCCCGGCACCTCTGCCACGGAGCATTTGAGCCTGCCTCAATGAGAATTTGCGTTCTCCACCTTCGCGTCGGAGTAGCACCCGGAACAATGTCCGTTTCAGGGATTTTTCGTTGGTTCGTAAATCTTACCCGCGAGATTTTTTCCGGGCTTTACCAAAGCGCGGAATTCTCTGAGCGGCCGATGGCAGCCACGATGACCCGCGCGAAAATCCTTGGAATGTGTTCCTCATGCTTTGCTCAATCCATCATTAGCTGAGGACTTCATTCTGGTAAGACCTCGGAGCTTTCAAAGGAAAAGACTGGGTCAGGAGCGGGGTTTCGCCGACTGGATGATGCTCATAGGCACTGCCAGCCTTGCGGACCACCTCGCTTATAATGGTGAATAGTAGCTATGTTTCTAATAGGCCTGGTCTCCGGGACATATCAAGTGTTTGCGTCATGGGTCTCTCCCGTGTGAAGTGACTATAGCTTGCAACATATAAATTAGTTGCTTTCCCTCCTTCATGTATTCAGCAGATAAATGTTGGTCACTGAATCCTTCCTCCCAGTCTGTTTCCTGTCCAATCATCCCACATCTAGCAATCCCCTATTTCGCTTGCCCTATCCTCTTAGAACTTTCCAGAATTCCTCCCAGATAGCCTGTCAGTTTGTGCTCGGCAGCGAATTACCCCTACGGTAACTTTCAGTTTCGCTTCCCCCTTCCCCATTTCTGTCTTGCCCGTCTTGCGCCCCTCGCTTATAACTCATACTTTATTCAAAGGTTGAACCTGGGAAGTTTGACGTCTCCACCACCCCTGTTGTTGATCACTCCGAGTGCAGATGTCGTTCTCTAGAGCAGTCTTTTCGGTACTATAATCCTCCAACGCAACCACTGAAAAATAAACGGCCGTAATCTGCTACATCCCCATCGGAGTTATCATTAGTGCCATTGCTAGGCACACACGCATTGCCTAAAAAGCCACCACCTGTGACCTCCGCTGACCGGACTCCAGCAATCCCATATGTTCCACAAGGGGAGAGGATGAACATAGCGATGGACCCTCCCGGAATATTATCCACGCAGGGAGCGGAGACTGAAAATACCAGAGTTAAGTCCAATGTTCTGTCCGGCACACAGCCGACTTCTATGCAGAAGCCTCCTGAACCTCACCAGGAGCCGGATGCTCATATCCATAGTTTGTCCAGGACCGGCAATGCGACAAACAGCAATTTGCCTAACCCAGAAACGCCCTTTGGGGGCCAACACTGATGATTTCTCCTGATAACACTGCCTCTGATAAGCATTCATTCACTATTAGAAGCAAGCATTCAATAATGATGCCGGACCCTATACCGGAAGAATTGACGAGGCGTCCCTCGAAGAAGATCATCTCTGGGTCCTCTGCCGCAGCTACACCGCAGTCAATTCGTGTAGCAGAGTCTGTTGGGAGCCAAGACAAAATTCGTTTTCCCTTAACTGCGGATCAACCAGATATGCCTTCATCCTACGAGGAGAGCCCGAAGTTACCGATCATTGCTGTCGAGGTACCGCAAGCGAGAACTACGTTAAATGAAAACAGTGGCACTGATTCAATGTCCAGTGAAGATAACGACGATTTGGAAGACCCAGATTATGAGACCGAGCTTGAGGAAGCTGACGAGCCTCAACCTTCCAAATCTCTACGCCCGAGAAAGAGACTAAAGAGATCCTTGACGCCATCTCATCAACGGAATGTGAAGAGAACGCGGTTAGATCTTGGGAAAGTGCCTGCAAGCTCGCCGTGTCGTGGGCCAATGTGGGATTTTCGATCGTCGGTATCAGAACGTTGCGGCCACTATCGATGTGACAGCCAATACACCCCTAACTCTCTGCCTTCTTGTGCGAGAGAATAAAGGCATATATCTATAAATGGTTACCTGGAGTTATCGCCTGGGGGCCTATGAACCTCCATCGTTCTTAACGCGGTCACAACCTACGAGTTTACTGGATCGTTATCCAACCAGCCCTCTGCTAGTACCACCCTTCGCTATAATTCAACCAGTAGCAATGAGCCAGATTCAGACAGCGGGCCTCGCAATCAGTCACTGTGTAGACGAAGGCGAGCACGCTTCACGGAGGAGGAAGATGCTCTACTGATTCAACTCAAACAGGATGGATTGATGTGGAAAGACATGGAATGGCATTTCAACGGGCGCAATAGCTTTTCGCTCCAGACTAGATGGTCAAAATACCTACAGTCAAGGAACATATCTAAACTCAGAGTCAGCATGTCTGGAATCACGGGAAAGCTGCTGCAAAGCCCAGACTCCGAACAGATACTGAGGTAGGTTGCAATAGTACCAACATAATAGCATCCAAAGTATCTTATTATTTGCAGAATGGACTGTGTCTTGGGAAAAGCATCACGATTCCGAATTAGATATATTGAATGCATCATTTGATAACCCAGCTTTAGTTCTTCGTGTCCGAAGGCAAGGCGCGGTAACCTTGATGATAAGGAGAGTGAATGGCTTTGGGGAATTGTATAGTTATATTGGTTTGGGGACGATTTCTATGTGTGGCCACGTGGCACTGATCCGGCAGATGATGAGTCTATGACAATTTACAACTCACAGGAATCGAATAAGAGCAGCCTGTTTCAATTTTACTTTTGAGAAAGTATCACGGATAGTAGCTTGGGGCCAGAGTAACAAGTCAAAAACGAATTCGAAACTCTGAAGTCGCAGGTTGATTTTGATTGATCTTTCATTTTCTTATTCTGTAATAAATGAAGATATTTAAAAACAATCGAGCAAAGTATCTTATTTATATCAACTGTGCTGGATGGGAGACTGCAGATATGGGCATCCGTCCGAGCCTGATGTAGTGCTTAAATCGTAATCAAAAGCTGGTTTTTCGTCGCACAAAAACGGCAGTAGTAAACCAACTTCAATAGTGAATAAAGACATATCAATACTAGAGTCAAACACGCACATTATGCAGAGTAAATAGCTCCTCTATCTCTCAGGCCGATAATCGATAGTATATAAAGCATGAATGATGACTGCAGCGTCCGTTCGATTACAAACTAGACAACTCGCATATTCTGAGGACGGTCTACAGTATTACCATACAGTAACCCCATCATCGGCGTTGGGCCATGTCTCAAATGAGACTACTCAGTTTCATAGGGGCTCTCTTGTGGGGCGTGCAGCTAAGGCTAGGAGCAAGGTAAGCCCACTCCAAGCCCAACATGGTGTCGCTGATTTAATATTATCTCTAGCTGTATTTTGCCTACCACGCATGTCACCTCAGCTGTGGCGAGCCCAGAGAGTCCTTCAACCGCCTCTGCTATCTTCCAGACTGGACAATTCCCATCAGCCAATCCTTCCAGGATTACAAACCAGCAAAACAAGGACTCTCCCGCTGCCCACACACTGACGAAATTTGTGACCACCATTATAGGAGGGGGACAAGGATCTCCGACACCGACCTCAACACAGACACTCTCCAATAGCGCAAGTTCTAACTCTGTTCCACCCCTAGTAAGTTAACCAATACTATGCTCGCAGTTTCTCTAGACCTATACTGATGATTGCATTTAGCAGCCAACACATGGTCCGGATCAAAAGTTGTCGGCGTCACAATCTAGAACCCACCTCTTAACAAACTTAGCTGGTGCAGGTACTACTTCTGCCCCAAGTACTACATTGAGCCGCTCATATCATGGCCAGTTCGATGCTAAAGCTACCCTGACCACTTCTTCCCGTCTACAGGATGCTTCAAAAAGCGCCATAGCGGACATGGTCACGCAAGATTCCACCAACAACACCACCAGGATACTGGAAGTGCAGGTATTGCCGTCCGCTGGGTCTGATAGCGACTCACATGGCTCCATATTTAAGCCGAACTCTCTCATGGCTCAGCCTGGGGAGATCGTGAAGTTTTATTTTCATGATTCCTACCTGCTTCGAATGACGAGCCTAGAGGATCCCTGCTCTATTTTCCCCAGCAGTTTGAACGAACCTTGGGGGTCAGAGTCGATGGTAGCGTCATATCAACTTCCCGTTCAGTCTGCCAGCCCAGTGTGGCTTCATGTGAACCTGAATGATCCTGAATATACCTGCGATAATCGGACGGTCTTTGCCATCAATCCTGGAGACCATATGAATGACTTTCTCGCTCATGCTGTGTCATCAAATTGACTGACCA